TCTGCCCGTAATGAGCATGGAACATATTCATTTTTGCCGAACACCAACTCCATGTCTGTACCTCAACCAATCGATGATCCGATGGATCTCTCCGCACTTCGTGATATGGTCAATTATATCAGTTCCAATAGCCGCGGTATTCAACGTGGTAATTATCGTGGTGGATATAGAGGTAATTTTCGTGGTGATTTTCGGGGTGGCTTTCGTGGTCGTGGATTTTCTCGTGGGGAATCTAGAGGTGGATTTCGAGGGGGTTTGCGTGGGCGTGGTTTCTCTCGGGGACAATTTAGAGGTGGCTATCAAGGACATCAGCAGTATTATGAACAAGAAACTCGGTCATGTTATCAATGCCAGCAAGTTGGACATTTACAGTACAATTGTCCGCAAAACCGCCAAGAAGCTCATTATATGAATGATGGTTTTTATTACAGCGACAATTATGATTACGATAATGAACAACAACATGACTATTATCCGCAATCACATCCCTCTTCCCACCCCAATCCTACCCCTACCCCTCAACCAGTAATGGATAAATCTACCAATAAAGATAAATCTTCTCAACAGTATTCTCAAGAGCCTTTTATTCTTTATGCTGTATTGCCATCATCGGCTTCCTTTGTGCAACCGTTAAAACTAAATAAGGATATGATACAAAAAGATGTTGAATTCATGTTAAATGCAAATTCTACTCCTAACAAATTACCACTATATCGCATACTTATTAACGGTCATCCATGTAGCGTATTAATTGATTCTGGGGCTAGTGCAAATTACATTCATCCTCGACTTATTCCATACGTATCCAAAACAGCACCGACGATACAGGGTCAATCGGTTGAAACGGCGAATGGTCAATTAACAGCAATTTCAAAAATCGCATCGTTTTCAATAGCACTAGGAGATTATACTGATCGAATTGAAGCCTATGTATTTGATACAAAATTCGATGTTATCCTCGGTCGATCTTGGTTATCACAGGTTCAACCTGTTCCTCATTGGCCTACCGGTGAATGGCAAATCCGAATACGCAACAACCCATACCAGATAACAACTATTCGTCCTATGAAAATCCAAGTGCGTCAAGCAATAAATGAATTAAGTATCAAGTTAGCAGATCAACAGGAATCAAAACGGGATAAGCCAAAAATTACTGATATAGCAAATAGTACTAACAACGATCTCGATTTTTTGTTGACGGCTAAACAGCTCGACACATTGCTTAAGAAAAAGAAAGTAGAAGAATGCTTTTGGATCGACATTTCGGCAATCTATAGTCCAGAGGAGCTTCATGTTATGATGGAGACAGAATCAACAAAGACGCTTACGAATGAAGAAGCTGCAACAAAGAACATGAATGAGGCATGGTGTCAAGAATTCGCGGCCGCCTACCCAAAGGTTTTTAAAGGTTGCATTGACAGTTTGCCTCCAATGCGTGAATCAGTTGAGGACATGATTGTATTGGAACCTGGTGCCAAACTAGAATCGCGAGCTCCTTACAAAATGAGTCCTATTGAACTGCGTGAGTTACGACGACAATTAGATTTATTATTAGATCAAGGCTTAATTGAACCAACATCGTCGAAATACGGCAGTCCGGTTTTATTCGTAAAACGTGCGGCGGAAGGGAATCAACCAGCCAAATTACGCATGGTATGTGATTTCAGATCGGTAAACAAGGCAACAATATCTCAACGTATTCCTGTTCCCCGAATCGATGAATGCTTGGAACAGCTTCATGGCGCGCATTTCTTTACCTCGTTGGATTTGCAAAGTGGATTTCACCAGCAACGATTAACAGACGCTGACGCGGAAAAAACCACGATTAATACTCGATATGGGCAATTTCGATGGAAAGTAATTGCTTTTGGACTACGTAACTCGGGTGCTCAATTTATGAAAATGATGACATCTGTTTTAAAAGAATATATTGACAAAATATGTATTGTATACATAGACGATATTCTGATTTTCACCAAAGATAAGGATATTGATGTCCATAAGCAACATGTCCATCTCATTATGAAGAAATTAGACGAAGCTGGATTGATTGTTAATCGTGATAAATGTAAATTTAATCGCAAACAATTGACATTTTTAGGATACGATATCATTGCAAATGTTGGTGTCCTTCCTTCCAAAAAGAAAGTAAGTGCTATTATTTCCTGGCCGATTCCGAAAAATGTTCAAGACGTGCGCAAATTCATTGGCCTATGCCAGTACTATAAGTCATTTTTGCCTTCCTTTGCATCAATCGCGGCTCCTATTACGGATTTGACGAAGGGTGGTGGATTTAAGCGTAGAGAAATTGATTGGTCAACCGAATGTCAAATTGCATTTGATAAAATCAAACAAATGATAACATCGGCCCCAGTATTATTAACGCCTTGTATGACTCGCCCATTCCGCATAGAAACTGATTCTTCCGATTTTGGTTGTGGTGCAGTATTGTTACAGCAGGACCCAGATGATAACAATCAATGGAAGCCGTTAGCATACGAATCGCACAAATTTAGTACTCAAGAACGTGCCTATCCCGCTCAAGAACGAGAATATTTGGGAATACTTCATGCATTAAGAACATGGCGATGTTTTATCGACGGTAATGACTACGAAGTGTATACGGATCATTTACCGCTAAAATATTATCAGGATACCTCAAAAATCTCACCTCGTTTAGTTCGCTGGATGTCCGAATTGAGTATGTTTTCCCCGAAAATCATATACAAACAGGGTGTGGATAATATTGTTCCAGATTTTTTAAGTCGTCGTGATGGATCCAATTGTACTCCGAATGATATATCCTTTGAACCAAGATATTTGTATGATTCACCTGACACTTGCGCTGCAGTGAATTCGCTCAATAATGATCGGTCCGATGATCCTTTGATAACTGACCCTCTCCAAGACTGGCCCCTACATTATTTCAAAAATGAAGATGAATGGCCAGACCATTTCAAAACTCAATTAAAACAACAGCAAGATCGCTTTATGGTGAAGGATAATCATGTGTGGCGTCAATTTGTGGATAAATCAAAAACTACTGCTGATATGCCGGTCAAGGAAACATGGGTAAAATTTATTCCTTTTAAACGACGAGCAGACCTTGTTGAAGATTTTCATCGTGGATTTGGACATCAAGGAAAAATAACAATAAATCAACTCATGAAAACACGGTTCTGGTGGCCTAAAATGTTAAATGATATTACAAACTGGCTCTCTCAATGCCCAGAATGTCAATTACATTCACGCAAAGAAAAGAATGTTCATCATGCGCCAATGAAACCTTTAGAAGTCCCTCCTCCTTTTTCTCGCTGGCATCTGGATTTTATCGGTGAGCTACCTTTAACCAAGAACGGAAATAAGTGGATAATTATGGCAGTGGATTACAACACGAATTGGCCAATAGCTAAAGCCCTTCCCGTTGCTAGTGCGTCGGCTATTGTCAAATTTATTTATGAGGAAATAGTGATGCGTTTTTCTTGCCCTGTTGAAATTGTGACAGACCGTGGAGCCAATTTTATGTCGAAGATATTGAAGCAGTACATGGCCAAAATCAAATCACATCATATTTTTACCAGTGCCTTCCACCCCCGTACCAACTCGAAATGCGAAAGATTAAACCAAACATTTAAACATATGCTTACCAAATATGTTAAAGGAGAGGTACACAGCTGGGACGAATATTTGGAGTCTGCATTGTTTTCTTGTCGCATTCGCAAGCATGCAACCACAGGTCTGAGCCCTTTCTTCATGACGTATGGTGTCAATCCTGTACTACCAGGCGATTTATTACGACCTTTCATGGATCCGTTAACCGAAGAAGATCCTGAATTAATAGCGGAAGATGCATTAACCCACCTACGCTATTTACGTGAACAACGTTTTCAAGCCGAAGACCGTCTTAAAGTTCAAGCTGAAAAGGATAAGGAAAAATGGGATGCACTCATTAAAGGACAAGAAACTCAAACTTTCAAAATTGATGACTATGTGATGCTTCGACACGAAAGTAAAAAGGGTCTGGAATTCAATTGGATGGGTCCGTATCAGGTTCTCAAGCACAACCTAGACTTTAACACGTACCAGATTAAAGAAGTAGATGGAAAGGTTTATTCGTCCTGGGTACACACTGACAGACTCCATCCTGTAAAATATGACGGCTCCCCAATCGACAAGGCATGGTATATTCCGCGTATAGCAAGAGCAAAAGAAAAATAATAATTTTTTTCCTACCTTGAGCTCTTTTTGGAAAGGGGGTATTGTCGTGGCTTCGGTCACACAAGTAGTTTAATATTTAAAATAGTGTTCACTAAAATATAATAAAATCATCTTTTGATCTCCTAAATAATCTTTGATATATTCGGTCGTTACATAACAATAGTTCCTCGACAGGCGTGTAAGTGTCGTGGCTTCGGCCACACAAGTGTCGAGGAACTTGTCGAGGAACTATTGTTATGTAACGACCGAATATATCAAAGATTATTTAGGAGACCAAAAGATGATTTTAGGCCCTCACAAGCAACAAATTTTTTTTTTTAAAGATCCCGATTTAGGACTTTATTATTAATTTTTTTTTTTTATTTTTTTTTGTGAAAGGTTACAATTTTGCCAAATAGATGAATAAAAAATTAAATGGATATATATAGGCGATTATTGGTCATGAGTCGGAGACTCTGACTGTGTTACCAATTTTTCTTTATTTATCGAAAATATATTATAAAATAAAAAATAAAATAAACTTATACAATTATCAATTTTTCTTTCGCAATTTCGGTACTCAACCATTCGAATTACTTAATAGATCTATGTCCAATGAGCACGATGAATTATTACGACGTCTTCAAAACCTGGAGACGTTATTGCAACAACAACATCCAGCACATGCAGCAGCACCTGTGGATACTCACCTTACTGCCCGACCAACTGCAGTTGATCTTCAACCTTATGATGAATTTTATGCTGTTCTTCCTGATGCCGCCACAGATTTCTTTCGCTCGCCTCTCTCAGAAGTTGATCGCCGAAAATTTCTCAACCTCTGTCCTTCCAACCTGGATAGACGTTATCGTGCACCAGTATTGCAACGTTCTATCAATGCGGGATCACTTACTCGCAAATTTGATCAACAACTTGCCGACGTGCAATATCGCTTATCTGGACTTACTCGACCGATTGACCTTATGGCACATAATCTTGCCCAAGGACGTACCCCAACTATTGCTGATTCTACAAACTTTATTCGTACGATCCACAGCCTACTTTCTGATGTTGCCTCACATATCACACAACTTCGTAGTGATAACATCTGTCGTGATGCCGGCTTGCCAACTGTCCCACTTGCAGACAACTCAGACGATGAAGACACTTTGTTGGATACGACTCGTATTTTGGAACAATCCAAGCTCTCCAAAGCCCTTCAAGATGCTCAATCCAAAAGTCGCACTTCCCGAAAGAAAAAGGGAAAACGTTTTAACAGTAATACAAGATCCACTACTGTCGAATCAGAAGATCAACCCACCAAATCTTCTGACAAATCTAATTTATCTGGTACCACTTCAAGACCTACCACACCTTCTGCTCCTCGTGCTTCGCACTCTTCTTCTCACAGCTCTCGGGGTTTTCAGAAACGCTAACGCCTCAACCTGTTGGCGGACGTCTTCAATATTACCAAGACGCATGGACAAAGATAACAAACAACCAATGGATTCTCGACATCATTCAAAACGGATTTCGAATTCCCCTCACCGCCAATCCACCTCTTTGTCCTACCACTGCTTCAGTCAGGTTCCCGACAGCAACAACATCACAAGCACGAACAGCAATCGAGACAGAAATCTTTTCACTCCTAGAGAAGAAAGCGATAGAGACAGCCCATGGTCCCGGTTTCCTTTCCCATCTCTTCACCGTTCCCAAGAAAACAGGCGATCTTCGTCCCGTACTCAATCTAAGACCATTAAATCAGTACGTACCACGAAAACCGTTCAAGATGGAAACTATTCAACTCGTTTGCAAAATGATTCAACCTCAAGATTACCTTACCTCTATCGACCTACAGGATGCATTCCTCCATGTACTAGTTCACTCAGCATCTCGGAAGTATCTTCAATTTCGATGGAAGAACAGCACATTTCAATTCAGGACACTGGCATTCGGCCTATCTCTGAGTCCGATGGTATTCACGAAACTCCTGAAACCTCTCCTAAGTTGGGCACGCCGGAAGGGAATAAGGATATCTGCATATCTAGACGATCTAATCATTACTGCCAAGACCAAAGAATTGAGCCACCTCCACACCACTCAGGTGTGTCAAAAGTTGCAGGAATTGGGTTTCCTTTTCAAAGAATCCAAATCTCACCTCATTCCAACACAACAGATAGATCACCTAGGATTCACAATCGACACAACAAACATGTCACTTTCAGTTCCAGCATCCAAGCGCCGCGACATCCGTCGGGAAGCCTTGAAAATGTTACGAACCAAGTCGTGCAGTCTCCGCAATCTATCATCGTTTATAGGGAAAGCACAAGCAACCACTCCAGCCGTCTTTCCAGCCAGGTTAAGAACTCGAGAACTACTACAACTGAAGAATCAACTACTTCACCAAGGGATCTCATGGAACACAATGATTACAATTACACCACCAGCTTGCGAGAACTTACATTGGTGGATCAACCACTTAACCAAATGGAACGGTCTATCATTCTTACCAGAGACACCGAAACAAGAGGTATTCACAGATGCATCGAACAGCGGATGGGGAATTGTGATCAACAATCAAGTGATGAGTGGAACATGGACTCCAGAGGAATTAGAACAACATATCAACTACAGGGAACTAGCAGTGATATGGAAGTGTGTGAAGATGAAACAACTTCAGGGTCAGGTAATACGCATTTATTGCGACAACACATCAGCAATAGCCTATGTACGCCATTTTGGGGGGACCCGATCACCAGCACTCATGGAATTAGCATCAAAAATTTGGAACACTTGTTTGAAAACCAACACTCGCTTGCATCTCACATATATTCCGTCAGCAATCAACCCAGCCGATTCCCCATCACGGCAAATGATCACTCAAATCGAATGGAAAATCGATCAACTATATTACCAACAGTTAGAGAAACTATGGGGGATACACAACGTCGATTGCTTTGCGAGTCGAGAGAGTCACCAAACTCAACACTACTTCAGTTGGAAATGGGACCCTCAAGCACTATCAACCAATGCATTCCTGACCCCATGGAATCGATGGAAGAGAGTCTTTCTATGTCCGCCTTGGAACCTCCTGCCACGATGCCTTCAACATTTGAATCAGCACCCAACAACAGCAACCATAATCACGCCCAATTGGCCGAGTGCAATTTGGTACCCTCTGCTTTTATCCATGACCAAGGAACCACCTCTTCTAGTACCATCCAACATGATTCACCCCAACCTCCAAGGAGACGACCTATTCAAGAAGAATCAACAATGGGAACTTCTGGCTTGGAACATAAACGGCAAAGACTTCAATTAAATGGATATGATGACAATGCTCTTGCTATTTTTCTTAACCCTGAAGCTCAACCTTCAGTCCATAGATATAACCCTATCCAACAACAATTCATACGGTGGTGTGAACTACATCGTTTTAATGCTTCTAGTCCTGATCCTGCTCAAATCGTTAACTATCTTTCTTATGGTCATCTAACTTTAAACTGGAAAGTGGCAACCTGTCTCAATTATAAATCTGCAATACTTGAGTTATACGACCCATCTGCTCGTCAGGAAATACTAAAAGACTCAAACTTTATCAGATTTTTTACCAACTTGCGTGCTTTAACCATACGATCTTTCGACAGACCCGACTATGATTTAACTCCTGTACTTGACAAACTTCACTCTTGGGGACCGAACAATCTTCTTACTGCCGAACAACTTACAAGGAAACTGTGTTTCTTATTAGCTATTACTGGTTTTCTTCGTCATGCTGACCTTCACCGTATCAACATGCTGAAAACTTCTGTCCTTACCACCACTTCTCAACTCAAACTGGTTATAGACTGTCCAAAAGAAAAACGTGGAGGCTCTCCTATTGAACGTGTTGTATTTATACATCAACATCCTGATTCTCTTTTATGTCCTGTTCTAGTGTATCAAGAATATGTTGCTCGTATTGCTACTACTCCTTGTCTCGGTCCTCATCCTACTAGACCTTCAAGAACAATTGGTTTTCTCGTACGTAGTCTCAATGATTTCAACTCATCTGTGTCTGTTCAAACTATTAGCCGACATGTTCGTAGCCTACTCAATCATATCACGGTGCATGATAGCTCTGACCAACGTCACCCTCCTCCTCGTGCTCGTGCTGTTGGTTCCTCCAATGCTGCTTTACATGGTGCTAACCTGGATGATATCTTAGTGCATGGTTCTTGGGCTTCTGCTTGCGTATTTGACAACTTTTACCGGTTATCTCGTCAAACTGTCACTAACTTTACGACTATGGCTCTTTCAAGTAATCCTCTTGGTTTTAATACTCTGAATCCACAGTCAGAGTCTCCGACTCATGACCAATAATGTGTTATTTGTGTGAGTGAAATGAAACACTCACTTACATTATTGGGAGTAGGAGGAGACTCTGACTGTCCCTCCCTCCCTCCCTTATTTTATATATATATTTATTTTATTCCTGAAATTGCGATTTCTTTTATTGATAATTGTATAAGTTTATTTTATTTTTTATTTTATAATATATTTTCGATAAATAAAGAAAAATTGGTAACACAGTCAGAGTCTCCTCCTACTCCCAATAATGTAAGTGAGTGTTTCATTTCACTCACACAAATAACACATTAACAATAACATCGAATTTTCTCCAGTGCCAAAATTTTCGAAATATCCCAATAAAGGATTAAAATCCAACGACCCCAGAATCCTTCTATCAGATGAAAAATCAGCCAAATTGAGCTACTGAACTCACCAATGTTTTTTTTTTTTTTTTTTTGATAAAAGAGTTGTGTTTGTGATCCTCTTCATTTTTCTTTACCAATTATTAACTATCCAATGTTATTTAACCAAATGCCTTTCCAAAAGTACACTACCATCGTCATATGGGATTCAGCAAGCACCAACGTTTTGATCGAGTTGTTTTCCGATTACGTTGTAAACGTGGGTGTTATTCGCTCACCTCAAGCAAAGCTGAATTTGAACAAGGCAACGGAAGATGCTTTTAATGCCAGTGACGCTATCAACGGTAGAAGGGACTTTGCAGCGATGAATAACAAGTGGATTCGCCTCTGTGATACGTTCAGAACCAGACGAGACGATGCTAATTCTACTGGTAGTGCACCTCTTCAACACTGGGAGTTTCACGATCTGATGGAACAGGCAACATCGAGAATGCAATAAAACTGTAGTGGAGACTTTGTTGTCGGTAAAGTGTAGAAATGTCTGATTCCATAATCATATTCATATCATCATCAAGTCCAAATAAAATTTATTGCGATTCAGCAACTACTGTAACAATTTGAGATAGGTTCATTTTGTTTTCTCTAGAAATAAAAAGTATATCGAAACAATACAGTCCTTGAAAAATAATAACAGATAGGTTAGCATTTTGAGTGAACTTTATATTTTAATCGTTCAAAAAGGGTCATTAAAAAGCAACGTCATGGATTTTGGAAAAAGCTTTCTTTTGGAAGTCTGAAGTAACCTTTCACAAAAAAAAAAAAAAAAAAAAAAATAATAATAAAGTCCTTAATCGGGATCTTTAAAAAAATAATTTTGTTGCTTGTGAGGGCCCTAAATATAGAACATCTTATCGATGTTTGTATATTTAGTTGTAGAAAATAGGCATCCAAATATTCCATGCACTACTTCTCTTATACACTTACAGTCGTATAAGTTGTGTTTATCAATATATAAGTAAATGAACCATTTATATAAATAGCTGTTCTATTCTCTCTATGGGTAGCTAATCCATTGAGAGAACTATTAATATTAAGTTTCTCTTTCTTATATTTCTTGATTTGATCGGAGAAGCTTCTCTTCCCGATTGGTGATATCGTAACTCAGTGGTATAGAATTCTATATCCAACTGTCATTCGTATATCGATTTTAAGCCAATCATGCAATCTTTTTATATAGAAATATGTACTCATAGTAGGAGTCGTTGTGTAGCAGTATACAGGTGTATGCTGTTACTCAATATTAAAGGATGTTTTTATTCCATGTTTTTATTTTATTCGATTTATTTGTTTATTTTCTAATAAATCATACCCAAATACGACACTATCTTCTACAACCAAATATACAAATTTCGATAAAATATTCTATATTTGGGATCGTATTTTATTCATTACAAAGATAATAAATAAATTATCAACTATTATGTTCTACTGCCAACTATACTTGACAAACAAGTATGCATCTTTTACAGTAACCGTTGCATAATCTGATAAATAGGTGTCTTGTAACACTAAAGATTTATTAGAGTACCCGTGCTCCCGATCCACTGATATGGGACAACGTTAACTGGAAACAATTCTAACGAGTAGTAGTCATTTAACCCAAGGCAGGAAACAAAGTATAGATCTATTCCAAAGCCAGAAAGGTTGACTCATCATCAAAACCTAGGAGAGTCGTGCAATATAAAAAGGATTAATTATTTCATAGCAGCAGAGTTCTTTTTACCTCCAATAAAGATATACATTTATCTCATTATTTCTCAAGTGCATTATTTTTGTCAAATACCACAGATCTAAGGGTTCCCAAAATGCTCTTTTAACGGCAACCATGTTGATTCCAGGTATACAAACAATGGAAGGTATCTTGTGGTTAGCTCGTAATTGCCCCTCATGGCACTCCAGTTTTGCTCCCACTCTTCTTCATCGAAACTGTTCATACATCTATTCCATCTGATCATGAACTCGTTCCAATCATCATCTGTTAAAAAATAACCTTTGCATTCGGCCAAAACCTTCTTGTTGATATGCCAACTAGTGTTCGAACTTTTCGAGCTTGCACCGATCTTGCGCCAGTTCGAACGAAGCTCGAACCGAGTTTTTGTACTCGAGCTTGCGCCACTTTTTTTGGGTTCGAGCGAGCTTCGATCGATGCTCGCTCGAAGCTCGCTCGGCTAAAATGTCGATAGTAGTCACTTTAAAGTTAAGGTCCTTGAAAGACTACAGATGGCATTTCCCCTTGATTTTAATCTTTTCTTCCCTTTACCATTTTTTTTTTATTTATGCTCTAATAATTCCAATTAAAATGCTTTGGACTTTTATTTAATTGTACAACCAACAAACACATTTACCATAGAAAATGAAACACTGTTGCACACTATACCCAACTAAGCCAATTTTTTACAGCAACCATAGTAACATGACGTAGCAGAATTAATTTAAACTTTCATGTTCAAAAATCCAAATGTATTATAATTATGGATGCAGTAATAGTTTGATTTAATTATCCGAATTTGGTGTTATAGCTGGTGAAAAAAAAACTTTTCTTTTCCTTTTTCAAACTTCTATTTCAATAAATAACAATTTTATTATCATAATTTTCTGTAATTAACATCACTTTGACGTGCACTTTGTGTAATAAAAAGGGCGAGCGAGTTCGAGCTATCGTATTCGCAACCGAGCCGAGCTTCAGAAACTTCGAGCGAGCTCGAGCTGCAAAAAAACGCATGCGAGCGAGCTTCGACTGGAACACGATCGAAGCTCGCTCGAGAGTTTCGATCTTCATTCCGAACACTAATGCCAACGACAGATAAGAATTGTACTGGAATCAAAAATGGTCTCTAAAGCGCCTTTTCATGCCAAATTACGGTCAATAGCAATAATGCTGGGATCAAATGGTTCTACATAGCACCAAAACAGCTTCATACGTAATGTTGAAACCGCCCACTCATAATTGGCTTGGGTTTCGTCTTTTAAAAAACACCACATACAAAAAATGTCTAATTGAAGCAATCAATGCCAACAACGTGCAACAATGGCATACCAAATTTGTTGGTTTTGTACGTGCAATCTATCAAAAGCACTTGAGGGAAGGAGCTCCCGAAAATCATCGTCAGAAAGGTTAGGGGTGTTTTCGTTTAATAAAGGCATTAAAACAATTAAAAGTTCAGATAAACGTAACGGGATTGGGATGAAAGTAAAAAGATACAATTTATTAATGCTTTGACAGAGCAGCCCCGCATAAATATCAAAATTTAAGTGAAATCGAATTCGCAGTTTCATAGGTCAAAAAAGGCCAAAAAAAAATCGAGGGGGTGAATAGAGACTTTAATTTACACTGTACTAAAAAGTAAATTATACTGTTTGGAAATCAGATTAGTGTTTTTTTCCACCATTTTTTACACTATTAGTGTAAACACTTTCACTAATCTGTCCTTGAAATAAGCCAATCGCTTCTGTCAATATCCCATATATAAAGACCAACTTTTTAAAATTCATGTTATTGGCCTTCTACTAGTCTGTATTTGGACAGTGATAAAAGTCACTGTGAATGCTGTAGTGTAACACTTAATGAAAATCTGAGTCCCCTAAATTCTCTAATATAACAATTCCATTATTATTTATATATTACTGAGAATAAAAGCGCAGCCTGAAGGCCTGTAACCACATCTGGAGTCGGAGTCGAGGCAATTAAGATTGTCATAGGAACGACTGACAATTTAATTTCTATTTTGCGTTTTGGAATTCTACCATTAATGTTAAAGTGTTCTGTTTGATGTTATCATTTTAAATTAACCAACAGGTGGTAGGGTCTCTCCCATAATTATTCAATTAGGCATAGTAATTCATTTATGTTCCTATCTAGTTGTTTTTTTTAATATGATCAGAAATGAACGCAGTTTAAGAACTCGAGTAACACGTCCAGATAAATCAATACTCACGATAGCAGCAATAGCATCAGGAAATATAACCCCGTCTAGTTGGATGAATCAATGATGTTTGTTGAACCCTGTTTTTCTTGTTGCAGAAGAGAATAAAATTTGTTAGTTACCGTCGATTCTGATGAAGATATGTAAGGAAATCGGCCATTACATTTCACTAGTAAACAAAAAAAAGCAAAAAAAAATTTCCTATGCACTTTACGATTGCGTACCTCATATCTAAAACAAGCATTATAATATAATGATATCGGTTAAATTGGAAGTGGCATCGCATTATTATAATCTAGTTTATCCCGAAAAAATTTGACCTTTTAAGTTATAATATTATTGTTTATAAGTTCAGACAATTGCCTTATATCAGCTGGGTAAATAAAAGACACAAAATACGTTCTTCTTTGAATGAGTGATTTTGACAATGTCCTATCTTTTGTACTAAATAAAATACAGCAGGTAGTATGCAATCAATCTTTGCGACGGGTGTTTAGTTACTGCCTTTCCTTCAAAAAACGATACCACGGTTTACCTGTAGTGCAACCCAGAACTTAAAATTATCCAAATTTATATGCCATTGATTAAGATCTTGACATCTTTGGGCGATATCTTGTTGTACAGTATTGATGAATTTGTATTTAAACTTGTGTCTAATTTTATTTATTCTATCGATATAACAGTGAACGGACAATACGACGATGGTACCAGTCAACACAAGAGGCTTATCACTGGTAATTGTATAAACTTTTGCCGTGGAAATAAGACTTGAGCAAAGGGTCCATCGTAAAATTTTTAGAGTAACACTCATACAGACATTTAGGAAGTTTTTCGTACCTCGAAAGCACAAAAGACAGATGTAAAAAAAAAAAAAAAAAAAAAAAAAAATGTCGACGCATTCGATCAAGTTTCTAGTGTTATTTCATCGGCCACATTACATCTCACAGTGCCTACCAGAATTTTGTAAGTTTTATTGAAAGCATTGGTAAAAGATCTTATCTAACTAGGGATGGTATAGTTGAGGATTTTTTGTAACATACACAACCGTAGTTTGTAACTAAAAAATTCCTTATCTCTCATTGCCGAAGGAGTAAGTATTTTGTGTATATTACAGTTGTATGTCAATAAAGCAAGCTTACCACAGATTAAAGTCTAAAAGTGTTTTGTATTGAACGAAAACATGGTTTTATGTTCTGATAATCCCACGTACCCAATTTCTTTTTATGTGATCTCTGATCTCCAGCAGATTTCTCCCGAGTGATTATATTAAATTTGATATACTTTATATCAGTTATTTTAGATACGTGAGCACGACGTATGGTATTTCCTGACTGTGGGTATAGACAGCAATTAAAAAAGGGGATTTTTAATGATACAATCTAATTTAAAATTCTAAGGTTTCTATCAAGCACATCCTCTACTTTATGACGCACGCCAAACTTTCCATTTCTATCGTTTTCAAACCATTGTACCGTATCTTCTACAGTTCTTAAACTGTGCATATATTTGGAATCCAAAATTTCCTTTTCTGAAGGTAAAGCGTAACGTCTGTAAGGAAGTTCATGGAAATCTTGATCGTTGGAGAAGAACAATTTTCTTCTGATATTTGCGTGGAACCGCTTTACTTTGATGTCTTTCTCCAAATCTATATCTTCTAATGTAGCAGGGTTCCATTTAGGCTGTTTTTTAAGCACAACATGAGAAGTTACACCTTCAATAAAGTCATGAGCATACTAATATGTATCCGTAAGTATAAATAAGATCACGTTAGATGAATACCCACTTACAGGTATAGTCTGCCACAAGACATGTTCCATTCTTAAGCATTCCTTCAAGGACAACTTGGAACCACGTCTAATATGCTCGTGTGTAGTTTTAACGGCTGATGGAGAACGTTTCAAGATTGTATCGATTGTTTCAAGCGAGAGTTTAGATCCATCAGCTTTTAAGTCATCTAGGACATCTTCCATGTGCTCGTGTTTAAAACATGTATCAATGGTAATTCTATTTTGACCGTGTAAGGTGTAAGTAGCAGGTTGATGATCTTTCTTTACTGCAAAGTCTTCGATGGTTTGATGAACGATATCATGTGTAACATGGTCTAATTCGGCTAAACGCGTTTCCAAGGCTTCAATGCGAGAGGAAGGGACAAAGTGGGTTGCAAGTCCGGCAAATCTTTTAAGAAATCAAAAAATTAGCATGACTAACAGTAAAACCACTAAGAAAAAAAAAAAAAAAAAGTACATTACAAGGCATCTTCTCCTTTCACAATTCTACTTGTGGCACCCATATAAGCACCCAAATGTCCATCTAGTCGAGATAAAAAGAAACTTGCACCCACATCACAAAATAAACCAATGGCAGTTTCGGGCATAGCAAAAAGAGTATTTTCTGTGGCAATTCTGAAAGGAGCAAAACTACATAAACCACCACCTGCACCCACTGAAAATAAAATAAGTTTATCTCTGACCCTCTGATTCCTCTCCCTTCTCCTTACTTGTAATTCCATCCATTACAGCAATATAAGGTGTCTTCATGGTGCCCATAAAATGAAGCATATCGTACTCTGTTTCGATTTGATGAGCCAAATCATCATGTTTTTTGGGATCTTTGACGCTACAGACAACATCTAAAAGGATGAAGATAAGAGATGATATTAGCTCAAGATGAATGGATACCCTTATTTCAGGGTATACCTTTTACATCTCCACCAGCACAAAGGGCTCTTCCCCTCCCCTTAAAAAAGACTACTTTGGCTTGATCCGATACTTCCCACGACTTGTTTTGAAGTGTCAATCATAGGTAATTATTTTCCTCCGCAAAAAAAAAGAGGGTTTACCTTCAAGTTTGGATAAATGATGTCGACCATTTCCATATCAAGTGCATTTAACACACGGGGCTTATTGAGAATGAATTGACGTGACCCCAAATGTTTCTTAATAAGAACCGTTGGCTATGAGAAAAGAAAGGGTTGAGGATCAAAGATTATTTTTGCTGTAGTCCTATTTTTACCTCTACAGCGTTATGCTTTTGAGTGAACTTTCAAAAGGTGCAAACTGTTAATATTTGTGTCTTTTTTTTTTTTTTGCTAGAAACATATAAACTGCTTACTCCTCTTTTCAGAACAAGTTGCAATGTTCTCAAAGTCATTTCTTTATAATATGCAAATGGACGTAAAAAGGAACGTTTTGTTCGTTCTTTTTTCCCACATTATAACGAGTGTCGGAGCTATCTCCTTTTTTGATGACTGATAGCTTTTGTACAACTGTGTCAATGTGTTTAGCCTTTTCAATGGTTTAGCCTCTTTAAACGCTGCACTACTCCACGGTGCCAATTTGGCCGTTTTCAGATAGTTTTGCGCGCTTGTAAATATCAATCTGCGCCCAATTTGAATCATTGATCATTTTACTTTACCTGTTAAATTAATGCGCCTTTTGTTATCTCACTTATTCTCGTTTGTTAAAATAAAAACTTTTGACTACCTGATGGTCATTTTATCAACTTCGTCCAAAAAAAAAAAAAAAAAAAAAAAAAATCCCAGTATAAAGAGGATGATAGGACAAGGAGGGAAAATAAAAAAAGATGAGCCCAACCAGCTGATTGAGATCAATAAGTACACTTTTGCCTACCCTTTACCTTATTTACCTTTCAATAAAACAAATTAGACATATCTACAGTTATATACAAATGGATTTGCATTCAAGCGTCAGTCCAAAGTAAGGATTATTTGTCACCTGATGGTAACAAGAACCAGTCAATTTTAAGCGCGGTCCATATTGGTTTTCAATCCTTTCAGGTTTCTCTTATTGATCTTTGCGCTTGGATTCCTTGCAACAGTGGTGATGGGTAATTCCTTTTTGGCAACGCAGGTGATTTTGTTATCGCAGGGAGTAAGTAAAAAGGGAGCTATAATGCAACAAGTTCAACTTGACAGACTACCCCTCAGTATTCGTGTTTTTTGTAATATGCGTGTGAAAACGTTGCCAACACCAGACAGACTAGTAGCAGTAGGAGAAGGGTGTTCCACCACCACCACCACCACTGGACGGTGCCTTAATTTCTATTGATGCATGATTTTCAAGCCCCATCGTATATGTTGATGAGTAATAGGTCGTTGTGCATGGCCATATGAACGGATTTAATAATGTAGATCCCAATTTAACGTTAAAAAAACTTTTTTTAATTTGTCCAAAATTTAAAAGAGCTGTAACCCTACATATTGAGCATGGCCCTTAATCAAGCAGTTATATAAAAGATTAAATAACTTTCAACGATGAGTTAAAGCTAACATGGGTTTTTGTATAAGGTAAACTATCCATTTTGGGAGGTGTAAACAATGATGTGTGTGAGAGAACAGTGAGGAAAAATTTGTTTATTTTTCAGCTTTAGGGGGTAATTGGTTACGCAAATTTGCTAATATTTATAAATGGGGGGTGATGATTAGAAGAAAAAAAAAAAAAAAAAGAATGAAAAAAAAAAAGAGATTAAAAAAAAAAAAAGATGATAATTATAATGATGAATGAAGCTTGTTACAAAAGGTTTTTTTTTTTTTTTTTTGGTGTGTTGAAGGATAAAGATGTATATTTACTTGCGTTTATACATTCTTCTAGGTGGTTTTGGTGGTGGCAAAGAAGTCTGTTTGGCGTACATGTATTAGTAATCCAGATTAGAAACTTTTATTTCCTTTATTTTACCTTGTCAATGTATTCCCAAGATTCATCTTGAGTGTCAATATCATCAAAGGATCTCTTGGATGATTTATCTTCCAATAAAGCTTGAATGTCATGGAGAACATTAGCTTCACGAATGATTGTATTTGGTCGGCGTATTTGATAGTATTGATAGACAGATTGTTGTGGTTGATTGACCGATGATTGATAGATGGATTCAGAGAGTGATGCTTGAATACTATCTTCCAAGACTTCCTGATTGTCGGCAAATGATTGACGAACAGAATCCTCATAAATTGAATCATTGAGCATGGATTGGCCAGATGGATCAAAACGAGGATCAGTGGACTTCTTATTGGGTTCATCATCAACAAGATAATTGTGTTCGATTGGACATGAACAGAGTTTGTTGGGCTTCTTTTGTGGCTTTGAAGGAGCAGCAAATTGATTTGTTGTGGGCGTAAAGTCCATGATATAATCATCTTGTGATATTATGTCATGCTGACGATTCTCACAGACCGAGACTGGTTCTTCAAAGCAGATAAATTTTTTTTCGGCGCACACATACTTGTAAGCAGCAAAGGCACCGTAAAGAAGAGCATGTGAAATAGATTCTACAGCAGAAACAGCAATCGAACGAAGACGTTTAGCGGGAGGATACTGATCCTTTTCAGCAGGCACCTTCTTGATGGATTTGATTCTTCGTTGGTGAGGGTCATACTGTACCTCTTCGGCATATTGCTTCAACTGGTAGGGGTCATAACTACTGGAAGCGATGCTATAGTCATTATAAGCGGTCTTGACATTATTTAAGCGATCGTACATGCGCGCAAGATAGCGACGACGATAACTGGAAGACTCCAATGAAACTTTTTTATCAAACAACATTCTTATTAAAAGAATAAAAGGAAAAATAATAAAAAACGGCGACTATTAAATAAAAATAATGTTTTCTTTTTTGCTTGTTGAAATAAAGCTCAAGATCCGTAAATGATGCTTTTTCAGTTCTTTTATAATAAAATGAAGCTATGAAAAAAAAAAAAAAGGGTTTTAAAAGAAGAAAAAGGATAAACAAAGAGATAAAAATTATAGGGAGTGATGTGAATATTTATACCAAAAAAAAAAAATCACCAGACCTTCTGTTACAATTTGTTCCCGCACACACCGTTTCAACATATCTCTAATAGATTGTACATCAGTGTATTCAGCACAGATACAGAGAGAGCCACTTTATTACATCTATTGCTGCTTATTTACCTTTTTACAATTTTCATCTATCCTCATACCAGACCTTCATACATATGTAAACCTTCTTCACCCCTCTTTCAACTCCTTTAGTCAGTCACTCTTGCACTGAACCGGCAAATATTTTAAAATCTTAAATATTGCCATATGTTTGTTCTTAAGCAAGTTCGACTATTCTAATGTAAAAATAAAAATAAAACTGTAGACTGAACATTGCATAGAATACGATCAGCTCTTCAAGGGCTAACAAAGAAACCCAATGAAGAATTACCGGCTTCTACAGTCTATTTTAGATCTTGCTCATGTAGACACCATGACTGTACAAACACGCTCTTCTGCTTCAATGTGAGGGGGTCGCTGACGGTAGTTGTCCGGTTGAGTAAAACATGTATATCACTACCAAATAAGTAAAGTTTCCGTCCTTATCCCCGGTGTACCACCTGTAATGCTAGTAGAATTTAGAGTGGCGTTGGATTATATCTCTAATGATCAAAATACAAAGATTTATTAAAACCTTGGCAAAAGGCATCTCGTTTATCATAGCCAGCCTTAATTTCCCTTGCTTTAATTTATGGCTGCAGTAAGTATCATGTCTTTCCCCAACTGTCCTAATTATACACTCGTGTCCCGAGTGATATTTGGCTCAGGGGGGAAATAAGGAAAAAAAAAAGATGTCCCTGGGCAAATATCCTAAGCGTAATTTACTATTTGCCAAGTTCACAGCACTACGGCCTTATTCTAAATTTTAATGTCTCACATACCAATCTTTTTGCTTGACGTTTGTTTAATTTATATTTAAATGACAAGCGTCTATCTAAAGCAATTTTCAGGTGATATCTAAACTTTACGAACACACACACACACACACACACAAAAAAAAAAAAAAAAAAAATTGATTTGCACAATGCATCAGCAGACTTTTATATTTTTCGTACTTGTTCCGCACCCAAAATAAAAATGGCAAACCATAAAGGATCACTCGTTGCTTCCGTTGTCTCCAGCACTAAAAAAGGTCACCACAATTACGGTCTACTTAAAATAGAACACAATGAACCCACTTCAATAATCACTAGTGTCGATGCCGTAGTCTTATGTACCTTTGCCATTCCTTTTCATATATCCATACCCGACTTTCTTAGCTTTGTTGCTCCTGTCGACTCTTTTGTGAGCCACTATAGAGTGATTCGGTAAAACAAAACATAAATGCCTTTTAAAAACAAAAGAAAGAGCTTGCACATTAAAATAAATTATTAGTGACACCGTGCCTGATTCTTACATGGTCTTGATGAAGTTTCGAGATCCACGTTCAGCAAATGATTATTATAACCAATATAGCAACAGACTCTTTAGTTCCATGGAGGTAAGAAAGAAAGAAAGAAATAACTTGACCATGACAAGTTATTGAAGGCAACGATACTAATAAAAAAAAGTGTAGCCAGAGCGATGTCAAGTGGTTTATATTGAATCTGTCGAGACCGGATCTCACATGTCCCCGTTTCCTTTCCCAGAAGCAGATCAGGAAAGCGAGGAACAATTATCTGCTTGTCCCGTCTGCTTAGAACCCATGTTGGATACCTTGACGGGATTACTAACAATTTTATGCCAACATACCTTTCATTGTCATTGTTTGTCGAAATGGGGTGACGGCAGTTGTCCCGTATGTCGATATTCACAAAAAAAGCCTTCCAACGAACTCGAGCAACAAGAACAAGAACACAAATTAACAAGAACAATCCCAGAGGAAGATCGTAATATCGGGGATCAAGAGGATCCCAATGAATGTGCAGTCTGTAAATCTGTGCTTCACCTTTGGGTTTGTTTGATATGTGGGTATATTGGATGTGGAAGATATGCAGGATCTCATGCGTATGATCATTATAAGGAAACAAGTCATCTCTATGCTTTAGAAATAGATACACAGCGAGTGTGGGATTATACAGGTGATGGGTATGGTGTATCTATTAAAGATAAAAACGTGATTGACTGACCCCGTCTGACTTTATGATAGATATGTGCATCGATTAATACAGAATGCAGTCGATGGAAAATTGGTCGAATTACCGAGTAACACCGAGAACGAACATGCTGCATCTCAGGTAGAAATAATAATTATGTATGTGTGATAAAGGTCTAAAAACAACTACGGGACATAGGAAAAAGAAGAAGCAATAGCATTGGAATATAACTACTTGTTAACATCACAATTGGATTCTCAACGTATCTACTATGAAAACCAAATGGAAAAAGTATTTAAAGAGATATCTGGTTTAACAATGCAACTGGGACAACTGACAGAAAAAGCAAATGAAATCAGATCCAACAATCATAGGATAGAGACCGAAAACAAGGTGAAGGAAAAGGTCATCTCAGATCTTGAAAAGGGTAAAGAAAAAGCGGATAAGAAATTGGAAACCTGGAAAGAGAAATCTGAATCTACCAAACATGTGTGGCTAGAAGAAAAAGAGGTATACATATCAGAAATTCACATTTATAGCACGCACACACACACACACACACATTTATAACTCTTGTCGTTTTGTAGATAACAAACTCGCTATTACAAAACAACGTAGTGATTTTAAAAAGCATGGAAGATCAGGAAGCGGCCATCAAGGAATTGAGTGACCAAGTGCGAGACCTCATGTTCTTTTTAGAGGCGCGTGAAAAAGTACAAGGTCATCCTGAATTAGAAGGTGGAAATATCGAAACACACACGCCACAACAAAAGCATGGCAAGCGTAGAGGTAAAAGATAAATGTTGACTGCTACCACAAAAATAAATGATTGTATTGTTTGTTGATTCAAAATATATGCGATTTGTTTTATTTTAATGAGTGATAAAAGAGTGAGAAAAGAAATTTAAAGAGTAGAGAACAATTCATGGTACTTGGGCAAAGGCCAGTACTTATCAGCACAGAGCTTTTCCAATTGATCAGTCAAGAGACGAGCCTTTTCGATGACAGGAGACACCTTGGTACAGGCATGGTCAGCAGCAGCAAAAGATTCTTCAATATGTTGAGCTTCAGCCAAGACACTTTCTAAGCTTTCAGCAGCATCTTGAAGACCAGTACAGATAGGAGCTAATTGAGACAACCACTTCATTTCGGGTGCGGATTCAGCACTGATTTGCTTCATGAAAGCAGCAGATTCAGAGAGTTCACGACGATAACTGAAGGCAGCAGGTAAAACGTGTTCAATAAGCATACCCACAAGGGTTTGTGCTTCGATATGGATTTCCTTGGTATACTTCTCGGACAAAATATGATAACGAGACTCTAATTCGGGTTCGGTAAAGACACCGAGACGCATGAACATCTCCTTGTTCTTGGGAGTCAAAAGACGTTGGAAAGCTTCAGGACTCTTGACAATGTTGGGAAGACCACGCTTGGCAGCTTCTTGAACCCACTCATCAGAGTAGTTATCACCTTCATAACGAATGTTCTTGGTAAGGGTAATATACTTGCGGATAACAACGAGCATATCCTCATCAGAGGCAACAGCCTTATCACCCTTTTGCTTCTTAAGATCATCTCTGATCTCCATGAGTGCAGAGGCAATAGCAGAGTTAAGAATAGTGACGGGGAAAGAAGGTGATTGCTTGGAACCAACAGCACGGAACTCGAACTTGTTACCAGTGAAGGCGAAGGGAGAGGTACGGTTACGATCAGTCATATCACGGTTCAACTTGGGTAAAGTAGCGACCTTGAGATCAAGAGTGGTACCAGTGACACGCATGTGAGTGGTTTCAGTACCAGCCAAAACCTTGTTGACAGGACGACCTTCTTCAATAGCGTTCAAGACTTCGTTTAATTCAGAACCCAAGAAAGCAGAAATAATACCGGGAGGAGCTTCTTGAGCACCAAGACGATGGTCGTTGGAAGCAGAGGCAACACCGGCACGGAGAAGATCACCGTGATCATAAACACCCTTAAGACAGGCAACCAAGAAGAGTAAGAAACGGTAGTTGGTTTCGGGAGTAGAGGTAGGACTCAAAAGGTTGTCACCACGGTCAGTGGATAAACTCCAGTTACAATGCTTACCGGAACCGTTAACACCCTTAAAAGGCTTTTCGTGGAAAAGACATTTGAGCTTGTACTTGTGAGCAACACGATGCATGATATCCATGGTCAATAAGTTGTGATCGACAGCAAGCATAGCTTCCTCAAAGATGGGAGCAGCCTCAAATTGACAAGGAGCAACTTCATTATGACGAGTCTTGATGGGGACACCCAATTTGGCTAATTCAAGCTCAATTTCGCTCATGGCAGCCAAGACACGAGTAGGAATCTTACCAAAGTAATGATCTTCAAGTTGTTGATGACGAGCGGGAAGTCCACCAATCAAGGTACGACCACAAGTCTTGAGATCAGGACGGAGAGCATAGAGAGCTCTGTCAATCAAGAAATATTCTTGCTCTGTTCCCAAAGTGGTGAAAATCTCCTTGGTGCGAGGAACATCTATTAAAAATATTGTTTAGTTATATATATTTAAAAGTCAAATCCCAAACTGAACCAATCATCAAGCCAACTCAGTTTAGAAAAGGTAATAAATACGTACCATCCTCAATAGGCTCAATAAGATGAAGGATTTCCAATGCAACCTTGGAGATGACAGAGGAAGATCTCAAAAGAACAGACTTTTCATCAAGAGCTTCACCGTTATAGGAAATAAAGACGGAAGGAATGTAAAGAACCATGGTTCCGTGAGGACCTTCTTGAAGGAACATGGGACTAGCAAACGTTTGTTTAGTCTTTTCACTCGAGCGTTCACACACACACACACACACACACACACACTCTCTCTCTCTCTCTCTCTCTCTCTCTCTCTCTCTATTACTCACCTCTTGGTGTCCCAGACGGTATAACCACGAGCCTCAAAAGTGGTACGCATACCACCGGAGGGGAAAGAAGAAGCATCAGGTTCAGATTGTAACAATTCTGATCCGGAGAAGGTTTCAAGTGCAGTAACCTGTACAAATATTTATGAATTAGTACAACGACACACAAGGGAAAATGATTGATTGATTGATAAATAAAACTTACATCAGGAAGACCGTTAGAGAAGGTAGTCTTCAAGGTGAGGAAAGAATCGTGCTTTTCAGCAGTAGAATCATTCAAGGGTTGGAACCAATGAGTGAAATGAGTAGCACCACGCTCAAGAGCCCAAACCTTGGCAGCATGAGCAATAGCATCGGCAGTGACCTTATCCAAGGTTTGACCACCCTTGAGTTGGCTGGAGAAAGTCTTGAAGACAGGCTTAGGAAGTCTGTCAGACATTTCTCTGGTACCAAACACGTTTTTACCGAAAACTTCAGACATGAGTTCTTGTTTACCATTGTTCTTGGGGAACTCTACAGTACGATGGTTTCTACCTAAAACACCAGTGACGATATCCACACGAGCTTGTTGGGACATTGTTTATATATATATATATATAAAAAAAAAAAAAATAAAGATAAAGAAAAAAGATTATTTTGGTCAAAATTAAATCATTATATTGCACTGTTTTTTTTTAAATATCCGCGCGTCCCTCCCCCACCCCCCTTCCCTTTTGCCCCCGTTAAGCTTTTTTTTAAATTTTTAATACCGAGTCACGGGTGATCTACATTGTCTAATTATAAAATTCCCATGGAAGCGCTTGTTTCTTTGTTGTTTTAAACCCGCAGAATTATTCATTATGTAGAACTGGTCTTTTTAAAATTCATGTTTGGGGTAAAGACGGCTGTGCTTTTTGTTTACATGCATCTAATAATAAATAAAATCAAATGAGCCTTGCAAATAAAAATAAAAAAAATTATTTTAGGCGCAATTTAGAAATGATAAGAAAAAATAGTGCTTCTTCCTTTTGAGGCACAATTTATTTCTATGATTAATATCTTGCCTGCACCCATATTATACTCACAAATATAGTAAAATATACCATTCTGTATTGTCTGACAAAAATATTATGTTGTCCAGAATTAAAAAAGGGCACGTTACACGCGATTGTATTTTGTCGGATAACATTTCTATATTTTATATTTTTTTCTTTTTCTGTTATCAGTTGGGGGGAGGGCAAAGATAACACACGAAAAAACAAACTTTACCCGCTTTGATCGCGCTTTGTTTTTTTTTAGGGTAAACGACCCCCCAGTACTATTCAAACTCCGTTCCGAACCCATTCTGGATCTGCATCATTTCGGCTTTTGTTTGATCTACGTGAAATAACACGTAACATCTCTACAAAAAAAAAACATCTATAAAAACCCTAGCTTGTAGTTACAGCTTATCTAGATCATTATTATCATTTTTACCTCTTCATATTATGTCTCTTACTGCTACTCTTACTTCTGCTGCTGCTGCTGCTGCTGGTCATCGTCTTGGTGGTGATGAATTTAAGCCTGAACAAAACCTTTCTGACTTTGACGGTTACAAGTTTGCTCCTATTCGTGAATCTCAAGTATCTCGCGAGATGGTCACTCGTTATATGAATGACATGCTCTATTATGCTGAATCTGATGTTGTCATTGTGGGTTGTGGCAGTGCTGGTCTTTCTTGTGCCTGGGAACTCTCCAAGGATCCCTCCTTGAAAATCGCCATCATTGAACAAAGTGTCTCTCCCGGTGGTGGTTGTTGGTTAGGTGGTCAACTCTTTTCTGCCATGATTGTTCGTAAACCTGCTGACAAGTTTTTAGATGAACTCGAGATCCCTTATGAAGAAAAGGAAAACTACGTAGTTGTCAAGCACGCTGCCTTGTTCACTTCTACCATCCTTTCCAAGCTTTTGATGCGTCCCAACGTTAAACTCTTTAATGCCACGGCTGTTGAAGATTTAATTGTCAAGAACGGTAAAGTTGCTGGTGTTGTTACCAACTGGACTTTGGTCACTCTCAATCACAACACCCAATCTTGTATGGACCCCAACGTCATTGAAGCCAAGGTCGTTGTTTCCGGTACTGGTCATGATGGACCTATGGGTGCCAGTGGTGTCAAACGATTGGAGTCTATTGGCTTGATCAAGGAAAACAAGGGAATGCTCTCTCTTGATATGAATGCTGCTGAAGATGATATCGTCAGATATACGCGTGAGGTTGTTCCCGGCATGGTTGTTACTGTATGTGTTACTCTTTGTGCAAGCACAAAATTACCCACGACTAACTTTTTTTTTTTAATCTGTAGGGTATGGAGTTGGCTGAGCTCGATGGTGCTCCCAGAATGGTACATCCCGACACAAAGATGACTCATACTGCCGATACGCTTCCCCATCGATACTAACACTATTCTATTTAGGGACCTACTTTTGGTGCCATGTTAATCTCTGGCCAAAAAGCTGCCTACGCTGCTCGTGCTTCTCTTGCTAGACAAGCTGCAGAAGAGGAGAAGGCTTCTGTTTCCATCTAAAAAAGTGTTTCTGATATTTGGCGTCTTTTTTTTTCTTCTGTTATTATTTTTTTATATAGGTTTTGAAAGTTGGTTGTTGGAATAGTTTCTTTTTATTTCTGTACGACTGGCTCTAGGGGTGCTTGGTACAATCTTTTTTATTTTGTCCTTGCTGAGATCATACCCTTCGAACGTGATTTTCTGCATAATAGCAGCGCACGGAAGTTAGCCCATGTCAAATTCTTTTTTCCCCTCTTTAATAAAAAAAAACAATTTTTGTTCTTTGTCTTAAAAATGGGTTATTCGTAGCTTATGTCGGAATAGAATAGAGCTCATAAACTTGGGACTGGATAAAATATGAGCACACTTACAAAAATATAATCACAGTGGTGCACTCAGTGCTTAAAAACCCGCCACCTGTAGTAAGAACCCTCAATCAGTGGGTGGTAAACACGTTGAGCTAAATTATCTTCTAGGGCGGATGATTGTAACACTTTCTTGTAAAGGCACATTACGTGAGTGCTCCCAACTGAACAAATTCTCAATGTCTGCTTCTAATCCACGCTCATAATCGATCTTCGTAAAGGATAATCCCTCATCTGTTTCCTCATAAAAGATACACATCTTTATTTAGTAAAAAAAGATTCAAATAATTTAATCATTCATTTCTTGGAATATTTTAGATGTGATACGAGGTAAGTGAAATATATACTCAAAGTTAAATTTGAGCATCGGTGGTATGACTTGCAATTTATTTCTTTTAAAAGTAAAAGTAACGATGATGATGGCAGAAAATACCAGTCTCTCAATGACGATGCAATACACCGCCAAAGGTTAAAAAAATCGAGTATTTAATTCTTCCTCACACAGTCTCTGAAAAAGACAAGGATTTCTGATAAAATGCAGTTGGCGACCTTTTCAACTGGCACATACATACTCAGCACAGTAATCAAGTTTGCATCGTCTTAATGCAATTGTGGACGATGGGGTTCCTGTACGAATACACACACTGACTCAGCAGCATATGTAAGTTCGTTAATTGTTAAAGGTGCCGTCATGTCTTCGTGTAGCTGTTAAATTTAAAATTGCACAAGTGGTAATTATTTAGTTGTTAACAACAAACACTATCATAAGCTATTAAAAGAAAGAATCGGGGTTGAGGAATATGTCAACAGATATACAAAAATGTATAGTTGCCCTTATTACATGATAGTCGGGTGCACTGTATACCTTATTTATCGCTCTAAATAAATCACAGGATAAGGAGTGATAGTCGTTTAACGTGGCCATTTATTATGCCTCTCTTGTTTCAAAAGTTTATAATATGGTCGAGCTTAGACCGCGTACTTTATGGTGGATATTGTGATTATCAGTTTGGTACTTTGGGAAAGCTAATGTACTTCCAAAGAGTATAGCATGACCGGTCACATATAATTTAGTTTTCTCATCTTAGTCCAAGTCCCCCTTCGATACCATAGGAACAATGTTCGGGAATTAAAAATAAAAGACTAACAAAGCAAGTTTTGATTTTCATGCAGTCATACCCAAAACCTTAAACACTAATTAAAACTTGTCCAAATCAAAGTATCGGCTTTCTTTATGTACAGTTAAAAGGGAGAAGTGCTATGTTATTTTGATTCCTTTTATTTTAAAAAAGAATAGTCGAGAGTCTATCAGTTAGCGATTTACTAAGAGAGACAATTAAAATTAGCAAATATAATTGGGTTTGTGCCTTTTAGTTTATTACCTGCTTCATAGCATCTTTCTTACCCTTGCGGTCAAGGATAGCAACACGACTCTTATCCAACTTGAGGTTGGTGATGACAACCTTGGAGGGAGAGATACCAATAGGAGCAGTGGCACCGTTTACCTTCTCGCGGGAGACACGATCAATGTGAATAACCCACTTCTTACGGTAGACTTGGACAACCTTACCCTCACGGCCCTTATAGGTACCGCGAACAACCATGACCTCATCGTCCTTACGGACAGGAATAGAGCGACACTACATGGATTATTAGATTTGAGAGGAAAAAAAAAAAAAAGAAAAGATGGAAGGTGTATTTACGCTGTGCTTTTCACGGAGTTCCTTGGATAAAGGAGCACTCATAATCTTGCGACGAACATCGGAGGTGGCAGAGAAATGGGCCTTTCTGCTCTTACGGCGAGAAGAACTAACGTCTAAATGAAGGTCATGTTACTAATGAGCCCAAAAAAAAAAAATCAGGGTGGATGTTTTTTTTTCTTAATTTTCTCAAATCATCCATCCATTAATGAAGTACGTACCAGCACTGAATTTCATGGTTGAATAGGGTGCACAGAAAGAAGGATCGATGTATGCATCATAGCTCTATTCCCTTCAAAACTTCTCGGACTTTCTTGTGGGGGGTCCCGTTTCTGTATTGTCACCCCCCATAAGCTGGGAATTTTCCACGCATAGTTGGAGGCAACACTATAAAAAAAAAAAAATCACTCCGGGCCGGACATGACCAGATAATTCATACTGACTGTAACGCGTTTGATTCGCGTCTGTTGATTTTTTTCTTTCTCTCATTTTCCATTTGACTTCAAAAAAATGTCTCTCGTCAATATTTTAAATATCCAAGTTTTAGACAACCCCACATCATTTAAAAACCCTTTTCAATTTGAAATTACTTTTGAATGTAACGCCCCTCTTAAAGATGGTAAGCTTATAAACAAAAGAACCTAAAAGGAAAAAACGTTAATTAGAACGTGCTTGTAGATCTTGAATGGAGAATGATTTACGTTGGAGCTGCCGAAAGTTCTGAGTATGACCAAGTACTTGATTCTATTATGGTTGGCCCTGTTCCTGTAGGCGTTAACAAGTTCGTTTTCTGTGTAGGTTACTTCATTTAAACAAGACACACGCAGTGACTCATCTCTTTCTTATTTAGGCTGATGCACCAAAAATTGAATTGTTGCCTATTAAAGACTTGTTGGAAGTAACCGTTGTGTTATTGAGTTGTCTTTATAACGATAAGGAATTTGTACGTGTTGGCTATTATGTGAACAACGAATACACAGACGAAGTCTTGCGTGAGAACCCTCCTGAGCAAGTCATCATAGATCAGTTACAAAGAAACATTTTGGCAGATAAGCCCAAAGTTACAAGGTAAAATTGACAATTATTCAAACATTGTATATTGCATATTAATTTTGAATTTCCTACTTTTAGATACACAATTGATTGGACCAACCCTGAAAATACTATTCCTCAACAAACCGAGCAATCAGTTGATCAGGTATGATTTAATTACAGTCAATGATATTACCTGCTAACTTTTTTTTTCTTGTCTGTAGGATATGATGGTTCAATAAACAAACAAACAAACTCTTGAGAAAAAGCTTACAAAAAATACCATTTATATCAAAATCTTTCACTATTATGTACAATAAACAATCTAAAAAAAAAAAAAAAAAAAAAAAAAAAAAATGGAATTGAATGATAAACAATGAGAGTTTATTAAGACGTATGTAATGCTAAAGTTTATTTGTGAGTGTGTAATTTATTCAACAGAACATTGGAGAGGTCCTTTTGAGCGAGATTGGCTACAAACATCTCTGAGGAAATTGAAACGACGAATGTATCTGGTGGTATTTTTGATTACTTCAAGGCTAATCTCTGGTTCTTCTTCATCGTCAGTAACGTCTCCACACGAAAATCCGCCTGATGATTGTTGTGCTCGTCTTTTGTTCTCGTTTAATTTAATCGCGGCCATTTGTTCTTCGAGTTTAGAAAGATCGTTGCTTCTACTAACAATTTCTCTTTGAATATCACGGATTGCTCGATGAAGTGAATACAAGGTAAGTTCACTATATAAACAAAACTTAGTTTAATATCCTATGGCAATAACCCCTCTTTCTGCTTACCCTGCATTATGTTCATTCTTGATCTTATTGCGCTTCTTGTATTCTTGCAACTTAAATTCCATATTGCTCAAGGTAGACTCATAAGCTTCAGCCTTGTTTTCAATCATACTTAATTCATCCTTTGTTTCGGCGTCCATTTCTCTTTCATCCAGTACGTCAATAATTTTGTCATCAAATTTCTTGCCCAAAACAGTTATAATATGCTCTTTTTTGTCCGTCACTTTTAATTAAAAGCCTGTCAATAACATATTCAATTTGTTTATCATTTAACTCACATTTTTTACTGGCTGCAGAAAGAGATTGGAATGATTCCTTCATTTTGGTTGCCTTTACTTGATCCTCGGCAATACTTGCAATAATATTTTGTGTTAAAGTACCATATTCAGCAACGTCGCTCAAGTTCCACACAGAGTTCTTGTCTTTTAAGCTATCCTCTGTTTTCTGTCCACGGGCCATTGTGTTTGCCTTCATCACATCATTAATCTTTTCATGGATCGAACTTAACTCATCAATTTCTTCACACACATTGATATAAAGTAACTCAAACTCACGTCCCATACCATCTAAGGCTGTAGGCTTGAGCTTTTCTTTACCCTTGACTTCAGAAGTAGCTTGTTTAGTTTCAACTTCAGATCTTTTGCTTTCTACAGCAGCTGGTTTTGATTCAGCAACAACTGCAGCTTTCACTTCAGCAGGTTTGGGTTCGGCAGATTTGGCCGCAACAGGACTTTTTACGGTAGTAGGAGTAACCGGTGATGCACTCTTGGCTTCGCTAGGCTTGGTCAGTGGCGATGTTTCTGTTTTGGTTGCTGTTGATCCAAATGTCGTATTACCGAGTGCTGTAGGTGAGCCAAACAGTGGTTTACTTGCAAGAGAGTCCTTAGCCACTGGTTTCTTTTCCGCAGATCCCCCAAATGTAGTGGTGGATCCAAATGAAGGTGAAGTTGTAGGTGTTGTAGCTCCAGGCACTGTATTTTTTGCAAGAGATCCAAACCCACCACTACCAAGAGTAGCTGTAGATCCGAATGAAGGTGTAGTAGCTCCAGGCACTGTATTCTTGGCAAGAGATCCAAAACCTCCGCTACCCAGTGTCGCTGTTGATCCAAAAGAAGGTGTGGTTGTAGGTGTTGTGGCTCCAGGCACTGTGTTCTTGGCAAGAGATCCGAAACCTCCGCTACCCAGTGTCGCTGTTGATCCAAAAGAAGGTGTGGTTGTAGGTGTTGTGGCTCCAGGCACTGTGTTCTTGGCAAGAGATCCGAACCCTCCGCTACCAAGAGTAGCTGTTGATCCAAAAGAGGGCGTAGTTGTAGGTGTTGTGGCTCCAGGCACTGTGTTCTTGGCAAGAGATCCGAATCCACCGCTACCCAACGTAGCTGTCGATCCAAAAGAAGGTGCGGTGGTAGGTGCTGTAGCTCCGGGTACAGTGTTCTTTGCTAGAGATCCAAAACCTCCACTTCCCAGTGTCGCTGTTGATCCAAAAGAAGGTGTGGTTGTAGGTGTTGTAGCCCCAGGCACAGTGTTCTTTGCAAGAGATCCAAATCCGCCTACAGCAGAAGTCGAACCAAATGATGAGGTAGAGCCAAAAGCGGAGGTGGCGGGTTTGTTTGCTGCGGCACCAAATGCAGACGTAGTGGATGAAGAACCAAATGATCCAAAGCTTGATTTGGGTGATTCAGTGGATGTCTGTCCCAATGACATACTACCAAACGAACTCTCTGAGTTTGGTACAACTTGGTCGGATTTGGCAAACGAGGACAAAGGCTTATTAACTTCAGGTGCACCAAATGCAGGTTTGTTAGCGCTAGAGCCAAAGTTCGTGGTGGATCCAAATGTAGGCACTGCTGCGGCTGGCGTATCATTACTAGATTTGGCAGTGGCAAATCCTGCCGAGGGTGTTGCGGGTATCTTTTGTGCTGACCCTAAATTAGAAAAAGAAGGGAGCCCTCCAGCAGCAGAAGAACTAAAACTTCCGAAACTGAAGCCAGAAGATGCTGGTGTAGGTGAAGTGCTACTTTTACCAGATAAAAGATCGCCAAATGAACTAGTGCTTGTAGATCCAAATCCAGAGAAGTTTGGAGTCTGTGTGACGGTAGGAGTATGAGCAGCAACAGTAGGATCAGAAGCGGGAGCGGTAACCGGTGCTGCTGTTGAAGAAAATGTAGGCGGAACATAAGGTTCGCCTCTACGAGCAAGGTCTATGTTATAACAGTGATAAGCACACACATGACCTTCATCATTGAGAAAATATAAGACGGGCATGGGATCAACGGCTGTATCATCATCACCAGCATCGAACGATGGCAATTTTTCATCCGCAGTATAATCGATGGCCATACCAAGAGGATAGGTGTCCATTGAGGTCTCAGTAGATAAAGGCAAGAAAGCTAAACCATTCTCGGGTAAAGACCAAGTAGCCCATTCTCCTTCTTCATTTTGTCCAAGAACAGACACGTCCGTTGATGCAGCATTGGTAATAATGACAAGATGCTTGATTTCCTTTCCTAAATCACGAATAACTTCCATATAAAAATGATTTCCTCGTCCTTCTGTTGTAAATATAGGTGTGATTTCAGCTAAACGAATATAATCAGGCTCAGTGGATCCATTTGTTGGTTTTCTGTTGATAATATATCCATCATTCACAAAATCATCATCATCACTGGTACGTGGACGGCTATATAAAGCGAGGAAAATATGATTTTCGATCCATAACACGTCCTGAACTACGATTGTAACTTTTTAACACAGGATTATTTCAACTACTTGGTCAGAATATTTACCATATCTGTTTGTTTCTTCTTCCCCATGACCTGCACTCATGGCTGCAGGAATAGGTAATTCCGATTTTGCTACGCCCTTGGCATCAAAATGTAAAAGTTGTCCTTCAGTAGTTCCACATACAATTTGCTTTCCCTTGGGAGACCAACAAATCGCTGATATATTGTCCACGGGAATATCACACTGCGTATTTCCCGTATTGATATCGATAATTTTACAATGGTTGTCGTCAAACAATAAAGCTGTCAAGTTGGGAAGTGCTTCTGGATTAGGTCGTAAATCTTTAATATTGAGTTCCCAGTCGTAACTTTCGATTGGTATAACTTTCTCTTTCTAATACAGAAAATCAAAAAATAATAATAATAAGTAGATACATTTAAAAATACAAAGTTTCAAGAAGTTACTTTGGTCAGGATATCGTTGACATTATAAATGAACAAATTACCACCTTTCAAGCTAACCAGAAGCAAAGTCTCGTCGCCAGAGAATCGAACTTGTTGAACTGGTTTTTCCAGAGGGACACAAATAACGTCTTTATCAATGGTGACAGCAGCACCATTGTTGGCACTGTAAATAGCTTGTCGAAGTGATTTTGTGGTGCCAAAAGTGAAGCCTTTTATTTGTTTTTCATTCAAGCTTTAATATTTATACATTAGAAAGCACAAGTGTAAAAAGATTACCTTTGGTTGTAGCTGAAGCGTAATAACCATTCTTATTTGAGACGGCAAATAATGAAACAGTAGCTGGATACTTGGTTACTTCGAAAGGTTCCTCTTGCAAAATAACTTTGGCGTCAGGAACAAGACCTGTAAATTTAAAGAACTACGCATTTTATTTAGTTTTCCTCTCATTAGAAATTAAATGTTGAGACACGCTTGTTTACTTTGACGTCGGTTGGGTCAATGAGCTCGTTAGAATCTGCCAAGGCACTATACGGATTCATTTTGGTTTTGTTATAAAAAAAAAAATACGCGGTCAAAAAGTTGAAAAAAACTTTGGATATCAGTCAATACAAGTCACGTTTCAATATGTTTGATATATGCATAAAGTCCAATCCACGGGCCATAATCATATCAATTTTCTAAACTTAATGGGATAACCGTTTTTTCTTCTTCATTATTGATACATGCTACTTCTGAAAGACGGATAGACAATCACCAAGGTTCAGAATTGCTTGTATATACGCGTGGGGCTATTTGCAGATGTTCAATCAACGGTAAAAGAAGGCTCTTTAACAGGGATACAGCAGCAGTTCTAAATTTTTGCCTAATATTAAATTCATTGATGGAAGAAGATTAAATACCAAAAAATTAATCAGAACAGCAAAGCGGGAATCACAGAAGAGGGATCCAGAAAAAAAAATCAATAATTTTCCGCCATAATTATCATTATAGTTGTATCTTAACTTATAGTTACTCTTTTACTAAATTACCTTGTCCGACTAGGTAAGCAAAGTATCTGAATTTTATCTTCGCTGTACAAAGATTAATTACTTTTGTCTCAATTTCATTTCTTACTCTTCCAAAAAAGGCAAGCCAAACTTCTAAATAATAGTAACATCGTCTGAATATCAAGTGTAAAAACTGTAAGCGGATAGATTAATCGGACATGATAATAAGCAATTATCACAATGCATTAAGGATAGATAATAATAGATTCATGAATCAAAGTTAGTGTTCAGAAATTGTACCTGCAATAATTAGATAAAACATGTTTGGTTAGCTGTTCGCTCAGGCTTTTGCACATATGAAAATATTTTAAATTTGCATCAATAGGCCAAAGCAAACGACTATAGCCTATTTCTCTATTCGCTTGCTAACGACGATAGTGGGTCGAAAGACAGTTTTCTACAAGAAGCATTAAATGCAACTATCAAGTCACTGCTCCATGGTTTTCTTTCTTACCCTGTAAATAAAAACGCGTAAAGACTACGCATACATACACACAAACAAAAAAAGTTTACGTCTATACGCGTAGTCTAGCGGAAAGCAGATTAGAAGGCCGCCTTATATAGAAGAAACTAAACGTTCCCCTTTGGTCGCTCGTCCTTTTTTTTAAAAGCGTATAATACAGTCCTTCCTTTGAACAAATATTTTGAATATACGCTTGCATTTTTAGTAGAAGGTATGGTATACCAATTGGTCACTTGCATGCTAGCACAAGATATTTAGAGCCTAAAAATTCATGGCAAGGTGAAGAGAAATAGTTAAAGTACACCTGTACTAAGTTAATCGCGTAGTGCAGTTTTTCTCGCTTTGCTTGATATATATTAGAAGAGGTACATCACGAAAGTTTTTTGATTGTGCTATTGTGCATTTCTTGATTAGTTGAGCTGCCATTTTCTGTGACTTTCTAAAAATTTAAAGTTTTACAGCATTAAAGTGTTCATGACAAATCCGGGGTGAACTAGTCTATTTACTCAATAACCAAATATGTTTGCTTCTCGTCGTATTGCCGCCTCTATCATCCCACGCGTTGCTTTAAACGCTTCAGTACGTCCTGTACCTACAGCACGTAAAGCTTTTGCTACTACCAGCATTGCTCGTTTCTTAAACACCAACACCATCGAACAAAAGCGCGCTACCGTTCAACGTAAACTATTATTCCGTGAACACACGTGCAGAATCATGTAATTGACCGATTTTTGACCATAGATCCTGCTCCCCAATGGTCTGCTACTTCTCTTGTGGATGGTGAATTCAAAGAATTAGCTTTGTCAGACTACAAGGGAAAGTTCGTTGTCATGGTCTTCTACCCTGCCGATTTCACTTTTGTTTGTCCTACTGAACTTTTGGCCTTCAGTGATCGTATTGAGGAATTCAAGCAATTGGGTGCTGAAGTTGTTGGTGTTAGCGTAGAGTAAGTGGTTTTGTTGATAAATTAAAATGCGTATATTACTAACACACGCACCTTTAACAGCAATGTTCACTCTCATTTGGGTAAGTGGATAGATGATAGATTTCGATACAAATATTCAACTTTTTTGTAGCCTGGACCAATGTTCCCAGAAAGCAAGGTGGACTTGGATCAATCAACATTCCTCTTGGTTAGTTATCTTGCTAATATGAAGATGAATAATTTCGGCTAAATGTTTTAAATAGTTTCCGATATCAAAAAGGAGATTTCCACCAACTACAACGGTTAGTAAAAAAAAAAAAAAACGCCGTTCAATCTAGCATCTCGTATTAATGTGATTATACGTAGTCTTAATTCCTGAAGAGGGTTTGGCTCTTCGTGGTTTGTTCGTCATTGATCCCAAGGGTACTCTTCGTGTTTCTACTATTCACGATTTACCTATTGGCCGCTCTGTTGATGAGACTTTGAGAGTCATTGAAGCCATCAAATTTGTTGATGAGCACGGTGAAGTGTGTCCTGCTAACTGGACCAAGGGAGAAAAGACTATCAAGCCTGACCCTAAGGGATCTCAAGAATACTTTAACAGTGCCAACTAAACTAGTACATCAAAAATGAATAAAAAATGTCAACCTGTTTTTCTTTATTAAAAACATAATTAAAATGTGGTTGAATCTTCTGGATCATAGTTGTCGTTAATCAATCTATAGACATACGTTGGTGGGGCAGATCCGCTATAAATAAGAAATATAAGTATATGTTGGAACATAGCTAAAAGTATAACTTACAGATTATGGATAAATAAACTGACATAATCAGGACCAACATAATCGTAATAAGGATCAGTTATTGTCACCTTATCAATAATCGGTCCTTCTTGAAAGTTCAAAACATTTTGAGGAGATACAGTGACATTGAAAGCATCAGCTACATATGCAAACAAAGGCGACAATTTGTATAGTGCTGTACAGACTAGAACTGGAGTGGAATGATGTTTTGCTGCAGCTGCTAATAAATGAGAACCCGAAACAGAAACAAGTGCGCCGTTTGCGAGAACTAGGTTTTATGCATTAATAATGATACATACCTGTCTAGTCTGGTCTAAACTTACCAGCATGAGCCCCCAAGACTACCTTATTGACTCGAGGCATTGCTGCAAAGATTGCCGAGTCAGCAATAACCGTAGTATCAATACCGGCTTTGGATAATGAAAGTGCCATCTTGTGGCCCTGGTATCTATATGAGTCATAATTAGTTTGGCTCCAATTTTTACTTATGTTTAACGTTCTAACTTACGTAGGAGCAGTTTCAGCGACAATGACTTGAAATTTACGCTTTTGGGCAGCCCTCATCAAAAATTCCTGGACAGTGCGAGATATGCCAATTGTCATAATAACCTCACTAATATACGATTTTAGAATCTACAAGTGACCCACTTTCTTAACACTTACTTGGCATGAATAAAATCCAGTGCTTGATCTGCAATTCCTTTATAAATGGTATCTAAATCAGCAATAATTTCCTCGGTAATTTCTTGAATGATCAAAGGCTTCAAATTGTATGTGTCCCTAATTCTTTTTTCGTTCTCCTCTCTCTTTTGTTCTCTGACAGTTAAGGTAGACATGTCAGCCAATAACCTAAACATTGACGCCTGGGTCGACAATTCAGGGTGACCGTTTATTGAACCATTTATACTACTGGCGGTAGAAGACTGTTTGAAAATATTGGGCTGTTCCTCTTTATCTGAATCCTCAAATTCGTCTTCCTCGAAACTGGAATAATCAGGTGTAGCTTCTCCACGTTCATCTCTGCCATCAGTTTCTAATTCTCCTCGAGAAACTTCACGGATAACTTTTAAAACACGCTTTACAATATTACCCACGGCCAATTCTAAAGTATAATGAGAAACTGTTTTTTTTTCTTATTGGCACTATTCGTTATTTATGTTACCGTTAGGCTGAGCAGAAGCAAGTCGAGCACCAGTATGTGTAATGATGTCAATCAATACGTTAGCGTCACGCCAACGAGACGTAGAAACCACCTGTCGCAAGATAGTCGCTGTTTCTTTTGCTACATAATACGAGCCGAGAATTTGTCTAGGTAAAATGTCAAAGCAAGTAGAGATGGTATCGCAATTTTCATATATTACCGTCGTTTGAGCTTTTGAATGAAGTCCACCACTTGAGTTTCCAGACCTACTGGAAGGCTCATTATAAATAATTGAAGAAGGATAATCACCTTTTAAAATTGACGCCCACGGTATTTTAAAATCCAAGCCTCCACCGCATTTCTTGGTGTAGCACCAAGCATCATATTTAAGCAAACTCTTTGACCGCCCATTTGTTACTTCAAGTCACTATGAATTGTCTCTGTATATTTATTTACATGTATTTTCGAGACACGTAACCTTGTATCAAGGATGGACTACCGATAAAAAGACTTTATCCACCCAGTAAGGTGTAGATTGTAGCCTATAAGTCTGTCCATTAGGACTGATAAGCAGTTTATGTTTTAAAAAACAATAGGATCGATAGTAGTTGAAAATTACATCAAATGCACACAGCTTTTTATTAATAAAACAGTAAGATGGCACACTTAACTCTGAGAATGTGATAATGAAGCATTTGCTTGTCACTTTAACGTGCATGAATCCCTCCAATCATTTTAAAACTCACTTTTTCAATGTTGTTGTGGTACAGTAGTTCATTTAAAGAATCAAATTGATCGGGTAGACTAAAACAGTTGAGATGTATTAAAAGAAAGATTGCATGAAGGATTATAGAATCGACGATTATGTAATCAGTATTTTTACAAGCTATTGACATCTATGTCTATCTTGCCCACATTAACTGTAGATACATTATTAGATTCAACCAGCCTTACTTATTTGGTCATAGATAGCTCTTGTGTGCAGGACCTATTCGAGACTTCACAACTTCTCTATTGAGACAATGCATTATAATAAAAGCAAATCTTAATATACTATTTAAAGTAGCTATGATAGAAAAATGTACGTACTAAGACGTCCTGATTTTTTTGAATTGCTGTATTCCTTGTAAATGCATATCATACAAACAATTTTCAACATAAAGCCCGATGAAGTCGATCAAAGAAGAACCTAATTTTTCAGAAACTCAACAAAAAAAAAAGTGACTGTCACATCAAAATGTAGCATTTTTTTCATTTTTTTTTTCTTCTGTTGTTTTTGAAGGCTTCTTTAACTTTATCTTTTTTAAAATGGACGGTTACCAAGGTGCACCTATTCGTCAACCTGTTGCTATGGCATACTTGTGTGCTGGTAAGCTTTCTCTTCAATTGAATCACATTGTCATTGAATTTTTATGACTTACCTTTTTTTTTTCTCTTTTGTTAGATTGTGGCGCAGAGAATCAATTGAAGCCTAGAGAGCCCATCCGTTGTCAAGACTGTGGTCACAGAATCATGTACAAGAAGAGAACCAAGAGAAGTAAGTGTAGAAAAACATTTGAGCCATGATTTTTGTATTGACCATATTGTTTAGTGGTCCAATTTGAAGCTCGCTAAACAGAAAAACAAGTGATTATGTATATATCTAAACCACACGCACACAAACATAAAAAAAGAACTGTATTTGCCAAATAAATAAGAACAGAGTAGTATAGAATTTAAAATTTGGATTTACAATTAGGCGGTAGTACTTTGGTGATCATTAAGTGGGGAGGGATTAAAAGGACTCGTCGATACAAACTATGAGCACTGATTGTTTATAAAAGGACATAAGGCAAAGCTGGCATCCCTTATCCTTCTGTAATCGAGCAAAGAAAAAAGGATACCGTCTACATAGGATTACCGTGGAGCTTCAAAGTCAATATCCTTTGAGGCAACTTGAACATATTTATACAGTTTTTATTAGAAATAAGGACAATTTTTTTCTGTTATTGTCTGTCTGAATTTATGGTTATTCTATAAAGTAAAGGCAGCGGATAATGATCTTGTATTTTCATAGGAATAACTTTTTATTTTGGAGAATTACCTAAGTAGAAGCTTGAAAAAGTTGTGCTCTTTCTACAATTGGGTTTTAATTGTCATAGTACAAGTTACTTGTGAATTAAATAGTATAAGGGTTATACTTACCCTTCGTAATAAGAGGATATCTTTATGTCTAAAAAGCAAGCAGGTGCCTGAGAGATAAACATGCTTCTAAATTATGATTTTTTTGACAGACCTGAGATCGAATCTCAGGCCGTTGTCGACGTCACATTTGAGATATTGCTGATTTCAAGTGGCGGGAGTTGAGCCTGGCCTAAAAAAAACATTTCAAAATTTGGTCCCTCTTTTCTTGTATATTGTAGTGAACTTCATTAACATACAACAAAACACCCTACTCGTAAGTGTTGAAAACCAACTGCTAAAATGAAAAAAAAGTGTGATGGTTAGATACTGATCTTTTTTACTCTCTTTTTTATTTTTCATTTAACCTTAATCAACTTTTTTCTTGACCAAATCAAATCTTCAATTCATACATGTGTACATTCACCTCACATTCGCAACAAAATTCATTCTGCATCAACCATAATCTATACCTCATCCAATTACCACACTTTGATAAATTCGACGATTTACAGTTTTTTTTTTCATTTCCACTTCAAAAATACAATGCCCGTTAAAGAATTCAACACCCCCTATCCTGTCATTGACACCGATCCCCACTTCGGTCGTGTTGTCCGTTACATGAGACCTACAGATTATGCCGCATGGGCCGCAGGTACCGCTGCTGCTCCTGCCATTTTATTGGGAATGGGTAAGGATTGGAGTCAACGTCAAATTATGCGAATGAATTTTAATGGACAATTTATGAATAGAAAAAATGGATCCCGTTGGACCTATGCGTAACTTACGTCTCCCTCTCCGTATTGCCACTATTGTTGGTGCATTCGGTGGTTTCTTGTATGCTTACCAAACCAGTTCTCGTAAGTCGACTTTATTATCATAGTTGGATGAAAATGTCAAACGTTTCTTTTTTTCAATAGTCCGTTTCTGGGGTTGGACCGAAAATGCCGCTGAAGTTGCCAAGGATCACGCTGAATTGAGCCAACTCGCAAAGGAAGGAAAGCCTTTGTATGGTGAAAGTTACATGCCTGAGCACGTTCAAAATGCTTCTGCCAGAAACACCAGATACGCACAATTGAAGTTCTGTAAGTCAAAACTGGAACCAAGAATAACTATATTTTTTTATTAATACATTTGTGTTTTGTATAGCTGCTTTCCCATGGTTCAACTTTGCCAACCACAACAACCATGGTGTTGACACCTCCAAGTACACCGAATCCTCTTAAACATATAATATCAGCACTTTATAAAAAAATAAAAAAAAATCGGCTTTGTTTATCAAATTAAGGTTGAACAAAAGTGATTATATTTGAGTAAAAAAAAAATAATTACATTAAATGATTGGAAGGAGGTTTGTGAAACTATTACAGTAAAGAAAAATTATGGTTTGTTATAATGTAGTATTAATCTAAAGGTTTGGATAAAGAAATTATATAAAGGAAGGTGTTAATTTCTTTTTATGAAGTTAGCATGTAGTTTTTTATCATGATGTGATGGTGGCGCGACTCTTGCGTTTGCGGTATGGTTGTCGATGTGTATGATCCTTTTCTAGTTTGGAAACATGGTGTTTACCGTTACAACACATACGAACATCTTCTAATGCTTCATCATCATCATCGTATTCCAAGTCGACATGATCGTCTGTTGTGGACATTGATTGTGCGGAGGATGGCTGTTGAAATACATCATGAAGACGACGGAAACTGGGTCGATTTAATAATGATCCTGAGGTTCCACTAGATACAGATCGGTTGTTTGGGTTTTCGGCTTTTTTGGTATCGTTGAGAAGTGTTAAACCTTTACCGGATCTATCTCTAGAAAGCAAATGTGTGATAGCCTAAATCAAAATGTTAATATCTCGTCAAATATACCGTGAAAAAGCTTACCTCAAACCAAAGATCGTGCTTCTCCATATTGGGTGCGGTTACTTTGATTTGTCGATGGCTTGTTTGAATCAAGAGACTGACATTGGGTGTTCCATCAGTAGCGTAAGAGTAATTGGGTACAGATGTGATATTTTCGATCAATGCTATTTAAAAAAAACGTTAAATTCATGCGTAACTTCACAGACAAAAAAATATTTACCACTCTTTGCTTTAGATTCGTTTCCGTTAAGACCGGGGGCAGATACAGACCAATACAATGTGCGAGTGTAAGGATGGATCCAAAAGTATCTTTTATGACTCTTCTCAGAGAAACCACCGCCGACAGCCTTTCTTGTATATTTGTAAAGCCAGTCACCAATCATAGTCTGAGTGATCAAATTAATCATGGTAGGATCTGTGGCGCCAGTGCTACGAGTGACAGCATCGTATTGGGAAGAGTTCAGAGAACGCAGTTGTTCATTAGTGTTACTTGTAGAAACACTGGAGGCATCCACAGATCCTCTCTTGGCATCGAGGCGCTGTTGTTGTAGTATAGCAGTACGTTGAAGATCATCGTTACTGCGTGCAGAGTTGCTTTCCAAATCAGAGTATTCTAATGGACCCTTTCCTTTACTGTGCAAAGAAGATGGTGACATGGATCTACTGTCTGTGAAAGTCGAAGAAAGGCCAGCCTTGTTTAATAACTCATGGGGTGGTGGATTGGCAGGGCGTTGAGGGACATCTGCAGCAGTAATTTCACGCTCCTCAGGCTCCTCAGGCTCTTGAGCAAACACAATAGAGGGTCCGATAGTCAATTCAGGCCGTTCTTTTTTGGGTTCTGTCTCTTGATGCTTCAAGTTTTCAAAAAAGTCAACATGACTTGAGTCAATGTTAGGTAATACGAAGCGATCACGGTGACGCTGAGCAGCCTCGTCATAAGGCAAAAAGGTGATTGTATCTTCTTCTCTGGGTGAATGAACCAAAACGTTACCAAAATTTTCATCGCCGGGTTGTTCATCATCATCATCATTTCTTGAAGTTCTAGAAATATCAGAAGTTGGGGTAACAATAGCAGGATCTTCATTCTTAGAGTTCAGACCATGAGCGTGGTGTTTAGTATTGTCTAACACATCATCCTGATTATTTTGACTTGATTTGAGGGACTCGGCATTTTTAAGAGCTAAAGCAACAGCAGTGGCAATAAGAGAATCGGTTTCTGCTTTACTGTACATTTTTTCAGCAGGAGCGACATTACCGAGTTCCTGGATATCTTGTCCCTGTCTTGATCTTTCGGATACATTATTCAATTGATGGGGCGCAATCTTGTTTCCTAAAGAATCCTCACCAATGGCAAGAGTATTCACATCAGAAGGAATGGATCGGAGAGCATCGGAGTCCTCTTCATGATCAGATACCGATTTGTTGTGCTTAAGAACTGAGGCAGCTGCAGCAGTAGCAGCGGCAGCAATCATAGCATTCTTCTTTAAAGAGGATGACCCTTCTTGACCATCTGAAACAGTCTTCTGATTGTCATCAGATCTATCAGAACCAAGTTCGTTTTGAGTATGAGGAAGCACCACGGGAATTAAATGACTTTCGCTCAAATTGCTGTTTCGGGACTCGGGTTTCAAGTTATTAAAAACAGCACTATCGATGGTACGTCTACTAGATGGCTTGGAATTTGCGTCAAAGAATTCATCCTCACTATCAGAGAAAGTGTGGGATGCAATGGGAGGTATAGGAAGGATGGCACCTATTCCGCTTGCTGTGTTTTCTTCTTCACATTGGACTCCGATATCTGTCGATTCTACCTCATATTGTACGTTCGCATCAATGGCGTTAACAAAATCATGCTGAGCAGATGCATCTGCTGTGACGGGACTATCACTTTGCACGCCACATTCGACTGTTTCATTTAATTCGGACTGGGTGCTGTGATCAACACCTAATACATCATACTGCGTCTCGTGGTCAATTGCATCTAAACAGAATGAGTTTAGTAAATTCGGCTATAAACTTTTTAAATTAAAAAAATAAAACAAAACAAATATGCATACCTGTAGTGTGTTGATGTTGAACAGAGACATCCTTAGCTGAGCTCTCATATTGAACAACTGAATCCTTAGTTTCCACAAATTCGGACTGAATGAATGCGTCAACTGCAACAGCAGGAGTACTTTGAACACCAATATCAACAACTCGGGTTTCTTCAAATTGGGTTTCCTGATCAATAACGGAAGGCCCTTCCGATTGTGTGCATGAATCAACAGCGGCTTCCAAAGAAGCTAAACGGGATGCAGCAATAGCTGTAGCTGTGGCAAGCGCTGTGGATACAGCAGCAGCTTCAGCAGCGGCAGCGGCAATCGATGGGTCTTCCTCTTCAAATTGTGTTGAAGTACTAATGGCAGATTCTAACGAGGCAGAACGTGAGGATGCAATAGCCTCTGCAATAGCAGCAGCAGCAATTGAGGGGTCTTCGGGATCACTTTGAGTAGAACTATGAACGGCGGCTTCTAAGGCTGCAGTGCGTAATGCTGCAGCTGCAGCTACGGTTTTAGCAAGAGCGATTGAAGGGTCTTCGACTTCAGGTTCGTCGGATTGAGTAGACGTGTCAATAGCAGATTCTAAAGCGGATGAACGAGAGGCAGCAATTCCGGCAGCAATAGCGGCCGCAGTTGCAAGAGAGGCGGCTTTTGCAGCAGCAATAGCAATGGAAGGATCTTCTTTTTCAGGCTCGTCAGATTGGGTGGAGCAATCAATAGCTGATTCCAAGGCTTTGGAGCGAGATGAGGCTATGGCCGCGGCAGCAGCGGCAGCAAGTGCAATGGAAGGATCTTCCTTTTCAGGCTCATCTGATTGAGTGGAGCAATCGACAGCAGCTTCGAGGGCCTTTGCACGATTTTCAGCAATGGCAGCTGCGGTAGCAGCAAGAGCAATCGAGGGGTCAACGGGCTCAGGCTCTTCGGATTGAGTAGAACAATGAACAGCAGCCTCAAAAGATTTAGCACGAGCAGCGGCAATGATGGCCTCTTTTTCGGCAAGAGCAATGGCAGGGTCGACAGGCTCAGGTTCATCTGATTGAGTTGAGCAGTCAATAGCAGCTTCCAAAGCTTTGGATCGTGATTCAGAGATGGCACCAGCGATGGCAGCAGCACTAGCAGCGGCACTGGCAGCGAGAGCGGCAAGTGAAATTGATGGATCTTCAACGGGCTCTTCAGATTGGGTGGCGGTATCGACAGCAGCTTCTAAAGCCGCAAAACGGGACGCAGCGACAGCCGCAGACGTTTCGGCCAACGCAATGGAAGGGTCAATAGGATCTGATTGAACAGAGCAATCAACGGCTTCTTCTAAAGCCTTTGCACGAGATTCGGCGATAGCAGCAGCAGTTGCATCAAGAGCAATGGAAGGATCAATAGGATCAGATTGAACAGAGCAATCAACAGCTTCTTCTAATGCTTTGGAACGAGATGCAGCAATAGCAGCAGCAGTCTCTGCAAGAGCAATAGAGGGATCGATAGGATCAGATTGGATAGAACAATCAACAGCTTCCTCTAAAGCCTTGGATCGAGCAGCAGCAATAGCAGCAGCAGTCTCTGCGAGAGCAATGGATGGATCAACGGGATCAGACTGAACAGAACAATCGACAGCTTGCTCTAAGGCCTTGGATCGAGCAGCAGCAATAGCAGCAGCAGTCTCTGCGAGAGCAATGGATGGATCAACGGGATCAGACTGAACAGAACAATCAACAGCTTCCTCTAAAGCCTTGGATCGAGCAGCAGCAATAGCAGCAGCCGTTTCTGCAAGGGCGATGGAAGGGTCAATTGGATCAGATTGAACAGAACAATCGACAGAATCTTCCAAAGCTTTAGAACGATAAGCAGCAATGGCAGCGGCGGTGGCAGCAGCAGCAGCAGCAAGTGCTATGGAAGGATCCTCAGGCTCTACACCAATAGGAGTTTGAGATACCAATTCTAATTCTACGGGCTTGGTAGGCTCAACGGACATGGTAGCCAAGGATAATTGCTCCAATTTGGAACTATCTGTTTGGGTAAAAACCTCGTTCACTTGGGCCTCGGGTTCAGGATCTGTTTGTGTAATCATCTCAATACCAGGAATAGCTTTGGGCTCTTCATAAACATCGGTTTGAGTATAAATTTCAATACCGGTAGGTTTCATCAAGGCATCGACACCGACAGCAGCACCTACACCCGCAATCAGACCAACAGCAGCGTCTTTCATGGATGAGGTAGCGGGCTTTGACTCTTCAGGTGACTTTTGTGACATGGCCATACCCAATTCATCTCCAAGAGATCTGGTTACAGGATCGGCGGTTGAATCACCCAATGTATTGAGAGGTAACATAGAATCGTCCATGGGGTCTGTGTTCACTTCTGCATCTACCATTACAGGCTTTTGTAACTGATTTTGAGATTGGCTACGAGATAACTCTGAAGAGAGTGGTGTGAATCCAACTGTTTTCTTTTTGGAGACAGTATTATCAAAACCGGCATCACTATCATCAAAACTATCGACCTCTTCACTGTCATCGAGCTCTGACATGGAAGAGTAAGAGTAGATAGAATCGCCATCAGCAGTAGCATTTGGGGATGAACCTTTAGGTTTAATACGCCCACTTGTAGGCTTTCTACTGCCACGTCTCTTTGTGGAAGAAGAAAGGGAAGCTTTGTGTGGTCGCCTAGCAGGGCCTAACCCGTCCTCTCTTGTAACAATATTTGATGATGATCCACTTGCACCACGTGTTGGTCCAGCATCTACCCACATACGTGGGTCATTTTGTAATTGTTCGATTGTTTCTTGGGAATCAGCCAAAAGTTTTTTAAATTCGAACTTCTCGGTTTTTTCTTTATGCAGATTAGACCGTAAATTCGACACCATACGATGAGCGTGAGCCAAAGAAGTCTTCAGGGTCTCGACTTCCATTGCTTGGTTACGAGCTGGTGCTAGTTTTGGTGAAGATGGGGGCGAAGATGTAGGTGAGGTTTCATTATTTACAGCCAGAGTATTGGTTGTTTGATCATCAGTTGTGTCTCCAGAACGAGGATTTACTTCCGTGTCTGTTGATACGTGTTTACCAATACGAGATTGAGCTTTTGCGATTGCTAATTCTGAGGTGAGTGCCTCGATCTGCTTTGATTGATCTGACTTTTCACGTTGGATGGCAGCAGCATGACGACGGATAGAAGACATATCTTGTTCGTGACGTTGCTTCATGGTATCAATTGTATTTGTTAATTTCTCTTCTTTATCACGAAGTTTTTCAATTTCTGATCGTAACACATTCACTTGTTTATCCAATTTGTTTTGTTCTACATTCGCTTTGCTGAGATTTTGTTGGAGTTCGGTCACACTGATTGTTAATTCTTGTTTTGCCAATTCAAGATTCCAGGTTTCTTCCTTCAATTTTTCTAGATGTTTGTTAATTAAAAAAAATAAATCCCTTTTTTAAATTAAATTATATGTATTACCTTCATTTTCTTCTCGTTGACGCATTTGCTTTGCCATTGCTTCTGCGGCCCTTTCAAGATCAGCTTTTTGGTTCTCTAGCGTTCTTAACTTTTCCTCCTTCTCTTGTAATAAGGCCTGCATTTTTCTAACCTCTAGTAACAGCCCCTGACCAATTTCTGTAGCAAATTCGATATCGGTGTTTCTGCGGTCAGTATTCGGTATTTTTGATCGGCGTTTTGTTGGGGTTGAGCCAGTGGGTGGTGGAGGCAAGGGTAGTAAAGATGTAGAATCATGTCCATGTGTTGGAGGTAAAAGTGTAGAAGTTGATGGGCTAGGCAAAGGATCTAAACCAGAGGTCGTGCGTTGATTCAACAGCTACAAAGAGAGAGAGTGAGTAAAAAAAAGGAGTTTAATAAAAAAAAGTTCAGTCAGATAGGAGTACTTTTTTATGGTTACCTTTTCTTTATTACGAATAGATGATATACCTGGTGATAAAGGATGACTTCTATAAGAGCTCAAATCCCTTTCAAGTGATCGTAGTCTATCAACTGAAACTGGCTGTATTTCATCATTTGAAGTTGGATTGTTGATCACAGAGTCTATTTCTTTTATTCTATCTTGAAGTTGACTAACTTGTCTAGCCAATACGTTTTTTCCAATTCCGCTGCTTGTTTCCTGCAGTTGCTTTTGCTTTTCTACTAACTGCTGTTCAAGCTCCTGTCTCTGTCTCAGCTGAGAAGTTTTATTATTCTGACGAATTGAAACCGATGTAGAAGATGAAGGTGTTGGCAAGACGGGATGAGGGGTATTACCTGAAGTAGGTGAGGATAAGGAGTGTTGGGGAGGAGGTGAACTCATATTATTAATAGTGTATGTTTGTATTTGCGTGAGTTTGGTGTATGTGTATGTGCGTGTGTGTATATATTAAGGAAAGTAGTTTAAATTATTTTTATGTGTATGTCCTCTTTTTTTTTTTGTTTCAAAAGAAAAAAAATAAAAACGAAACGAAACGAGATTACTGTATATTTGACAAACTCAAGTGGCACATATAATTAAATATATATACAGTTATCAGTAAAAACACAAAGAGGAAAGGAAAGAGGAAAGAGAGTAAGAAAAGAGGAAAGAAAGGAAAAGAGCGATAAAGGAAAAACTAGAAATGGGGTGACGAAATAATAATAAGGTGGTTTGGTTCGTGACTAGTTAATTACTGCCCAAAGCTGTAGGTAAATCTGGCTCGTATCACGCTCAAATAAAACCCAACCTCGTTTTTAATTTTCTCTTCCTTTTCATTTGCAACTGAAAAATGTCGTCTGGTGCTACATTTATATTGTGATTATATTATGAATTACTTGGAAAAATATTCTTGCCTAATGATATGTTATTTATTTATTTATACAGAAACAACGGTGTGACTATGCCTGCCTTAGGACTTGGCAGCTGGCAATCGAAGCCTAACGAAGTTTACGACGCTGTCCTGACCGCAATCAAAGCAGGGTATAAATATTTATATAATGCATTAAATTGCACTTTACTAACACATGATTTATAGATATAGACACATTGACACAGCATATGTTTGCAAGTATAATAAATATAAAAATCTCGTGTATTTTAATCGAGAATGGTAAATAACAATTGAAATACGTAGACCGAAATGAAAAGGAGGTTGGACTGGCAATCAAAAATAGTGGTGTTCCTCGAGCAGAATTATTTGTAACTACCAAGCTGTAAGTGTCTTATTTACCCATTTGTGAATAACATAGCATGATGCTTATTTAATACAAAAGCTGGAACAACAATCACCGACCTGACCTCGTTCAAAAGGCAATCGAAGCTTCACTCGAAAACCTGCAGTTAGACTATGTGGATTTATATCTCATGCACTGGTAACCCATATAACATGATGACCGTATTTCAACTAACTAGACTTTAGGCCAATCGCTTTCCAAGCGTCAGAGTCAAATTTTCCCAAAAATTCCGATGGAAACATTGCTGTAGATAATTCTATTGATTACATAGATACCTACGCTGTAAGCATTTGATTCACACTGACAAAGCGGTTTTTCTATTTTTGGAATATCGGCCCTTAATTTACCCGGTTTACTTATTTTTAGGCCATGGAGAAACTAATTCAATTAGGTAAAACTCGTGCAATTGGTATCAGTAATTTTACACTTGAAAAGGTTGACCGTCTATTAAAAAATTGCAAAATACCCCCGGCTGTCAATCAGGTAATAATCATGATCATTATTGTTTGCTCACATTTTTGACATACAAATATTTAGGTTGAATTACATCCCTATTTGGCCCAATCTGATCTAATTAAGTTCTGTCAAAATAATGGTGTTCATGGTAACAACTAGTCAAACTTTAAATATGGACAATGCACTTAATTATTTTTTTCTCCAGTTACTGCATATTCTCCACTCGGTAGTACTGATTCTCCAGTCATGCAAGAATCGGTTGTGGTAAGAAGTAAAGACAGCAGTATAAAAAATAGCATCAATTAACGTGATTAAAGGTTGATATTGCAAAACGTCATAATGCTTCTCCAGCCCAAGTCTTGTTAGCATGGGGTATGCGCCGTGGATGTTCAGTTATTCCCAAATCTGTAACAGCATCGCGTATTATCTCTAATTTCCAAGTCATTGAGCTTGAAGATGGCGATTTTAATGCCATTGAAGAATTAACGAAAACGGTCGAACCTAAGCGTTTGGTTGATCCATCTCCTTTCTGGGGTGTTGATATTTATGGTTCTACTACCAAATCCAAGTTATAATGACAGAGAGACCTTCATATTGTTTTTTTATTGTGTGAAAGCAAATTAAATTTTTGTCTAGTCTATTTTATTATTATAATATACAATGAGGGGTTGTTTTAACAGCAACTTGATTTTAATCTTTCGCGGATTCTTGTGTCCAGCCATAATCTTCCACTTTTATCAGATTTGCACTCCTTCAAGAATTCGGAAATCAGACCTTCCACTTTATCCCTCCTATCTGCTATTGACCAAGCATCCATTAAAACTGTGTAAGTAACTGTATTTGGTTGATGTCGTGCGCTATTCTTCATCAAGTCGAATATCTTTTCAGCCGTTTCAGGCATCCTGAACTTTCCACAAGCATTGATTAGAATAGTATATGTATAAGCATTGGGTTCTACAGATTGAGCCAACATATCCCGATGAATTTTGAGCGCACCCTCGATTCCAATAGATTCGGCCTGCATTTTTAACAGGATGGTATAAAGTGCCGCATCAGTCTTGATACCAGCCATGGCAGCTTGGTGAGCGATTTGAATAACAGCTTCGGGCATATTGGGGTACTCGCTATGTTGTTTCGATAGAGATTTTAATATACAGGATATAACAACTTGATTCGGTTGAACATTTTCATCCAACATGGTTTGGAACCATTCAAGCACAGATTTGATATCGTTTCGTCTAGAGGAAGCCTCAATAAGAGCACTATACGTATAAACATTGGGCTTAAGTTCGTTTTGACGCATCTTGTTGTAATAATAGATGCAAGTTTTAAGATTATGTGCATTCGCTCGAATCAGTTCCGTATATGAAGATATATCTGGTATGACGCCTAGGTGATTCATTGTTTCAAATATATAAGATGCTCTATCTGCTGACCCTTGCACCGCAAAAATTTGTAAAACAGCATTAAATGATTTGATCGTAGGTCGTGTATTTTTCTCCTCCAGCAGCTTTTCAAATAACTTGAGAGATTCGTGATAATTCTTTTGCCGCCTGTATGCATTCATCAAATTTACAAAAACCATTTCATTTACATCCACCTTATCTGCGTATTTTGCTTGTACTGTGTCTAACACCTGATGTGCCTTTGATATATCCTGATTCACTAATATCCTCCATATTAACTCGTCTAACGCATCCGCCCTTATCGACTGTTTCTTTTTGAATATCCCTACCACAAACTCATCAATCAGGTTATGAGCAAAAGTTTCGCTTTTTTCGTATCCATGACAAATATTTGCAATACGTAACACATCCGCTGCTGACATATATCGACTGTCAAATTCTGACGTTCCGGCACCATGTAATGCAATTAATTGCAATCTTGACTTGAGTTGATTTTTATCCAACGTTCGATCCTTCATCATGAACACCATTAATTTGATACACGTATTTCTAGGTAACTTATCGATTGTGACTGACGCCTTGTGCAATCTATAAAACAAATGCCATGCCTCTCTTTGGTCCTCTACTCGAATTGCTCGTAACAGTTGTTTATGGCTTGATATTGGTATTTCTTGAATAGATGATAAAAATAACAAGGAAGAATTATTCTGCTGCACATAATCCAATAATTGATCCAATTGGCGTTGTCGAAGTTTAGTCGCTTGTTTGGCGCCACCAGCCAATCGTTTACAAAAGTCCAAAAGAGAATATAACGAGCAGCACATATTAAACGGGATAGTATCGTCTTGTTTTGAAGCAAGGGTAATAAAGAGCGACCAAGCTTTGTCTGCATTACGAATTTGAATGGCATGATCCAAATCGGCTAAAACAACAGTGTCCGATAAATTGAATAGACTGAGTGATCCCTGTAACCTGGATGCGGCGGTTGTTGTTGGGGTTGGGGTTATGACATTTCTTTTAAATGAAGCAGTGACAGGTGGTAAAGCGATTGGTAAATTCTCTATTGTGGCTGTAGAAGTGGACATGGTTCGGATCAGTGTGGATCGTCTATTGTTGGGTATGAGTCTCTGTTGTTGTTTTTCTAGTGGGAAAGCATTAAGTAATGCACTTAAATGCGAATTCCGCCTACAAGTTGTTGGTATTACAGAACTTTTCCCACTATCTACAGGTGTACTTAGAAATCTAGACACATCTTTTAAATGAGTCGTAGACTTACGCATAATACGGGGTTCGGGAAAGTTGAGAAAAAAAAAGGTCTCTTTTTTTAGCTTTTTTTTTTTTTTTTTCACGTCCCTTATTTCTGTTGCTTTATTAAGGTTCCCCCCTCCTGTCGTGGGGTTGTTACGCCTTGTTATTTAATTTCTGGATTGAAGCCAAAATAATTTGCTAGGCACACAAAGGGACTGCTTAACGTGACCACTCGATGACGCGCACCCGCACTGCACGACTGAATTTTTGAGCGGTTTTTAAAAGTAGAGGGCTGCTTTGCTTTTGATTTTTAGGCTTTTTGTTATCTTTGTATAGTAAAATTAGAATTGGAAGGAATGTTTGTAGAATTCATACGAGAGAGAAACCAGTGATTGAAGCTGTTTAATTCTTCGAGCTCAATTTCGGTCAAAGTATATTGCTGGCGTTTAAGTTAATGAATGTTAGAAAGCAGAGTGTCAAAATCTATTGAAGAATTGCTTGGAGCGGTGAGAGGAGCTTGTTCAGTTGGAGTAAGAAGAGCTGAGCTATCAGGCGAGCTCTGGGGAATGGTTGAGAAAGTGGGGTCGAAAGAAACTATTCGATTTAAGGTTAGTAAAAAAAAAAAATGAAGCCGTAAAGAATTTAATAGTATTAATCTTTACCTTCAAATACAGACAACCAAGACATATCACACTTCAACAAATACATGTGTTTGCATGCGATATTGTTAAAGCGGAAGTCAGGGCAGCTGCAAGTGATCAGTTAAAGATCGTCCACCACGACATCATAAATTACACCAGAAGTCGAGAAAGAAGAAACAACAAAACCACTTCTACCAGCAGAATCAGTTCTTGCAGTTTCGATGCCATACAGTGTTCTTTACTACATTCCAAGAGTATTTAATTTGGCTTAAGATATCAGGTTCTTTCTTTTTTTTTAATATAGAATATCTCTTTATATATCCATAAAAATATGACACTTCGAAAATAAAAAAACAAGAGGGGAACAGGCTACAGGTTTTTGATGGGCAAAGCAACCATGGAGCGTCTAAACCGGTTTTTGAAGCTGATGACTATATTTATTCCCGCGTTAGATCAAACGTTAGAATAATTTTTAGGTCTTTTGGATGAGACTTTGGTCCCCAAATAAACTTAAATGTCCAATAAAAACTTTACATGTGCCACTTACTCTCGGTCAAACTCTCACTTAATTTAAAAGAGTTTTCGATTCTCAAACAGCTTTTTTATTTCAAGCCGAAAATCACCCACTTAATCTGTAAGATATTTCGATTTTCAGTCAAATCCACAGTCTCATGTTTACTTTATCCTACAATTATATGATACTATTAGTAAGATCCTGGAAGCTTAAGACAGAGAGTTTTTTTTCTACAAACAAAAACTAAATATAGCCTAAAACCTAAAACCTGAAATTGATCCCGATAGTAATACATCCACAAACAACTCTTTTAGAGCCATGTAAAACATACACATCAAATTAAATTCGTAAACCTGGTTCCCATCATCATAAGGTAAAGAAATTATTATTCTCAACTTGTCGTCGAAACCCCATATTATACAAAAATGACGTCTCTAACAACATTTGATTTGGTATATTATTATTTTTAACTTATAAAAGGGCTTTTGCGACTTTTTCTTTCTTTATTTCTTTGTTGACCAAAAGAAAGGAAAAAAGAGGACGGAAGTATCGTAAAAATAGGCAAGTATAAATGATACTTAATCTATTTTATTTAATTTTGTAGACAAAATACATATCAAAATGTGGTTGTTTACTTTTGAGCTGATCGTGCTGACCTTTGGTTATCTTTTCCTTTTGTACTGCCCAATTTTTTCCTCATGAAAGGTTTTTTTTAATGGAGGCAAAAGGTTTTTACTGATGCCGGGGTTGGTACCAATACAACATTTATCTATCGGAGGAAGAAGGCAATCTAGAATTTGGTTTCCGTTACAAACAGTGTCTTACACTGCCACAGGTATGATAATTTTTATATATGTTCTATGCAAAAAGTCAGTCTTAAAGTTACTTTTATTAATTTATAGCATTACTTCATGATGTATAGCCTATTGGAGCTGTTCCCCCCGTGTCCAGTGGGTATTATCGGGCTAATGTTTCTATAGCCGCGGTTTCAACACTGTTCGGTCCCCCATCTCTTTACCAAGTAAGGTCATTCCGCATGAAAAAGCCAAAGGAAAACTCTGACGTCATTCTTTTTTTATTCGGGTATATAAGGAGATACGCACTGCACTGTACGGCTGTTTAATATCCTTTTTGTTTCAAGACATGCAATTGACTCATTCAAGCTTAATCCTTCAGCGATCGAATATATATGTATATACACCGGGCTATAACAATAATTAAATCAGTTATATGTATATAAGAACTGAATTTCCCATGGACATATATGAAAAAACTACCATAAGCATGTAAATAGCTTTTTTATATTGGTTGTATTTTTTTTTTGACATCTCGCTAATGCCACACAAACAATTGCCATAACCGGATTAGGCATAAACAAAGCTATGATGAATTATAAGCAGGAACGCCAAATATTCTGGTTAAACCCCGTGACACAAATGATTATCGGTGACTGCCCTGCAGATGTTAAACGCCTGTTGGCCGTCGTAGCGTAATCCAATAAAATAAGATTATCCCACGGTTTGAACTTTTGATTTTCTCTTTCTTTTCATCTTTGTAAAAAAAATAGAAGAAAAAATGACCGCAGAAGTTATTTCGACCTTAACAGATAATGTGTTGCCTATTGACCCCAAATGTCTTTGGAAACCCTCTAACCCTCAAGACACTCAAATGGAGAAATTCAGAGAACTTATGCAAACGAAATATCAACAAGTAAAACTGGGTATGAATCCTTGCAAAAAAACCAAAACTCTTAAATCATTGAATTAAAACAGATGCTGGGTTATAAATAGGTAATTATCAGGAACTATGGAAGTGGTCTGTTGAAAATCCCGAAACCTTCTGGTCTGAAGTTTGGGATTATACAGATATCATTGCATCTAACAAAGGTTCCCATGTATTGGATCGCTCCGAATTGATGGACTCCATTCCCGTTTGGTTTAAAGACTCTCGTCTTAATTTTGCAGAGAACTTGCTATGGGCTAAAAAAGATTCTGATAAAGTAGCCATTATATCTACAGGAGAAGGTCACGGAAGACGTTCCATCACATACGGACAGCTTTACAAGGACGTTTTAAAATTTGCTGAAGCTTTAAAAGCATTGGGTGTTACAAAAGGTGATCGTGTAGCTGCATATATCCCCAATTGTCCCGAAGCGATCATTGCCATGTTAGCAACCACTAGTATAGGTGCACTTTGGAGGTAATATTAGGTTGACCTGGGTTATTTATTATATCTGCTAACTGTATTTTTGTATGACAGTTCCACTTCCCCCGATTTCGGAACCACCGTGAGTACAAGAAAAAATGGAATATGCCGTGGGAAAAAAAAAAGATTCTTATAAATCATTCTATAGGGTGTTCTCGATCGTTTCACACAGATTCAGCCTAAAGTACTGATCTCTGTAAACTCTGTCATCTACAATGGCAAGACACTGAACCATATCCCTAAGCTTGAAACCGTTGTCCAAGGTAAACAGCATTATGACAATAAAATCATGTACATCAGTCTAATATAAAATTTACAGGCCTTCCTTGTCTCAAAAAGGTAGTCGTCATCCCTTTTGTTGAACCATTGAAAGAAGAAAACTATAGCATTGCAAACTATACCTCTTGGTCTGACTTTTTGCGCAGTGTTCCTGAAACCAAGTTACCTACTGAGATTAAATTTGAGCAATTGCCTTTTAATCATCCTGCATTCATCATGTTCAGTTCTGGAACTACGGGTTTACCAAAGTGTATTGTGCATTCTGGCGCCGGTCTTTTACTTCAATTAAAGAAAGAACATATCCTTCATGGTGATTTAGGACCCGATGACGTTCTCTTTTACTATACTACCACTGGCTGGATGATGTGGAATTGGCTTGTTGCTGGCTTAAGCGTTGGTGCTACCATCGTCCTTTGGGATGGTAGTCCTTTCAAGCCTGCACCTATCTCTTTATGGGAGTTGGTAGACGAATTGAACATCACTCACTTTGGTACATCTGCCAAGTACATTCAATCTCTTCAAGAAGCTAATGTTCATCCTAGTAAGCATCTTACCTTTCATGCACAGTATATTTTATTTATTTATATTCTATTATAGAGAACCTTTGTAAATTGGATACTCTTAAAGCAGTGTATTCCACCGGATCTCCCTTAAAGCCAGAGAGTTTTGATTTTGTTTATCAACATATCAAGAAGGATATTATGTTAGGAAGTATTACTGGAGGTACCGATATCTGTTCTCTTTTTGCTGGTCATAATGCTGCTCTTCCTGTATATCGTGGTGAGATTCAATGTATCTGTCTTGGTATGAATATTCAGTCTTGGGCTGATGCTAATAAGCCAGTGTATGCTGAGGCTGCCGACCTGGTGTGCGTTACACCTTTCCCTTGTATGCCAGTTGAGATGTTCGGTGATGGACCTGAAAGAGCTAAATATATGAGCGCTTACTTTGATGTCTATCCCAATATTTGGTACCATGGGGATTTCGTTTGGATCAATCCACAAACCGGAGGTGTTGTAATGCTGGGAAGATCTGATGGTACCCTTAACCCTAATGGTGTTCGATTTGGCAGTGCCGAAATTTACAACGTTGTTGACAAGTTGAATGTTATTAGTGGTATTGAGGACACTCTATGTGTCGGTCAAAAAATCAAAAACGAGGACGATGAACGTGTCATCTTATTTCTGAAGATGAAGGATAGAAACTCCAAAGTGTCTGATGACTTGGTAAAAAAGATTAAGACCACCATTCGCAGTGAGTTAAGCCCCAGACACGTACCCGCATTTGTGCTTGCAATCGCCGATATACCTGTAAGTAAAAGCTATTTCTTTTTGATGTGGGGGGCCAAAACTAATTTTTTTAAAGTATACTATTAATGGAAAGAAAGTGGAGGTAGCTGTCAAGAAAATTTTATCCGGACAAAAAGTCACTGCTACTGGCACATTAAGTAACCCTGAAAGTCTCGGTCTCTACTATGACATTCCTGAATTATCACAATAATGAGTCTTTATATAAATACATATATTTATTGTTTTTGGTTTGTATATTATTAGATGATTGTTTGAAAATTAATAAATACTATTTCTTATTTTACGTGTTAATTTATCGCTGTCAAACGATTTTTTTTTTTTTTTTGGAAAAACATCTTTTGATATTAAATCAATGCGATGAGTATACTATTATAAGAGGCTCTTAACGTGCTCACATCATTCTGATAAGTGTCTTCAATTGGCTTGCTTTGAATTATTTAACATACCAGTTAGTGATACGAAACTAGTGCCTAAAGACATCTACGCATAAGTTTAATAAATTAAACTTTTAACAAATAAATAGCTGGCCCGGATTTTTTTCATACTTTCTTTCATCTTCACGGTGCATGCTGCTACGTAAAAACCTTTAATACATAACCATCTGCAAAAAATGTTCTCTGTTCCTTAAGCCTCAGTTTTTATTAGATATGCAGTTTGATCTTCAAGAAACTACAAATAAGGTCTGCAAAAAGCAAATTGGATTAGTCAAGTGTACAAATCACATTTTATAGAGAAGCCCGAAGAGCAAAGTTTTTTCAGAAAGTGACATTCGACATAAGCACTGCATGTCGTTCTCACGTAATACACTAGTGGCACAAGCTTAGTAGTGTCCCAGCCCCTTCGGCTTGTGTTACCTTCTACGACTAAGTTAAAACCACATGGTTGTATGTGATATCATGACTTTAAACAACAAAACAAACAAATGTTAAGAAAAAGGTCAGCGGATGTAAATCCAGCCTGATGTAATTACTAGACCAGAGGTTTGTTTATACTAAAAATAAAAATTTGGTAGAATAGAAGAACTAAGTTTGCCGGATATAGTTACTTACTTGTTCTTCTTCTCGTTTTATTAATTTTTAACATAAATTATCAAATGTCTTACCCTCAGCAAGTAATAACAACTCAACCTTCTCCTGCCTATGTTATGAACTCCCCACCAATAGCATATTCTTATCCACAGATGCCGAGCAGTAAAGTATTGTCCACTTATTTCTCTAATACTTATTAATATTACGTAAATACTTTAGTGCAGAGCTATTATCAATCAAATCAACCACAGATGATGCAGCAACAGCCAATGGGTTATTATCCAGGAGGCCAACAAATGCATGATAATCATAGTGGATGCGGTGAATGTTGCATGGGCTTATTGTAAGTCAAATTAATATGAAACCGAAGAAAGCTTGTAATAACGTAATGAATTAGATGCCTAGGTGCATGTACGGTCTGCTGTGTCCAATGCTGCGGAGGAGGAGATGAATGCTGCTAGTTTATATATGTACATAAACTCTTAACGTCATATAGATTTATAATAAATAATACGTACAACTTTTTTTTTTTTTGGATATTATCATATGTAACACATATCTTGTATATATTGCGACTGCGTCGAGAAATGTGTTGGGTATATAATGGATATTTCTGTTTTATTTCGGGTGGTAACTGCATGCTAAGTACAAATGATGGTATTTACCTTTGGTGTTTTAATGTGAGCACAGGTTTAATGACTTATTCATTTACCCAGTGCTGAGCCATCGATATATTTTGTATGTGTTATAAACAATGAGACCGAATTTGGTTTAGAGGCTTTTTTGATGTAGTCACCCTCCGAATTCGTTCTTTCGAATAATTTCCCATACTGCGGGTCAAACATAAGGGGCACCATAACTGAAAAATTGCTATAGTTTACTTTGTTCATGTGATACATTTGTAATAACTCTTGTACAGCACAACATAGTCAAAACGATTGATAAGCAAAATCAGTTTAATATAACAGTAAAAAATTACCACTTGATTTAATGAAAGTATGAACTAAGCACTTGTTTTTGCTCAAGTGAATAATACCGAAGCTTACCATTAGTCATCAATTATAACGTTGTCTGAATTTAAAGTGTAGTACTAACATAAAGGCAGCATTGTTAAAGCCGTAATTTGTGGTATCACTGTAGACACTGGCATTTAAACTGAAGGAGTGTTTTCCAAAGAGGCCTACTTGTTATCAATCGTTTTTTCTATAATATATTATACATAAAACCAGCCTTTCTTATAAAATGTAGATATATTACTGTTAGATTAATTTGACAAAGAGTTCAGACACACAGCAGAACTATTTCTTTACGTTTTAAAGATGCGCTGTGTTTTAGCTTTTTGAACAACGTGAATAAACTTGCAAATGATTGTCAACACTTTACCGAATAAATATGAGTAGATATTTCTAACAAACACGAGTCTTGATATTCACTTACGTGATGCCCAATACCAATGGGATTTATACGAAATCACACTTCCTCTTTAATGTGACGGTTAATTTTTCGGTGTAGGTTTTAACTTTTCGATGTGACCGACCTTCCAATGAATTCAGCTTATAAGTTTCCTCCACGTTTTGGAAAAAAAAAAACTTTTTACTTCTTTCTTCTTTTCTTTTCAAATTAATACAATTAAAAATGACAGATTTATCTACACTTACTAAGAAAGGCCATGTCGAGGTTGGTCATAAGCGTCAATCGACACCTATAAAAATTTACTATGAACTCCATGGTAATGGACCTGAGCGGGTTCTTTTGGTTATGGGTAAGCGCTTCGGATAATCCCAATTGAGTAATACAACTGACATATCTTGTATAACTAGGTTTGAGCAGCTCATGTAGTGCATGGGATTTACAGGTACCAATTATTAAAGAAAAAAGGAAACATATAATCGGAGTTTACTGATAAACGTTGTAGACAAAATATCTTGCAGAAACTGGAAAATACACTGTACTCGTATTCGACAATCGAGGAATGGGATTCTCAGGTAATATAATGACATAAAAGTTGTTGAAAAAGCTAATAATCGTTAAAATAGATGCACCACTTGGTATATATTCGTAAGTTGTCATTTTTTTTTATCCTTTTCAGGAACCAAAGCGACTAATTTTAAACTCAGAACCTCCCAAATGGCTGCTGATACGCTTGATCTCCTAGATCATTTCGGCTGGAACGACAAAGTACATCTTGTTGGTATTTCAATGGGTGGTATGATTTCTCTCGAATTAATCTACGCGGAAGCCACCAGATTTCAATCAGTTGCTTTGACAAGTACTACTTCCAAAAGAAATGTGCCCACTGTAAGTGCTTAATATAGAAACTGCTCTTTTTTGTATGCAGTAACAACCTTTTTTTTTAACAATTAGTGGATGGCCGTATCGACACTGTCCAAAATTATATTAATATATCGAGACCCTAAAGATCAACTGAACGCAGCAATTGACTTACTATACCCTGTGGAATGGCTTACACAGAAACCTCTTTCGGCTACGTCACCGCATGCTACAAACAGAGAGCTTGCAATTAGCGGATTTATCAACCATACGAGCCGATCTCGTCGTCAAACTCCCCAAGGAAATATTGGTCAGCTCTTAGCATGTCTAACTCATTATGTATCAGATGCTAGACTGTTGAAAATCAAAGAAAGTGGTATACCCATCTTAATCGTTACTGGAACTTTTGATCACCTTGTACGATCTGAATATTCGTATCACATGAAAAAGGTTCTTGGTGACGGTGCTAGATTTGAATTATTTGCAGGCAGTGGACATGCTATTCCAGAGGAGCAGCCTGATAGATACAATAGTTTGTTAATTGATCATTTCACTGCCTCTACTTCTAATAATGAAGCCTCTGCGTTTTCTAAGCTTTAAGCTAAAATGATGGAACTTATGATAATTTCAAAATGAATAAACACAACGCATATGTACCCTACCCATTTCAAAAGATCTTATAATACAATACCATTGGTGTTACATAACCTATCTGTCGGAATTGATTTCTACAAAACTATATCATTTCTTATTTTATTAACTGATGGCAGTCCCCCCGCCCCCCCCCCCCCTTTTTTTTTGTGGCTCATATGTTCGAAGTGCTATGAAAAGTTGGATGGTGTCACTGGTGCATTTAGGTAAAATTAAAATAACAAATAGCTATACTAACCATACAAAGACATGTCTTTAAAGTGAGCATTGGACTCAATTTACAAATATAATATTTAACACCTAAGGTGATATTAAGGTGAAATCCAGCAAAGAATGCGATATAAGTATTTTTATAGGAATTCAGCGAGATATGATCAAGGTATCAATTTTCTGATAATTATATTGAAGAAAATTTCTCGTAATTATGATATATCTATACTCCCTACAAGCATTTATGTAAATGCGGTAACATCGGACTGTATTACAAAACAGTTACAATTTTCTTATTTACGAAAAACGAAGGTTCTTTAACATTAAAAAAAAAAAAGCAAAGAAACTCGAGGCTGAAGTGAATCAACGATAAGGTGGCGTAAAAATGTAAATTTCAAACAAGTTCATCTGAATTTTTCTGTTTACCGACTTTAATTCTTCCCCGTGTCTAGCATAACCGTGCAATACTGAGCGATCAGATACCTTTTTTGTGCATCGTGTAATTGTCGATTAGAAAGCCCGTATTCGTCTAATAGCTATCAATTCTGTATGGTATTATTTGAAAGGATTACTAAAAAAAACATGGTGTTTGGAACTTAGCGAACCACGTAGATGCATACATTTTTCAATTTCGTATCAATTGATTCTTTTCCTTACATTATGTAATTAAATGGTATCTATAATACCTCTAAATTTTTCTGACATTGATAATTACTTTTTGGCTGCTTTTATTACCTTATTTTTCTAGGTTGAGTTGCTGACACAATCAAGCTGTAATATTTTAAAACAAATTCATCTGAGAACATTTCATGCAAGTGTAACATCCTAATATAGCTGTAGAGAGAGACAAGAAAAACTATGAATAAACAATAACAACAGATTTCTGCTTAACGGTCTTGTTCGTTTTACAGCTCATTCGTTTATGGAATAAAATTAGTCGGAATGTTAATTGTCTGCATACATAGTACCCTTCAGTTTAATTGTTTAAGACGTAGGGATATGTGGCGTTAATCAATCCAGTCACTTCCCGGGTTTCCGGTTTTCATTTGAAAAACAGTGATCTATCATTATATCCCCGGGCCTTTTAGCCACATTGAGTATTGTACGCAAACAAATAAAAAGTTGTTTATGTCCCATGAGTATCACAATTACTTTGCCAACAACTCAGTTAATATTCTATTTACGCTCACGCCGTATTTACAGATTTTTTTGGTTGCCATGAATATTATCATGAGCAATGAGTTAAAATTTTATCTTAGTAGTTTATGCAGCAAGACTTAAAAATTTCATAGAGATAGTAGAAAGTTTCTGTCATTTTTCGGTCAAACACTTAGTTTTGAAATCTTCCTCTTGCTTATTCATACTCATGTTACACCCTTTTTTAATATTTCTATAAATAAGAAGACAAAAACTCAAGAAAAAAAAACTAAGAATTAAATTAAGATAGCTGAAATCTGTCAACGATGAAGCATTTGAGTCTAATCATATTGACTTTATATTTAACAGCTATTGAACATTTTATAGCGCAGAGTGCCGGAAGCGGTCATGATGCAGGTAGGCCTAAGACAAGTTTTGAAAGTTTTAGAGCTTAAACATGTCTTTTATTAATTTAGCATGCGAATACTTGGCTAACAGAATATACTGTTTTGGCGGTTCATCATGGATCACCAAATCTGTTACAAGGACAGGTATAGCTATGCTTGATATATTACGTTATAGCGGGAATACGACAGACGTGTTGAACAAGAATTGGGTATATATCACTACAAATAATGAAGATCTTGTTAGTACTCCAAGAGGACTCCCACAACATATGCGTCTTCCAGACGAAGATATCATGATAATAAACGGAGGCTTTTCTCATAGTATTGTTAATAAGAAATTGACGTATCAAACAATCGCTTTTAACGCAAATGATCACACTTGGAGCTCTCTCCCAAATTTTACACAGTCCGGTTACGATAGACAAATGTAAGTAAACAAGAGAAAAGCATCGAAATCAAAACTTGTGAGTATTTAAGTCCTCTTTTAATTTTAAGCTATTCTGCATCGTCGTTTTATGTTCCAGGACAAGGAGTCGGATTCTATGGTGGCGCGGAGGAGTAATATAGATACGTACTACTTCTTTAAACAAGCATTTACAATAATTAATTTTATAGCTCTTATGAAAAGGGCTGGACATATCCGGATATTAACATGACTGATTATATTGACACAAGTGATACACTAACAATCGGTTTTACAAAGCTTACTTTCTTTAACCTTTCAAAAAGTATGAATAACGTAAGTTTTACAATGTCCAGAATTGGTAGCTGTCAGTAATCAAAAGTTAGCCTTGGTCAGAATACCCGTTGGAAAAAAACCGACTGGCCTATTTTTCTACAAGTCAAGTCTCCATTTATGATATAATAAATAACCGTATCCTCTTGCTGGGAGGTACATATCAGAATCCAGCCAAAAAATATCATTATCAGGTGTTTTCCTCTTCCCCCTCTTTTAACCTGGCAAATGGAGAATGGACTACGCAAAATTTTACCGGTGCTGCTATCCCCGAAGTCAGAATACGCCATACAGCAACAGTAGGTAAGAACATAATAGAAACTTCTTGTTCCTTCGAAATGTCTGCTGTAAAAGTTTGATTTAACATATTTACAAAAGTCGGGTCCGATCAAAACCATGTCTTACTGTATGGTGGCCGAAACTCATCAGATGGTTGGGGTAACTACTACGAAATACATTCAAACACAACTGAAATTAAAGATATCTTTATATACAGCTGTTTCAGACTATTGCTATACCTTAGATCTAACCAATAATAAATGGATGTTACAAGATATTCAGCCCGGATACAATGTAATCTTGAGGAGATCTAGTCACTCAGGTGTGTGTCATACAATTTTAAACATATCTGTGTGCTTATTTGTTTATATATCAACAGCTCTTCTTGTAGATAAAAGCACTGTGTTTATTGTATATGGAGTCAACGAAGACGGTGTTCCAGCGAATTCGACGCTGATTTTAAATGTGTCAAATCCGTCAGTTGTCTTGGCTATAAACAGCTACGAACACCCCAAAGCGGACGATGTTCTTTCATTTCCAACGCCTACGATTAAAAATAGTAGTGATGATACAAACTATAGCGATTATCCAACAACATTTCCGATTGACGACACCCCATCTCATGACGAGGCAACCGCATCTAATCCTAAATCTGGTAACACAATATTATGGCCAGAATATCAATCAAATATATATAAAACCATTGGTATTGCCGTGGGGTCTACCGTTGGAGTGAGTTGCAGCGTATCCAATTATTCAGATTAATAACAAAAACTTAAATTGACATGGTATCTTTGAAAATTAGTGTCTAGCTATTATAGGAGCTCTTGTTTTCTATTTATGTATAAAAAAAAGATCTGAAAAGCATCAGCGTGAAATTGAAGAGTTTGAACGGCGAAGATGCGAAATTGAAGCCCTTCATAAAACAGTACATATCGAAGAAGAACCAATGATAGTCAATTGGGATGAAATTGATAAAGAATTTATTATCACTCCTATAAAACCCTATGGCTGTCATAATAATCCAGGAGATATAACCAATGGGACTATAAATTGTGGCCCTTCAAATCCTCCGCTTAAAATACAAGAGATAAAGCGCCAGCTTCCTGATGATATTTCCCATTATGATCATAATTTATCTACTAGACTAGGAGAGCCTGCAAACCAAGATAATCAAGTTACAGCAATTAGACTCCCTGATGCTATCAATGAAGACGTTTACAATTTAAAAGACGTTCAGCTAATCCAAAAGCCTGATGGTTTTTGAGTGTCTCCATCAATAAACTATATGCGATTAAAATATTGTAACTATATTACCATGTGGAGTTTTATTTTGATTACTACTCTTTAGCAAAAATTGTAAATCCAAGCTCACTTCAAGACATTATGTGTTTTTCTATAGAGTTTTAGGGATTTAATTAACTTACTTAAATTTGACAACAAAAATGTTAAAATTTTATAGCAAAAGGGAGCTCTGAAAGAACAATTTGAAATTGAGAAATGATGAGGTTAAATAGCAATCCTTCATTTTAGATAATAAGTTTTTGCTTATAAATTTTGTTACTGTATAACTTTATATTTAATCTATCAAATAATTGAGCAACCATTGCTATATAAAGTAGTGTATATCGATTGCTGTCAATTTTTGTGGACATCAATCCATAAATTATTATAAATGCGGAACAATGATACCCGGACCAATTAAAACGCACATTGGCATCTCCTTAAATACCCGAATAAAAAAGAGTGACGTCAGAGTTTTCCTTTGGCTTTTTCATGCGGAATGACCTTACTTGGTAAAGAGATGGGACCGAACAGTGTTGAAACAGCGGCTATAGAAACATTTCTAAGTTTCCTTGTGATTTGCATGGTGTTGAGCTAGCCTTGTTACAAATTTCGCGTTAGTATGAACATAAACAGATATGATAGAGAAAAAAGTTATATCACTTACCCATTAATCAGATAACACCCACTGGACACTGGGGGAACAGCTCCAATAGGCTATACATCATGATGTAATGCTTTAAAATAAAATAAACTGTTAGACTGACTTTTTGCATAAAACAAATATAAAAATTATCATACTTGTGGCAGTGTAAGACACTGTTTGTAACGGAAACCAAATTCTAGACTGCCTTCTCCCTCCGATAGATAAATAGTGTATTGGTACCAACCCCGGCATCAGTAAAAACCTTTTGTCTCCATTAAAAAAAACCTTTCATGAGGAAAAAATTGGGCAGTACAAAAAGAAAAGATAACCAAAGGTCAGCACGATCAGCTCAAAAGTAAAAAACCACATTTTGATATTTATTTTGTCTACAAAATTAAATAAAATAGATTAAGTATCATTTATACTTGCTTATTTTTACGATACTTCCGTCCTCTTTTTTCCTTTCTTTTGGTGAACAAAGGAATAAAGAAAGAAAGAAAAATCTCAAGAGGCTTTTTTAGAAGTTGAAAAATAATAATATATCAAATCAAATGTTGTTAGAGACGTCATTTTGTATAATAAGGGTTTCGACGACAAGTTGAGAAAAATAGTTTCTCTACCTTGTGATGGTGGGAACCAGGTTTATGAATTTGATTTGATGTGTATGCTTTACAAGGCTCTAAAAGAGGTGTTTGTGGATATATTACTATTAGGATCAATTTCAGGTTTTAGGTTTTAGGCTATATTTAGTTTTTGTTTGTAGAAGAAGAAAAAAATTCTCTGTCTTAAGCTTCCAGGTTCTTACCAATGGTATCATATAATTGTAGGATAAAGTAAACATGAGACTGTGGATTTGACTAAAAATCGAAATATCTTACAGATTAAGTGGGTGATTTTCGGCTTGAAATAAAGAAGCTGTCTGAGAATCGAAAACTCTTACAAATTAAGTGAGAGATTGACCGAGAGTAAGTGGCATATGTAAAGTTTTTATTGGACATTCAAATTTATTTGGGGACTAAAGGCTCATCCAAAAGACCCAAGAATTAGATGGCGTTTGATCTAACGCGGGAATAAATGTAGTCATCAGCTGCAAAAACCGGTTTACAAGCTCCATGGTTGCTTTGCCCATCAAAAATATGTAGCCTGTTTCCCTCTTTTTTTTCTTTTGAAGTGTCTATATTTATGGATATATAAAGAGATATTCTATATTTAAAAAAAAGAACCTGATATCTTAAGCCAAATTAAATACTCTTGGAATGTAGTAAAGAACACTGTATGGCATCGAAACTGCAAGAACTGATTCTGCTGGTAGAAGTGGTTATGTTGTTTCTTCTTTCTCGACTTCTGGTGTAAGTTATGATGTTGTGGTGGACGATCTTTAAATGATCACTTGCAGCTGCCCTGACTTCCGCTTTAACAATATCGCATGCAAACACATGTATTTGTTGAAGTGTGATATGTCTTGGTTGTCTGTATTTGAAGGTAAAGATAAATACTATTAAATTCTTTACGGCTTCATTTTTTTTTTTACTAACCTTAAATCGAATAGTTTCTTTCGACCCCACTTTCTCAACCATTCCTCAGAGCTCGCCTGATAGCTCAGCTCTTCTTACTCCAACTGAACAAGCTCCTCTCACCGCTCCAAGCAATTCTTCAATAGATTTTGACACTCTGCTTTCTAACATTCATAAACTTAAACGCCAGCAAGATACTTTGGCCGAAACTGAGCTCGAAGAATTAAACAGCTTCAATCACTGGTTTCTCTCTCGTATAAATTCTACAAACATTCCTTCCAATTCTAATATTACTATACAAAGATAACAAAAAAAAAAGTTAATAATAAACGCGCCCCTTCCCTCTGCCTAAAAATCAAAAGCAAAGCAGCCCTCTACTTTTAAAAACCGCTCAAAAATGCGGCATTGTAACGCGTACGTCATCGGTTCAATTTTTTAAATAGGCCACCGACTGGTTAATTTTTTTTTACTGTTTACCACCTCCTACATTAATTTATTACCTTACCATGGCCCACAACGTTTTACGCACCACTACTCGAACGACCAAAAATGCTTCGTGTTTATTAAGAAAAGCGCCTTACAGCAACCGAGCGACCAGTTGGTTTCGACGATTCTTGAGTCCTTCAGAAGAGAAGGAACTTTATTTAGGCATTACTAGTTCCTTTCGTGAAAAGTTGGTCGAACAGTCGAACAAAAGCACACAAACATACAGCCACATTATTGAACACGCCTTCTTAGGGATAAAATCTACCAAAGTGACCAAAACTGGAATGTTAACTATTGCCCGTATTGAACAACTGAAAATTGATCTTGACACAGCAGGAAAGCAAAAAGATGTCAAAAAGCTGCAACAGTTGGAGGCGGAAATGGATGATGCAGATTTGAAAACTGTCACTATTTATAATCGACTGATTCGGTCATACTTATGGAGCAACTCAGTGGACTTGGCTCATCAGGTTTTGATCGGATTCGATCAACGTGGGTTAGTACCTACAGCTAGATCATACATTTATCTCGTACAAGCTTACTTGAAAACCGACCAGTTGAGTCATGCAAAAGCTTTAGTGGAAGAGATGAAGCAATCTTCTTTACTCAAATTAAGAAACGATTTCGATTACAATATAATTTTAAATTTTTACAAGGCTTCTGGTGATACACATGCTATTGACTTTTTATGGCGTGATGTCGTTTTACATATTGATACCATCAAACCCAGCAACTCACTATACATCTCATATTTGGAACACTTGCTGTCAAAGCAAGAGATCAAACCCATTTCACAATTAGCTCAAGAATATCTGACACATTCACCCCAAGCATCATTACAATTGCATCAATATATTACCTGGATGAAGGCAGTAACATTATTAGCTAAAAATAAACAGGACACCTACAAGTCAGAACGTCTTTTATTACACTTGATTAAAAAAGCACCACCAAAGACCTCTTGGGATAAAGCAAAGAGTGGTATTTCAACCATCGTTACGTCGTACCTGAATGAAGATCAAGAATTAAAAGCCCTGGCCTTTTATTATAGGTTGGGCAAAATGGGTGTCCCTGTACAAGCGTTTGAACCTCGAACTGTGAAGGCAATAGAAGCTGTTGTAAAAAAAGTGGAACAGGATGGGGATGAAAAAGCTATTATTGCCGAGTTAGAAGGCCTTGTTATATCACACATTTAAATAAAATGAAAATTGTTCGCCGGTATTATGTCCATGATGATTTTCGCATGCAAGTAAAATACAAACAACAATAAATTTTAATTTAGATAAAAAAATTGCAAAGATATCCCTCTAAAATTTTGACCTCTCCTGGAATTCAATTTGACCATTTCGAGTCATCTCTTGCACCGCTTTTTTAGCTACCAAGATAGCATCGTGACCGTAAAGCCAAGGTTGGAAATCCCCATCCGACCATTGTAAAGGACTTTCGACCTTAGCACTTGAATTTGCCTTTCGAAGTTTGTCTGCTTCTCTCATTGCTTTATCACGAGCTATTTGTTCTTCACCATCGGGCAAATGCCATGTATGACCGTTTTCAAGTGAATTCTTCTGTATCCTTTCTACGCGAGGTCGACGTATATGCTCATATAAACAAAGAAACTCAGGGATACTTTCCACAGAGTTAATTTGAGATAGCAGGACGCCCAAGGTTGCTGCATCTTCAATTGCCTGAGCAGCCCCCTGAACACAAGATCATATATGTTAAAACATTTATTAAATGCATGACTGCTGCATAGACTCACCTGAGCGAGATGTGGTAGCATCGCATGTGCCGCATCTCCTATTAATGCAATATGTCCGCCACAACTTACCCAGCGATTAAGCGAGGGAATATCAGCCAAAGTCCATTTTTGGCTTTGCGTAATTTTACTCAAAACTTTGTTGATAATCGGGTCAAATTTAAGATAGGGCTCTTTCATTTCGTTCAGATTTCCTGACTCATTCCATTGAGTTAAAGAGGCTTCACCTGGGTGGGACATGACAACATTGTACAGCTTGCCCCCTTTTATAGGATACGCAACTATATGGCATTTATATCCAATCCAAAAGTCAGAATTATGATTTTCTAGAAGATGGGAAATTTCGGGATCAGCTTGTATAGCTGCTGCGGGCACGGTTGCGCGGTAAGCGCAGTTATCGGATCTTCTAGGTTCTATTATTTTCTCCGGAATAACAGCAGTACGCACTTTTGAACGGATCCCATCAGCGCCTATTATCAGATCCGCCTTAAATACAGTACCATTGTGCAATCTAACGCTTGTTTCGGCATCATCAATATATTTTACCTTGGCATTCACCAGAACTTCAGCACCAATTTCTGTTGCTGCATTGCATAACAGCTGTATGTAATCAGCACGATGAATAAGAAAGTAGCTAAATTTTATAGGTAATGAGTAAGAGGTGGGCCTGCCTAATACGTATATACTACTTTACGGGTAACCATATTTGTCTTCCAGGTCTGGATTTAGCCTTGTTGCTGAAATAACTTCTCCATTAGCATATCTTCTAATATTCATATACTCTGGCCAAACCGCCTTTTCTTTAATTTTTTCGAGCAATCCCCAAGTGTCAAGAATATACGATGAATTTGGAGGTATCTGAATTCCAGCACCCACTTCGCTTAACTCTCTAGCGCCTTCTAATACAGTTACATGATGTCCGGCTCGACGCAAAGCAATAGCTGTAGCCAAGCCCCCAATACCACCGCCGACAATAAGAACAGAAATCTTTATTGCCATTTTTTGAGGCAGTAGGAAAAATAAATAAAAAACAGGAAAAGAGAGATAGAGAGGGAGAGAGATTGGGCGTTATATGCAACTTTATCTTCGAATGTTGGTTTTTATTCCAACAAATGATCATCATCTTATGTAGTACGTAATGTATGACTGTATTACAGTTGCAGATAGTATGCATTGTTTTTCCGCCCGACCACTTTATACAAGCCGGCGTTTTCTTTTTTGGTTTCTTACCAAAAAAAAAAAAAAGAAACTCTAATTTTCTTATTCATGCTTATAAAAACGAACAATAATGATTTAGTAATAACTGTAGTGATTTATGTAATCGCCTTTACAATACATTCTTACATAATAACTGAGCAAAATTTCTGGCGTAGCCGACACAGTTTCAAGTAAAAATTAGGGCGTTACGTTGCTGAAATTGTATAAACTGATGCCATAAATCTTATTTTGGGAATATTAGTTTTTACTACTCTATGTGTGTGTGTTTTCGAGCATAGTTTCGGGTTAGACTGGATTAAAATAATGGTTTTTATAAATCTAGCGATCTTCTTACTACCAAAAAGCTATTTTGAAGTTGTTAGTTTAAATATACAGTTCATGCTTGGTCTTTTGTTTTTAAAAAAGATTAAGGGGAAAGTCAATCATGGTTACAAATCGCCTTTTTTTAAAAAAAATACCACCGTCACCATCAAATATTGTGCACGGACCATTTCTGATTTAAGTTATGGTAAGCCTGCTTTATTTAGGTATATTCAATATTTTAGGACCATTTATAATGTTTGGCTCTATCCTTCTAATAAGTAGACAAGAATGAACACTTGAATCAGTGAGCCTCGCAACCTAGATGTGAGACAATATTTCAAAACCATAGTATGTTTCTTATTTGTTAATTTAGAATTAATACTCTGTATATATGTACTTTATTCTTAAATTTATAAAGTGTAAGGATCACATCATATAGACAAGTTCTTTAGGGTGTTTTAGAGACTAGTTCTTTTAAATAAAATAAAAAGATATTTATAGCCTTATAATGTACCAAACAAGTCAAAGGCTTTTCGTGACTTAAACAAAGAAATAAAAACTCATAACAAGCTAGTTAACGTTAAGAAGGAATTCTTTGTATCAAACTGATAAATGTAACACCAGATTTTCTGCCCCCCCCCCCCATTTCAAAAAACTGTAATAATAAAACCGCTGTCTAAATTGTGGCGTATCTTTCCAAGTCAAGAGGTTTTGATGGCTTCGTGAGGTCATAGGATCTTAGTGTCTAACTCAATAAATAAAGGCCTTAACTCATGAGAAGTTTATGTGCTTTCAGTAATTCAGGTATTGACATTCATGATGTAACTTTTTCCAATGCTATGTATATACCACAAACTGTATTCATAGGGGTTATCTACGCGTATATCAACGCCAATACAGGAAGGAACAGGCTCTGGGAAGCTATATCGGTATTTTATTTTGTTCATTGATAAAGGTGACATAAAACCTGTTGTAGTCGAGTCTCATTTTTTTGTACTGACAATTCTTGATGAATAAATGATCAGAAAATACAAAATCTCTTGTAAGAGTCATGATTTACGTATTTTTAAATTTCTTTACAGTCGCATCTAATCTCAGTTACAAATATATGAAAAAGTATGTGTCATAATTGAGTCACAAATCAAAAGTTCACAAAAAGTACAAAAAAAAAAAAACTTTGACCTTTTTACATAAACACATAGTACAATGTCTTACGCACTTAACTTTGGAGCTGGCCCAGCTAAAATGTAAATACATGTGTGTGGGTGTCTGTAATACTGACATGGCATTAACCAAATAATATTATGCAGCCCCCAACCTGTTCTTTTAAAAGCACAAAAAGAATTTCTTAATGTTCATGGTACTGGAATGTCTGTTATGGAGTTGTCTCATCGTTCAAAACCTTTTGGTGCCATTCTCGAAAAGACCAAGAAGGATTTGACGGATTTGATGGAAATTCCTTCCAATTACAGCATTTTGTTTATGCAAGGTGGAGCTACCACAGAATTTGCTTCTGTGTTTTATAACTTGGTTGCAGCCAAGCAAGATGAGTTGAAAAAGGCAGGCAGAGAAGGTGAAGAAATTGTGGTGGACTATCTTGTGACAGGTGCATGGTCTAGCAAAGCAGCACAGGAAGCTGAGCGCTTAGTACCTACCGTGATTGGTAACCCTGTTCGCGTTCATCGTGCTTTGAATGTCAAGGCATTGAACGGAGGCAAATTTGGGGCTATTCCTCCCCAATCCGAATGGCAACTCACCGATCCCAAAAAACACAATGTAGCTTATGTTTACTACTGTGACAACGAAACTGTGCATGGTGTTGAATTTCAATTTATTCCAGAGGTTGATGCCAGTGTACCTCTTGTCACTGACGTTTCTTCCAACTTCTTATCTCGTCCTATCGATGTAAGCAAGTTTGGTATTGTTTATGGTGGAGCACAAAAAAATCTTGGCCCTGCCGGTGTTACTATCGTAATTGTTCGCAATGATTTGTTAGTGGATATCAACATTGGACCTATCCGTCCATTAATGCTTGACTTTAAAACTGCAGCCGATAATGATTCAATGTATAACACACCTCCTACTTTTGCTATTTATATGGTTGGATTAACATTGGAGTGGTTGAAGGATCAAGGCGGACTCAAGGCAATCGGAAACGTCAATGACCGTAAATCTGAAAAACTTTACAAGGTGATTGATGAATCCAAACTTTACAAATCTCCTGTCCAGCCCAACTGTAGAAGTCATATGAACGTTGTTTTCAATTTAACAACCGAGGAGTTGGAAAAAGAATTTTTAAAGGGAGCTGAAGAAAGAAATATGCATCAACTCAAGGGTCATCGTTCTGTTGGTAAGTTACAAATTATCTCCGTTTATGGATAATATTTTTTGTCTTACTCTTTTAATTTAAGGTGGTGTACGTGCTTCGATCTATAACGCTTTACCAGAGGAAGACGTTGATGCATTGATTGAATACATGCTTGAATTTGAACAGAATCATTCATAATAAATAAATAAAAAAATGTCACAGGTGTACAAATTCATGCTAATTATGCACACACAGAAAAGAGAAAAAAAGTCTATACTTGACAAGCGGGTCACACGCTATATAAAAATAAAATTACAGTTATAAATGATATAATGCATCATGTATGATGATTGGTGTATTGTATATACATCCTAATAACAAACCAATCAAAAGGAAACGATAGAAAGATTAGATACTTGTATCACAAACCATCCCATCGTTTGTTATAAACTCTTACCCCTCTCCTCCCTCCCTTTTTTTTTTTACTTTTTCTTCTTCTTTCTTTTCTTCTTTTTTCTTTACAAGCAGAGACAAAAATATCTTTTATAAAAGTACGTGTTTGTAAGTGAAGTAAATCAACATTACTAGCCTTGACATTAACCAAAAAAAAAAAAAAAAAAAAAAAGGTATTACATGGGCACCAGTAATTTTACAAGTAAACTGCATAACGTATAATGAATAAATAAGACACTAATATATATATATATATAGGTCATAGCACATTATTATTATCGACAGTTGATAATGTAATAGGCACAAGGTAAAAGCAAGAAAAAAAAACTGTTTCAATATTAAAATTGATCTGGTCTAATACAAATATAGCGAACAGGATGATTTTCAACCCACTGCAGAAGGATTAATTCGACTTCGAGAATTACATGAAATTCACTTGCCAACCATCAACAAGAGCTTCAACAATCATTGCATAGTTTTCAATTTTCTAGTGATTTAAAGCGACATGGTACTTTACCAGGTCATCGTATTATTATGAAACCTATTGACCGCAAAACACGGACAGTCGGAAGTCCTGTTATGACCAGCCATTTTCGCCGAAAGAGTTTGCCTCCATTATCCGAATCCCCACCAAAAGATATGTCGTCATCTTCTTCTTCTACGACCATCCATACACCTCCTATGGAAGACGATGACGTCCATGTACCTCATTTGCATAACAGATTGAAACATCAAAACCAAGCCATTTTGACCACCTATGATGATTGGAGGATTATTCTAACAAACAGTATAGCACAAGACGTGCTTGTCAGTCATTTACATGACAAGATGAATGAAGAGGAACACATGTTACTTGTAGGCAAATCCGTAATGGATCTGATTGAGCCATTTTACCAAAACAGGTTAAAAAGCATGATTGTGAAACGAAAGAATGAGTTGATTCACTTTGATAATACAGGTGGTATGGTACTTGTTTGTGGCAACGTGGTAAAACATATACTGTTCATGTGCATACTTTATAGCAAACTTTATAGTAAACTTTTTTTATTGCTAGATTCCTATTATAAAGTTAGATGGTACAAAATCTTCGGCTTCTCTTTGGCTTAAAGAAAAAATTAACGAATCGGGAACTTCTGTATTCATTTGGATTTTTGAAGAAGTCTATGAAAGTTCTATTTCCGTGTCTGTGAATAATGAGGTTAGAGATACATAAGAGAAAAAAAGTTTAGAGCTATAGAAAGAAAAGCTTATTTATTCATTTAGGGAATCATATCCGAAATAACAGATCAAGAAAGTGTGACAGACTTGTACGATTATAATGCAAAAGAATTGTTAGGGCAACCATTGACAATCCTTGTACCCTCTATTGGGCTTTCTGATTGGCAAGAAGAAATCAGTCGACTGAGATTTTATGGTAGTGTAACCAAAAAACAGGCACAATTTCCTATAATTGTTCGCCGACAAGAAAACACAGTCCGCATCACGTCTATGCCAGTGATCGCTGGTCTGATGACCATCAACGGAAACGGCACCATTGAAGGGTGCAACGATATATTTGTAAAATATTTACTCGGCTTTTCTCAACAGGACCTTTTGCACAAAAATATTTCTCAAATTTTACCGCAGTTTCCGAATTTACTTGCAAATTTAAAACGAGACGATTTATTGCAACCTGGTTTAATCATCAACAATATTATCTGTAGAAAGCTACTCATTCAAGAAGACTCCGTCATGATGGTCAATCATAACAAGCGTTTATTAACACACACACCCAATAACCAACCTTTACCTGTTCTGCTTGCTATACATAGAGATGGTACTCCCCTAGAAGTTCAATTACAACTGAAATTGGTCGATACAGATGATGATGGAGAAGAGTTTGCGCTTTGGATTTCGTTTGATAGAGAGACTGTATTTAAACGTTATGGACATCATCATCTTATTTCTACTCCTTTAATGCATCCACCACTTTCTTCTTCGCCTGAGCAATACAGATCGCCAAAGGTCACAAGCACAACTCGTGATCTTTCTCTCAATAAGAAGAAATTCAGCCCTGTTAGTGAACAAAAAGAAGAAATAAATTATTCTGCACAAACAAAATCTACTACCATTGACGATTACATTATTCTCGACAGTCTCGGCCAAGGAGCTTACGGATTAGTGAAATTAGCAATCAGAAAAGATGATCCAAGTCAGGTAATTTCCTATTATAGTTTATCTGTATTGTATATTTTATTTATATAGATGTCCCCAATTAGACAAAAGTTGTGATCAAGTATGTTATCAAATCGCGTATACTGGTAGACTGTTGGACAAGAGACCGGAAACTCGGAACGGTGCCCGTTGAAATTCATATATTAAATACACTCAGAAAGACACCGCACGAAAATTTAGGTGATATGCGTAAGTGTCAAAATCCAAAAAATACACTGATATTTAATTAACAGTAGAATTGTAGTGGATTATTTTGAAGATGTAGATAATTATTATATCGTCATGGGATTACATGGAGCAGGCATGGACTTATTTGACTATATCGAGCTAAATAATCATATCGAGGAAACCGAGATATGTCGCATGTTTAAACAAATCGCATTAGGAGTGAAGCATCTACACGATAACAAGATTGTACATCGAGATATCAAGGATGAAAACGTGGTACTAGACCACCAAAATGGCGGGCTCAGATTAATCGATTTCGGTAGTGCTGCTTATTTAAAGCCAGGCAGAAAATATGAAACTTTTGTGGGTACTTTGGATTATGCTGCTCCAGAAATTCTACGCGGGCATACTTATTCTGGGAAACCCCAGGATGTATGGGCTTTAGGCATATTGCTATTTACTCTTGTCTATCGGGAAAATCCCTTTTATGATATTGATGAGATTATGGGAGGAGAACTACGAATCCCCTATGTTTTATCAGAAGGTAAAAGACTATTATTCTGTGTTACGCTTTAATCTAACATGTCCATTCTTTTTTATAGGCTCAGTTGATCTTATCAGTAAAATGTTGGAACGTGATGTCGATAAACGAATCGACATTCACGAAGTGCTGGCACATCCGTGGTTAAATTAAAAGAAAAAAAAAAAACTCCCCTTTCCCTTTTTGTATTTTCATTGTAGATTCTCATCATTTTATTAAAAATCCTATTTTTTTATTATCTAAATTGCTATGTATGTACAATAATCCATTATTTTGTTTAAAATCCTCTTCCAAGACCAGTGTGTTCAACAATGTTCTTCATGATTCCTTCCTCTTCACATAATTCAGGATGGATATATAACAAAGTCTTGGGTTTGGCGGGCTTAGCGCCGATACGACCCGTAGCAAGCTCAGGCTCGGTGATCATCCAGCTGGTAAAGATACGGCTGGCAGGTCCAAGTGCATCCAAAGGAACTGTTGTGACATGATCTCTGGCAGTGAATGAAAGTGTATGGATCGTCAATTCCTTGGGTAATTCACTCTCTTTAGTGCTGCTGGGCATTGTGATCTTTGTCACATAAGGGGACATGACCCACTGAATCAATCCAGTAGAAGCGGAACTGGTAATAACAGCTATTCACAGACGGGTCAGTTTATTAATACACATACAAATTCGTTATCTATTACCTGCTCCAACAAGAGCTGCTTTGGCAACAAAAGGGACGGGCACATCAATGGCAAAAACAAAAGGAGAAATACCTGTACCAAGGCCAAGCGAAGTGATTGAAAAGAGCTTCAGCTTTTTGGCGACATTGGCCAGGGGTCCGTTATAAATGACAACAGGTTCATCCTTCTCAACATTCAAGTTTCTTCTCCATAATGTGGAAGCCTTACTGGCGGTAAATGTTGGGCGGGCAAGTGCGGTTGCTCCTTTGACAAATGTCTTGCTAGAGATTCTCAACATGTTTGGTTAAAAAAGATTTTGTCCCGAACTTTTAAAAAAAAAGACTACCCCCAGCTACTCATTACAGGTACGGATTTCGGGCAATCAATTGTGACCCTTCTTTTCATTCATACACGGGCAAATGCATTAAAGCTTGGTTTCCGTGAAAGTATTAAAAAAAATTTATCACAGGTTATGCATGAAAAAATACCTGTAAAAAGCTGCAGTTCATAAAGGCAAACCATGTGCATAAAGGTGGCCATGATAAAACGCCTAATCAATACAGCAGTATCTTATCACTTTTTTCAATTGAACAATGTTTATCAAGACATAGATATGCAACTTCTTGCCATAGTGTTTTACATGTTGTGGGTACCAGAACATTCGATCCAGTGAAGAAATATTTGCTACTATAACAAGCTTCCATACACTCATTTACAGCATACTTATGCGAAGTAACCAGAGTAACAACTACCAACCATCCTTTTAGTTTTCTTCGTTAACGCTTTAACTAGTGTTAAACTGTTTGTTTTTGGTCTGACTATTAAAGTCTACACATACGTAGCCTTTTAACCCACGTTTCAGTTTTACCAAAAAATGCTGAATTACGGCATTACGGATAATATTTGTTAGCCATACATACTTTTATAATGTTATCTCATGAGAATGCTGATAGTCTTAATACTTTTAAAAAGGAAGGATTTCTCTTGTTGCTGTTGTGGTCTTCATATCTAACAAGCACTGAGGCAAAAAATAAACTTAAGTGATACATGTCGAGGCATATATTTTTCGGTTCTCAATCCAGAAACATCCCATATTCTCAGATATCATCCCCCAAAGTCCACCCCTATGAACAGAAATGTAAAGAGGCAATCATGGACTTGCGTACTCCAGTCATAAACTACACTTTCAAAGCCGGACTCACTATTTCGCGCACATTTATTGGCTCCCTACACTATTCGGAGCAATTATATTAGCTCGCTAAATTTGGACTGACTATAAGCGTACCCACATAAGTCTAAGAAAATGTTTACGTTGATTGACATGCCATATCATCCAAGTATAGTTTATTTTCATAGGATGATCTATAATTGTTTTTATAAAATAAACTTTTATTAAATGCTATTACTGAAACGTTACCAAACCTCCGACTTTCTTGGGGTATTCGCGAATATCTCTATTTTACCATGGCGATTAAATAAAATCATTCTGACATAAGCTCTTGTTTATCAGCCTACGAATAGATCTCGCTCACACTTTCCTTCAACATACAACTTTTCTTTTTTCTTTGAATGGAAACACCACGCCCAAGATCTCTACTTTGGACAACAATACCACAAGTCGGACAATGGTCAAAAGGCGGGTCTCTTAGGGACAGCCAAATTTTCTTAGGGACAGCCATTTTTCTTAGGGACAGTCAGGGTGCGCGTAGTCGTAATGTTGGGATTATGATACTTTCATAGACATCAAGAGGTCAATATAACTTAACAACTTGAAATATTTACACATTTATTACAACAAACATATTGTAAACCAGTATATGATCTTTATAGCTTGCTTTCAGCTTCTCGTTTGGACGTTAGCTTAATATTTCTGCGTAAGATTAAGATCAAACGAGCTCAAAGGCGAAAGAGTGATGATAGAATTGTCAAAAGAAGTATAAATCGTTTAATATACATTTATTCGTAATTTTTACATTGTTTTTGATTGTATATCCTTGTTCCCAGGTCTACAGAGCATCCAAATCACAGATTTTACGTTGCGACTACGTGCACTTTGGCTGTCCCTAAGGAAAATTTGGCTGTCCCTAAGAAAAGCGGTCAAAAGGACTCTATCGGCAACGGATTTAATAGTATCCTTGACCTAACCGACAATAGGCCTAAAAGAAATGGGTAGCAAAGTCTTTTTACAGAAGAAGATTGTTTGAAGCTTAATAGCAATTGCAACAAGCCGAAGAACTGGGGTCAGATAGACGACGACATACAAAGGAGTCTAAAAATAATTGAAGAGCTTGCCGTCCATGACTCAAAGAAAGCATGTGTCAAAGCTCTCTCATACCAAGCTAAATATGCCTTAACAATAATGAAGTCTGCATTAAATCCTAAGTCTGGGGGTGTAAGTAGCTACGAACGCAATTTATCTATTCGTTGTGTGTTTTCTATAACTCATACATCTCTTTTTTAAGGTCGAAGGCTTTAAATAAGAAGAGCAGTCCCTCCAACACGAAGTTTACGGAAGCAGACTTTGTTATTTGTGGAAAAATGGGTTATTTGACACAGAACAATAAGAGATAAAAAACAGTCGATATTGCTTGTAGAGGTTTTATTCTTATACAAAATGAACCTCTATACCAAAGAAAGGGGGGTATATATAGTTATTTAAGCCGTGGTAAAGTTATTGGATATTTAATATTCACTTGGTGTTGTTGGCCGTATCTAGATATGCCTGATGAGACTTATATGAAATCTCTTCTAGTGAACAAAGCTTTTCTGAGGAAGGTTCTAACGAAGAAATCTCTAGTCAAGAAGTCTCGGAAAAAGGAATTTATCATTAACACAAAATTTAATTTTTATTCTATATTATGACATAACCGGAGTACAGAAACTGACCATTATTATTATGTCTATGATTTTAGATGAAAAGTGTAGTTTCCGGATATGATTGAAAACAACAAAAAGAGGTAGAGGGATATTAGAATGGATAAGACTTTAGAAGGTGTGAATATGATGATGACATCCACTGACCGGTGTATGAATTCATTTCAAGTCCCAAGAAACTTTTTTTTAAAACAATCCCTGTTTAACCGTTTGTCTGTTTCAAAATGAGTACCAGTGAGTTGGGATGCCAACATTGTTTTTAAATGATGAGAAGAACTAATGTGTCTGAATTATAGTTAAATGTCCTCCCGGTATTAAAGTGTTTAACAAGATTGCCGACTTTCGACAATGGCGTCGTAGTTTATTGTTAGATAAGAAGACCCTTGGTTATGTTCCCACCATGGGAGCTCTCCACCAAGGTCACCTCTCTTTAGGTTTGTGGAATGAATTTTCGATCGAACAAAACAAACTAAAAAACAAACAAAACCAAAAATTTGAAACACAGTGGCAGCAGCAAGAAAACGTTGCGATCATGTTGCACTCACCGTGTTTGTAAATCCTGCACAATTTGCGCCAACAGAAGATCTCGGCACTTACCCACGTACTTTGCAAAAGGATTTAGATTTATTGGCGAGTTTAGGTCAAGGTGTTGCATCCGCTGTACTTGTGCCTCAAGTTGAGGAAATGTATCCTGCAGGTATCGAGTTGGATGTGACGAAACAGAAGGGTACTTTTGTGGAGGTCTTGGGTATCTCCAACCAATTGGAAGGTACTACACGTCCCAATTTCTTTAGAGGTGTAGCAACTGTCGTATCAAAGTTCTTGAATATTGTAAGCATATGTAAGCAGTGAATGACGCGAATCAAAAACTAAATCAACTTTAAGGTTCAACCAGAGGAAGTGTTTTTTGGACAAAAAGACAGTGAGTTTTAGTACAATATTGTGATAAAGCATACGCTTATGCTTCATTGTAATTTTAGTTCAGCAATGCTTTGTTATCCGTGATATGATCAGGGACCTTCATTTCCCAACCAAAATGCACATTTGTCCTACTGTACGTGAAGAAAGTGGGTTAGCTTTATCCTCTAGAAATGTTTACTTGACACCCAGTCAAAAAGAACATGCACTTGTTTTATCCCGCTCGTTAAAACACATGGAAAGTCTTTATCGAGCAGGTACTCGTGATGCAACAACACTTGTTCAGGCAGGTACCAAACTTATTCAAGATGAACGTAAAAAAGTCCAAGAGGATGGAGAGGATTGGGAGATCAAATTGGACTACGTTTCTATTAATTCAGGAAAGGATCTTAGTGAATTGAAAGGAGACATTCTAAGTGAAGATGGATGTGTTATCAGTATGGCTGTATACGTTGGGGATACGAGACTTATCGATAACCTTTGCTTAGATGTTGAATTAGCTGATTGAAGAGATGCGTTGAAAGTCGCATTTTAAAATTGAAACACACAGTGTCAGGATTACTTCAACTTTGGACTCCAGGACAGACTGTTTAATTTTTAACTGATAGAATAAATCTGTTCATGTAAAACTACTTATAGTGTATTTAATTCTATGTATGTCATAGTATAGGTATTGTCTACAGACTTGCATGCAGACATCATCTTACTACCGTAGCCAACTAGGATAACCTTTTCAACGGTACGTTAACACCTTCGTAACTCTGTAAATAGTTAAAGCTGTTCCGAGGCCAGGATGTAATGGATAAATGTTTTCTTGCTGCTGGGCGAAAAGCTACAGACTTTAACAGAAGAAACTACTGAAACATGCTTGGAGACATGCTCCACGTTATTTGAGTGAACCAAAATTTAAAAGTTTATAAGTATTTGGACCCTGATGATATCGTTAAGGTCTATCCGGCTCTTCTTGATTTAGCCCGAGAAACTATTTTCATACACAAACCAAAGAATAATACTTTAGCTTAAGCTTGCTTGTGCAAAAAAAAAATCAGATAAAATGGACTGTGCTCTATGTTGTTGTAAGGTACTTGGTATGAAATTTAAAATAAAGAGCAAAATGAATAATAATAGATGTGTTTATAGTGAGCACCAGACTGTGAAAGTAGTCAACTTGTTTGAAATAATAATAAAAGGTAATAGCTTTGGATAACTTTAGCAACGAAATGAGTTCAATGCAGAATTCGAAGGAGTGGTAATATACAACTGAATCATTAATTTGATGATTTATAATGGAAGTTATATTCAGGTATAATTAATATCTTACTAAATTCAATAACTAAACATATGAATTAAGATGGAACTTAACAATTTAAAAGACTAACTGAAGAAATGTTTATTTGTTTTTTGAGAGGCCCATTTTATAGAAAAAGGGGTAAAAGGCAGTCAAAAAAAAAAACGGGAAAAAGGTAGTGTAACAATGTACACAATAATGTGAAAATTGCTGAGCAGACTGTATCACGTTGTGTGGGCTTACTTCATAAAAACCAGCTAATGCTTCCTTTTTTCTTTTTTTACGAGAATGATTTCGTTTTTTATACGAACACTAGTAATAGGAGCTATTGCTGTTATTTTATTCAAACAAAATTTGATAATATGGGCTAATCAGTCTTTGCACAAACACTTTGGCGTGATAGTTGGCAATGAATTCGGGTTCTCTTATAATAAGCGGAAGAGCGATTACCCTGTTATGATAACACTTTACAATGTAAATATCTGTAGAGATCATATAATTGATTCTCCTGGTCAAAGATCTGTCATGGAAACGATTCCTTATCTACAAGGCATTGTTACAAGAATTGTTTCGGGCACTACACTTCGTATCAAACACCTGGTATTGGAAAAGGACAATGTGAATACAACTCTTCACGACGTTGTTATTCAACCAATGCGAAACCCCGACTTGGTAATTCGTGTCAAAACTGGACCTATCCAATTGAGTACGCAAGATGCTGCTACAGGAAACATTACAAGCGATTCTTTTGTGACATTCACATTCAAAAATAAAAGGTTGAATGACGTGGAGGTTAGAATAGGAAAAGCAACTTATGACAAACCTGAATCTGTTGACCTTTTTGCTGCAAATGCACGAAGATGGATAAATTCAGATATCATCCGTGTAACAGTTGACTCGATTGATTTTCAGGGGGACTCTTCTTGACACTTGTATAAATAAAAGATCCTTTTCTTTTATCAAATGTAAAGATGCAATAAATGACGATATATGTGATTGTCCATATGTATAGAATTTGTATGCTTTCACATTAGATCTAGGGACCCGATAATATCTCAATTTTTTTTATTATTATTGCCAGAAGAGGGTAACCGAGTCATCAACTGTAATTTTTAATTACAATTGATGCAGGCAATATACACTGATGATTTATCTTGTCATTGTATAATTTCAACTCTCTTTTCTCATATTATCCTGTATTATGCTTATACTATATATTTTATTCGTTTGTGCTTCTAGTACTACACACAAAAGGTTACTCACTTTCTGTTTGTGGCATACATCTGTGCATTTTTTTACGGTACCCTGTGTGCACATATTTACATACACATTCATTGGCCTCCTCCCCTGGCCTATTTTTTCTTTTTCTTTTTTTTTTGTGGGGGGAAAAAAGTAAATCCCGTGCAATTACAATAGCCCTCAAATAAAATTAAGGAGCATAAGGGAAAGATGAAAATGTTGATCGTGTGAATTTGTACATTTCTTTAAGAATATAAGTTACCCCTTTTTTTTTATAATAGATTTAAACGAAAAGTGTAGTAGTACGAGTCTAGAATTAAAAAAAAAATTGTAACGTATTTTCAACCACCCCTTTTTTAAAACTGCTACTTTCTTGTCAGGACAAAAAAAAAATATACGCCCTGCACTCAACAGCACTAGATAAACGGAAGGTTCCCCTTTTCTTTCTGGCAGGTGCTTTAGAAGAGCCATAACTAAAATAGAGTCTGGTTGGCATCTTATCACCTTTTTTAAAAAAATTCTCATTTGGACATGACATGTTTCCGCTCCTGCAATATCATTCCACTAAAAACTGAGATTAAATATTGAGACTTAATATAGTCTAGCCGAGAGATTGTATGCCCTTTTTAATGCGTCCAGAATCTGAGCTTATCAAAGATAATAAACGCACTAGCCATCTTGGTGTTTTAAAACTAGAATGTCATTTGGAACCCTAAACAAGAATACTTTGTTTATTCATATTACGTCCTTGTGACAAGGATCTGCTAATCTATCATAGAGAGTATCATGGGAGCAGAAGGAGCTGCCTTTGAAGAACATTTATCAGAGGCACATGGTATCAATTCTACCCATAAAGTAGAAAGCTATACGAAGCTTGGTATTTGCTCATTCTAATCTTTGGGAGATGCACCGATAGGTAGACAGCAAATTGCGAGAAGACAATGATTCCGTATTGCAGTAAATTAGCATGAAGAGAGTACTTTGCTAGATAATGCCTGTATCTCTTTCAAAACAAATGATTAGCAAGTGATCTTTTTCCTTTGCCTCCATTTTGCCAAGCAAAGCTCGGGCCTTTTCTTAGCTTTCGTGGGGATAAACCCTTACTGCTCCAAACATATACAAATAAATATATGCACCCAAATGGCTTTTTGATAATTTGGAGAAGGCCGACGAAAAGCCACTTGCAAAAAAATGGGTGATGCATCAATAATAAACAAAGCAGCATCAAATCGCACGTATTCTATAAATCTGGTGATTTTTACCAGAATAACCTGTGGTCTTTTGTCACCTAACCAATAGAAATATATACAGTTTTCGTCAAGTGAATGAGAAACAAAAAGCTAGCTGATGATAATGACCAACATTGAGTGTTTTACATTGCGTGTCAAACACAAGCTCTTGAAGTAAGCATAAACAAACAAAAAAGGCCTTCTCAAGTGTTACAATGTTCTAGTTATCAGATTTATATTTACCTCCAACAGAGTTATGTTGCTATGTAAAAGTGTCTTTAGAACAAACCAACTTACAAGAAATATATATCGGTATGTTTAGTCTAGAAAAGCAAACTTACGGGTGCGACTATCACTTTTTGCATTCTACCGCTATGGAAACCCCGCTCACCGGGTAATTTTAAAAAACCGCCTGTTGGATGAGGAGGAGGAGAGAGAATGTGGCCGCACACGAAAACAAAAAAAACTGACCATTGAATTTATAGGCCGCCTGTTTAAAGAAGCGCCCTGTTTTTTTGTTTTTGTTTGGGCGTTGAAGGGAAGGATGAAAAAAGTTATGAAGAGCAAAGTTTGTATTTTAATTTGTGGCACATTCTTGTTAGACACGATAAAAAAGAGTGTACAACCATTGTCTCTTGATGCTTGTTGAGTTTGTACAAACTAAAATTAACTCCGCCAAAGCTTAATGCTTTTCATGATCCCCGTAACAACAACAAAAAAAGGGGAGGAGATTTTATTTTGTCTTTTATTCCCGTTTATCTCCAAAAAAAAAAAAAAAAATAACAAATATTTCTTTTTACTTTTTTTTTTATTTTTTTATAACATGTCAAGACTTTTATTTCATTCAAAAAATTTAGTATCCAAAAACCAACAACTTATCAAACAACGAAATGATGAAATTATTATGGTAAAAAAAAAAAAAAAAAAGCACACATTTACTAAATATGACTTTTAACTGATCTTTAAAATCAGGACAAAGTCACTGCTTTATATGAAAATGTCGATGCTTTATCACAGGTCGAATTTTATGCAGTAACCGAAATTTGCGCCTTGCCAAGGTACATGAACCTTGCATTATTTAGAGCAATGGAACAAAATGATGTTATCACACTGGAGCAATTTAAAGAGTAAAAACACCTATTTTTATTTTATTTTTGTTGGTGCACCAACACTAAATTTTTTTGTGTATAGAAATTGGGACCTATTGACAAAAGACTATGATTACAGTGACCCAGACTCATTAATATATCACATCCTGAAGAAGCCAGAGTTCAACTGTATCACACCTGATGATTTTTTACCCGTTTTAGAAGATATCGTATTGAACCACCCTGCATTACAATTTCTTGAGAATAATGTTACTTTTCAAGAACGATACAGTAAGGACCTTTTTCTTTTTGCACTTTATAAACTTGGCCTAATCCTTTTTTGGGTACTAGTTGAAACTGTCATTTGTAGAATATTCTATGACGCACAGTGTCCCACTGGCAAATTAACTTTGAAGCAATACTGTAAAACCAATTTCTCATCCATTTTAAAATCATTGGATCCAACCATTGATTTATATGCCGTAAGTTGCACGCACGCGGGGGGGGGGGGGGAGCAAAAAGAAATGTTGATCATGAAATGTACTAATTAGGGGCTATACCAAAAAAACTAGATTCACAACATATTTTCTTACAAACAATTCTATGTATTATACTGTAAATTATGGTCCCTGGATACAGACCATGACTTATCGATATCCGAAAGTGATCTATCCAATTATAACATGGGCACTTTGACAGGTTTAACCGTCGAAAGGATCATGGAAAATGGTCGCATTGCTGCATTCACAGACTCACAAACAAGAACAGAGGAGAATGACCTTGACGATAATGTGCCATACTTGACCTATTTCGACTTTATTTGTGAGTTTTTTTTTTCTTGTTTTCTTTATTGATGTCATTGTACATTAACGTCCTTTTTTTTATAGGGTTTTTCCTATCCGAGATCGATAAAAGTACGCCTTTAGCTATCGTTTACTGGTAAGTGCATTCTTTCCCGATCACATGTTTCATAAACTAATCTATATTTATATAGGTTTAGATGTCTGGATGTAGATGGCGATGGTGTACTATCCGCTTATGAACTTTACAAGTTTTGGCAAGATCAAGACACTAAGTAAAAAACCATTTTCTTGTTTGCGCGGAAAAATAGAAATCATTGTTTATTCATTTTTATCTTTTACAGACAAAATTTTTTTGGCAACCCCCAAGTAGATGGCACAATTCAGTTTGAAGATATTATACGCCAAATGTAAGTTCCTTGGTATTCATATAAAAAGTATAGGCCCTAATAAAATCACATTGTTATAGGAATGACTTGATTCAACCTGATGTGCCAGGACAATTCTCTCTAAAAGATTTGAGAAAGAATGGCTATTTAGCAGAACGGTTTTTCGATACATTTATCAATTACGATCGATTCCAAGTACATGAAGCGCATCAAGAAGGCTCTATTCGCCAACAAAAACTCTACGAACAAAAACAATGGCAAGAAAATGAAACACCCTATGATTCTACCATCTTAAAGGACGATTTAGGATTTCCAGTGTTATGGTAAAATATTGTTTATTAAAAGAGTGTCCTTTGTGTCGCTAACACTCTCGTTTGTTTACTAGTCATTGGAATGATTATGCGGACATAGAATATACACGTATCATTGCAGATGAGAATTATGCAAACTCATACGAAGATGACCAAGAAGACGACTCTTTAATGGGCTGTCAATTGGGAGAGGATGACGGAGACGACGAAGGAATTATCATGATTCCTTGTATAGACAAACAAGACTTTATCACAGAGACATCCAGTGGCGATGATGAAAATGGATTAAGTGATACCCTATCTATTTCTTCAACTACCTCTTCCAGATCAGAAGCAAATACCCCAGATTTACATGATGCAGATTACTTGCAAGAAACTACCTCAGAATCCGAAATCACGCAAGATGATGCATTGAATTCTTCCTTGTATAACTTGGGAAAAAACTCTCTGGGTCTCTCTGCTGATTTATCCGATTGTTTACATCAACATATTAATAACTAATTTATATAGAACTAATGCCTTTGGTATCATATTCCCCCAACACACACACACTGCTTTCTTCACTCTATTATTATAGGCACTGAGTAGGAAAGAAAGAAAAAAAAAACCCAAAAAAACTTTTTACTATAGCTATGTTAAATTTATGATAATAAAAAAAAATCTGTATATTTATAATCTAACAATAGATTTCTCTCCCCTATGAATGTTACTAAACTATTAAAATTTGGTTGTTTTGCTGGTTGCTATATCAGACAGCCAAGCATGATATAAAAAAAGGAAATTATACAAGATAAACACGATAGACACGATAGCAACCGATGTACCAATAGGGAACACGACGGAAATATCCTCGGCTCCTGAACTTTGTGTGCATGTCCATCAATAAAGAATTTTTTTTTTGGCTTTATAGAGAGCACCCATACTCGTTTGCCTACTAAACCTACCAGTCATTGAGTATCCTTCCCATAAAAACTAAAGAGAGAGAGAGAGAGTCACCACTCAAACAATGGACGCACGATAAAAAAAAACCAACAATAATAACAGTTCGATTTCTGAATGTTTGTTGTTGTTTATAGAACAAAAAGGCTGAACGATTGTTGATCTTTATTTATATTGAAGGATTTTTTTTTCTCTCGTATAAATAAAAAACACCGGGATATTCATAAGCGTAAAACATGGTGTAACTGAAAAACGCTCACGTTTTTTTCAGGAGAAATAACAAAAGAGTTTTCGATCTTGGGTTTTTGTCATTAAGTCGTGCATATATATTATACATACGTGTTATGAAACGCATATCATGTCCTGACAGTAAAAAAAAAATATATCATTATTCGTCAGCGTATTATAACTCATTGTTTATCTTTAATTATGTAATAATATATATATGTAAATATCTAGTGTTTCTAATATGTAAAGGGAGGGGGGGGGGGTACGAGAGTTATCAAACCAGAAGGTAGTAGGCAGAAACAATAGCTAAAGGAAAAGCTATAAAAGAACCAGAAATGCGCTCAGATGCTGCTGAGCTTTGGCCATTGGCGTCATATTCATTATTTATAGAGATACTAGCCGAAGCAGCAGCGCCCGACATGGCATCATTGATAGGTTGTGCAGCTTGCACGTTTGTTGCATTAGTACCTGCACCAAGGCTTATTTCAGCTGATGGAGCAGCTGGAGCAGCTAACACAGAAGAGAAGAGCACTGCAGAGACAAGGAGGATGGTAGTGAATTTCATTTTGTTTTTTTTTAATCGAGTTGTTTAGTAGATTAATGTAGAAACATATTTCCTAGTACATGTCTATTTTATATATTAAAAAAACGGTTTGACATACGCCATTGACATAATCGTAATTATAAAAAAATCATATGAATTTTGCTTGGTTTAGCTTGTGTGTTCTCGTGTAACACATAGGCTTCGTTTTTTTCATATGCTTATTTGCCACGTTTGCCCCATTGATGAGCCTACTAGTTACAGTGACTGATATTAATTCATTTTAAATTTCCTCGTGCCAACAGACGAAGTACCGTTCCGATCCGTTATTTGATGCTATTTGATTGTTGCTTGTGCCAAAACCAATGTCAAATCATGTAATCTGTAGCAATGGGTGGAATAATAGTATTAGTCCAGTATAGTCTGTCAGCACTTTAAAATTACTGAAACAGTCATCTATACGGGAAATCATTTTTTCAATTGAGAATCAATAATCAGTTTTGATGTATCCATGTACTTTTCCCTTAAAATTCCCCGCCCCAAAAGCAAAATTGAGCGTCATTCAGTATAGAAGACCATTCATACAAAAGACTATTACAAAAACCATCATTCCCCAACGTCCGGGATTTTTATATCGCCGCTTTGCAATGACTGTTTAGGGTGGAGACAGAGGCGATTTTTCTTTTCTGTTTAATCCCAAATGTCAACTAAAACAGCATTGGTGAATCTCGCGAAAAAAAAGTATTTCACTGAATTACCTTCCTTGAAAGTGCTTTCAAGACCTCACGACGAGCGATCTGAGGTGACAGTCTATGTAAAAGGTTTTTTGGCCGAAGGCGATTCACCTGAGAATTTTCAAGATTGGATGCATTCACATCGTTTACTTGTGCTAAGTTCATCACACAAATGGGCACCTTCTGCGTTAGGGTAAAAAAATAAAAGAAGAATCACTGATTCAATGGGAGGGTGTGGTCTCAAAAAAACCGTGCATTCTTATCTAGATACTCTTGGCCTTCTGGAACAGCAGGCTCACATATTCCTATTCCCTTGGCTTCTCTAGGTTCAACTGCATATTTAATTGCAAAAAACTTGAAGCAACTTAAAAACCTGCGTTTTCCAACCCCGGCATCGATTGCTGGAGCGGTTGCATTAGACGTAGGCATCCACGCGACTCGCTTAGCCTACCAGTACGGGGTTGCCAATGAAACCAGTCAGGATCGAGCTGAAATGTTGGCTTGGCGATTATTAGATTTAAGAAGGAAATATGATTACCTTCGTGTGGTGGGCCATTCTCTTGGCTGTAGACATATCGTAGAAGCGTGCTCATTAATGAGCCCAGAAGAAAGGCAAGTTTTTTTTTTGTTGTTTGAAAAAGATCTCTTGCACCAATAAAATTGTATCATTTTTATTTTTATTAGACCAGACTCCATTCATTTATGTGCTCCCGCTTTGGTTGCACCAGATATTGTGAATCAGATCCGTAAAGATACAGGCGGTCTGGGTCGCATCAAGACGATAGTGTATCATTCAAAAAAAGACATTACTCTTGGTATTTTATTGAGAGCCATTTTAAAGGGCGAGCAATCCATAGGGGAAATCGGCTTACCGGATCAAGTTGGATTTGAAAAAGACTGGATGGATCCAACCGTTACTTCCGTCGATGTCAGTAAATCTTTAGGCGGTTTTTATGTTGGTGCTCATACGGATTATGCCGAGAAATTTCATTATTTTGCAAAGCCCTTTTAGAACAAATAAAGAAAATGAGACCATGTACTGTCTCTGAAAATATTTCTTTTTATAGATCTTTTTAAGTAAAGAGCTATTTTTCTGTCATTTCAATTGGTAATAACACTGGCTTACATTCAAAGAATCCCCTGTTTTTGCATCTCAGCGGAAGCACCGTGGTAAAAACATCTTAATGCAGTAGTTGTCCTCTGTGCGATCACCCCAATTGTTCGCCGCATTTTAATAAACCTGATTGTATTACGCCATTTTGTCTTTATTACTTGTTCTCATTCGTGCATTTAAAATCTACATTTATTTTTTTAAAAGGCCATCTCCCTGGATGCTACGCTTCAGTATATGGTTAGACAATCTAGACAGGAAATTCATTGGCTCTTCACATACATTCGGGACGTCAATTCCTACCAGCTGTTTCACTAAAATTTCCATATAAAAAAGTAAAAATTTTCTGAGCCGATTAAAAATATTCTGTCTAATCCCTTCTTCTCTTAAACCCATTTTTTTTTTTCCTTTTTGTGTACATGAAACTTAGATCAGGATAGTTAATAAATATGGTGAGCACGATACGTCAAAGAACAAACGAACTCAAGATCGATCTGTCATCGACAGAAATTGTTTTGCTTGGTAATGCTTCCGAGTCAGCTGCTAAATTGCTAAGAGGTACAGTCTCTTTAAATTTGACTGAACCCATGAAGGTGCGATCCGTTACTTTATCTTTTACAGGAAAGATGAAGGTGTCTTGGTCTGAAGGTAATTATTCTTGTGCATGTATATTTTGTGATTAGCGTGTATGACGTATTCATGTTTTGTTCATCTTGCAGGTATTGGTCATCATCAGCATTATCACCGCAAAGAGAAGGAACTCATCACACACAACTGGCAGTTTATCCCCATCATCGATCAAGCCAACAAAAAGGCTTTTACACTGGGGGCAGGGGAGCATAAATGGGATTTTGAATTATTACTGCCGGGAGATTTACCGCAGTCGCTGGAAGCAGAAGGAGGTCAAGTAGTGTATCGACTAAAGGCCGTTGTTGAGCGTACTGCATTTTTACAGAATATCGTCAAGAAGAATGTACTTCGAATTGTGCGTTGTATGCTTCCTACCGAATTCGATCTGATGCAAACCCTCGAGATCCATAACACTTGGGCCGAGAAAATGATGTATGATATTCTTTTGCCTAGCAAAGTGTATGCTCGTGGTCATCTTATTCCCTCCACATTTCACATTACGCCCATCGCACCCAAGCTACATATAAGGACACTCACTGTTTCCTTGAAAGAATATTGTACCTACACAGCAAACGATTGCTCTAAGACAGATACCCGAATCGTCAAGACGCAACGTGAAGAAAATCCGTTTCTGACACAACCGGGAGATGCCACCAACGACTCTATCTTTTGGTCCAAGACCATTTCGCTAGATATCCCTCCTATGTCGTCCCAAATGGCCTTTTGCGACGCAGATAACGAAATGATCCGCATTCGCCACAAGCTAAAATTTGTTATGTGTCTGGTCAACGCCGATGGACATCTGTCAGAACTTCGCTGCTCTGTACCCGTCATCATCATCTCTTCTATATCCGAACAGACCGAAATCAATAACTTACCAGCCTATGAGCAGGCTTGGCGATCGGTTCTCTGTCTTGAATCAGGCCCTTCCACTCCCATCTCGGAGGGTGCAATCACACCACCTATTGCTCATACTTCTCCTATGCCCATGAACACTCCTAATACCACGAGCCATGACGTGGATGAAATTCCTCTAGAATCACCTAGTGGTGAACCATTGTGGTGGAACGGCTCAAACCTTTCAAGAGTGCCGTCTTATCGCACAGCTGCACAACAGGAACCTGTGTCCTTATCTACTTCTTTGCCTTCATATGACCAATTGGCTGGTTCGCCAAGGCATGCCGCCATGTTTGGTCAACTCACCATGTCTTCTGGATCACCTCGTTAGAATTACTTTCATTATATATACATATCGTACAATACACACACTCTCTTTAGCATCTTTCTTTTCTTCAAATATTACATTACCAACAGAGTCTTTTTTTTTTTAATAACTCATAATAAAAACTTTACATCAGGTTATATTCCTGATAAATTTCTCAAGAATACGTAGCGATTTGATTAATAAACAAACACTTTTGTGTCCAAAAAGATGTAGAGTTATTTGTTGATTTAAAGAGGACGCGATAAACATCAAGTTAATTGTCTTTCTTAATCCACATAGCTAGGTACTATGTCCATCATCGCTTAAGGCTTTCTCTTTTTTTATAGTTAAAAAAAATACATGTTCCAAAAGAGATGGTTTTCTCAAACTCAAGAACCGCAACTCTTTGTCATAGTTACGCCGCAAACACCAGGAGCAATTGTTTCATCAAAACTAAAAAAAGAACAGCTGCGCGGTAAACGTGCCTCAGCAAGTAGGACAAAAGCAATGATGTCAAGAGTTTAAAACATTCAGAACCGAAACACAAGTACATATATATTATACTTGATCGCCTGTATCAGACCATGTTATCTGATTAGGAAAAAATAATCAAAGTAGAACCATCGAGAAATTTATAATAAAGATTACCGAGCAGACAAGACAAACCCCCGTATTATAAATATACCCCGGATTATTAATGTGCGCTAATAAGCCACATCAAAAGTACAAAACAGAAAAAAGATATTTTATACAAATTATTTATTTTTATCAAAAAGTAAACAGTGTTCAAAAGATTAACCTGAAATAGAAATAGAGAATTAATAAATAGATTCTATGATGTTTCAAATAAAAATAGAGAAAATGTTTTTTTGTTTTTTCATTTCAGACATAGGCATAAATTGTCCTCATTCTCTGGGCACCGGTGGGTCCCCACAAGCAGTAAACCACCGTGGTACCGGCGTGAGCCCCAAAGCAAATCAGACGCAAATTATAATCATCACAAAGAAAAACAAAAAATCCATTTCGACTGATTTGTTAAATATTTACCTTTTTACACTATTGTTGAACAAAAAAGAAAATTTACTTAAAATAACTCGTAGAATTACGATATTTATACTTTTTTTTTAAAAAAAAAAAAAAAAAAATTATTTTCGTGATTTTAACAGTCAGTAAACAGTCCCCCTGAAATTTTTCTGGGATCTTCCATCCCCCATTATTTTGGGCTCGGATGCGTATCCATACGACATTTGGCTATTTAAGACATGAAGCGGCAATTTCTCGGTAATTATGTTGTAAATAACATTCCTGGAAAAAACCAAGGTGTTTTGGCATAATACATCAGAATGTTCTAGCCCTTGAAATCCAATGATATCAAACTAACCGCCTTATTGGGTAAAGCTGTATACCTAGTGCACATGATTCAAACAAAATCAGCCCTCCCCATCACACTGTTACTCGACCTTACAGCTGGCTAATTGCCAAACATTCACATTTTAATGATGTAATAAGCTATCAACATTTGTTCATAGCATGCTTTAGCCTTAAAAAGACTTTAATTGATAAATTCTACGTGTATGGTATGTGAAGATTTTAAATAGAAAAAAATACGGTACAAATAACGTGTTTTAGTTCAGTAATGTGTGTGTGTAAGTTTTGTAAAAACATCCTACAGTCTTTATTTCAGAGTAATGTTTGTTAAAACTTCGCTTAGAATTCATATGTACACAAATATACAAAGTAAATTTAAGCGTATAATTATGTTTAACTTCCATAAGGCAATGTTACAATGCTACCAAAGACGAGTTATAATAAAATTGATAGGTTGCAAATATAGCATAATGCATCATTATTTTTCTTAGAAAAAAAAAGTTTCAATCTTTTCACACGATGTCTATGTTTACGTGTTTTAGAAAGGATGGAAAAACTTTTTATATAAAAGTTTGTACTTTTCAGAAGCTAGAATCCATATAAAAGTGTGGACAAGGACGTGCTGAAAGAGTTACGAATAGTATTGAAGAATTTATCCAAAGTAAAGCAGACAATTACACTGCAGAAAAAAAAAACTGCAGGAAAATAATTTTAATAGTCGCATAAAGCTGTTTACTAGGACAACTGAAAAAAAAAAAAAAAAAAAAAAAAAAAAAAAACTTTGCTATTGGGAAAATGTTGCTAGTATTTTTCTGTTAGCTAAATATCTGCTATTGTTCTCGATAGTGCAGATGATTATTGGTTTTTTTTTAAAAAAAATGATAAAGTCTATTATTATCTCTGGATATGCTTAATCAGTGTAACAATCATGATCGATGTATTTGCAGGCAGGCGTTGTTGGAAGCTGACAATCTCAACGACAATGTAACTTGAGTGATTAATGCGAGTTTGGAATCAACCGAAATGCTAACCTTTTTCAAAGTATAGTCAAAAATTCACGTGAGAAAGAGTGAGAGAGCTGATTTTGGTAAACACAAGATAGCCTTTTTTAATCTTGTGTTTCCTTTACCGATCTCCTTCTGGTAACACCCTTTCTTTTCGTTTTATGTTTAATGTTTTTTAAGGCACACAAAAATAGGAGCGATCTTTTTTTCTTCTTCTTCTTCTTTAATGGCAGCGATCAATGTTACTCGATGACTTATAGGAGTATGAATGATTGATTACACTGTATCACAAATGCTCTTGATTATTGTTATCGGGATAAACGATAGGAAACAAACTTTGTAAAGATAATACGACACGTTGGTTCTACAGGGAGTGATAAATGGTTATTCTTTCTGGCTATCAGTGATTTTACATTCGTTTAAAAGTGATAAGATATAGCCGGTGTCACTGTGCGGCCGCGGCGGGGGCAATTTCAAATACAGATAACAGATATTTTTTATAATAAGGGGTTTCTATAGAAATCCGAAAACTGGGGAACACGATATTCATGCTTTTCATTTGTTTATGTAGCAAGAATATTCCAACTGTGAGAAGTTTTTGTTGATTAAATAGGTGCATTGAAAAGGTCGTACACAGCGGCGAACTTTTTTTTAAAAAAAAAAAAAAATCCCAGGCCCTAATTTGGCAAGACCACAAGGCACAAGTATTCCTCATCTTACAAATGATTTAAGCTTCCGACCATCTTAATCTAGCAATGTCAAGTAATAAAGACTTCAACGTTAAAGAAGTATAAGCTTTTATAAATTGATCGCCCTTGTAATAAACGATCGCCCTTGCAAATAATGAAAGACAAAAAAAACATTGACAGGTAATTTATAAGAAAGGGTCGAAATACAAATGTCCACCGATCAATTAAAAAAAAAAAATTATAAAGAGCCATTCGCTAACCTCAGACCAGCAGCAAAAAGGTTTTGGGGATTCATACAAAGACAAAAAGTAGTAGATACACATGACGGTTTTTTTTTGACCCCGCGCGTGTTTACTTTAATTTCTTTTTTTTTTCCTCCCCCCCCCTTCCCTTTTTCTTTATCTTTTTCTCTTTAAAGACACACCTTTGCCCATCACATTATTCCCCCTCGTGCCACCGACAAAAAACTGCTTACGTTATGAAAAAATCTCGAGATGCAATTACAATCTACCACGATAACTCTGAAAACAGCGAGGATGACATAACAGCTGCTGTTGATCCAGCAATACCAGCAGCAAAGGTAGCCTCCCCAACCGTGGCTGTACAATTAATGCCTTCCAATGCAACTACAAATGCAATATTGAGCTTAAAAAACAATCCATTTTTTCATGATAAACGTAAATGGGATGAATCTTTTACTGCCGCCGAAAAAAAAGAGCTGACGGGAAACATTGTCAAAGCTGCAAGTAAGTTTTGATACATTACTATGATTTTGACGCTTTTTAATTGAAGATGTTATGTAGAGGACAATGACGGAGAAACATATGTTACATTACAAGAAGAGGAATATACTCTATCAAATTTGTCACATGAGGAAGATGAGAGTCAAGGTACGCAATAGGATGGCGCAAGTCTGTGTTTTAATTTAACATATATTCTCTCTCCTTTTTTTTTTGTAGAAAGCGATGATGTGGATTCCACTATCAGTAAAAAACCAGGAAGAAAACCCATGGCGGATGAAGAGCCTCTTTCCGATGTAAATTAATCCCTACATATCTCTATAAAATTTGATATCTACTAACGCTTTTCCTCTCATTAGTCTGATCAGGATCCAAAAGTGAAACGCAAAGCACAAAATCGTGCAGCGCAACGAGCTTTTCGAGAAAGAAAAGAGCGCTATGTGAAAGAGCTAGAATCCAAGTTGAAACAAGTCCAAGACTCACATATAGCTTCAGCATCACAACTTGTACGAGAAAACCACTTGTTACGATCCATTATTTATAGACTTGAATCCGAAAACTATGCTTTAAAAGGTTCTCCCATGCAACCATATCAATACCAAACTACATTGCCTCAGCATTCTCCATCACATCCACCTCCATCGCCTTCACCATCACAGACCTCTCAGGAACAACGTCACAATGGTTCATATCCAACCATTGCACCTTTGTTACCTCAGCAACCACTTTTACCTGCTTACCTGTCATCATCCACATCAATTTCAAATCACCATTCCGCCAACCCTATGATGATGTTAGCCTCTAGTCCTTTACAACAGTATCCCATGTCGCCGGTCGTTTCTTTAACCAATAATTCACTCTCCTCGCCAACGATTGCAAAAAAAATCCCACTTGCCATCTCCAAAAAGGTCTCACCCAAGAAGACACATACTGTTCATCCTTCTCCTCCTCCACCACCACCACCTACCGTAAATAATCAACCCTTAGAATATACATTTTCGATTAGCACACCAGCATCACTTCGACCTAGTGGAGGAGTCACATCATCCAAGCATACCCGATCCGAGCCAATAGAATTAGTGCAGTTACATCCTCCCAGTGGTAAACGGACGGAATCTGTTCCAGATGATGAAAGTGGGAGTATTGTGAGCGATCACACTAGCTCGACTGTAAATACAACACTTGGTAAAAATATAAAGCAATTGGAGCTGGACTTGTTTGATTGTCATATCGATACCACAGAAGGCCAACTCTTTTGTGAAAAACTGTATAATGAAGTTTGCAATGATGCCTTCAATAGACTGTTATCGGAACCTTTGTTTGATCAGATGGGTAAGCTAAATTTATCGATCAGTACATACCCTGTGCCCATCGTCACGGGTCATCACAAGGCCCTGGATGAAAGTAGTGAGGAGGAGGAAACAGAAGAAGACTCCCGACAGAAATCGATATCCTTGTCTCCATCGCCTGCACCAGCATCCTCATCAGCAGCATCGTTGGCACCAACACCATCATCACCCTCACCGACTGAGAAACGGTTATTGACTTGTCCGGAAATTTGGTTCTTGTTAAACAAGCATGAAAAGATGCATTGCTTTACCACAGATCAGCTTTGTCAGGCAGTGAAAGAATTGGCAAAATGTGCTGATAAAGGACCTGTATTGGAAGAAAAAGATCTATATAAGATCATGTCCAATATGGATCGAGGTTTTATTTAGACATATTTTTTTAAATAAATAAAAAAAAAATTTCCGCCTGTTGTGTATGATCTTCTTGCTATTTTGCAAAGATCTAATATATATTTCAGAGCCATCTGTTACTTTTTTTTTTTTTGCATACAAGTTATATCATCATAATGTGTCGAACATCTCAAACAAACAAATGAAAAGGGATATTTTTAATAAAATAAGCTTTCTTTTTTTTTTTGGGACACCTCCATGAAATAAATTCTCCTTTTTCTTCATGTTTCTAGACAAATATATTCATGGATATAATTCACCCATTGTACAAGTCGTATTTCTTGGCCTGGTGTGTTTATGTTGTCCTGGCATGTTTAATGCATTATCAGGACTGGGAGCAGGTGGATCAATGAGCAGTAATGTTGCCTTGATCGATGCTGCTAACGGCGCTCTTTACGGCTGTTTCGCTATTGTTGGGTTCTTTGCGGGGTCTGTCACCAATACTTTCGGTGTCAAACACACATTAACGGCAAGTAATTACACAGATAAAAAACGCTTATCTATATTTTTTAACACATCGTCTTTATATATAAAAAAAACAGCTGGGTTCAATCGGCTACATGATTTATTCGGCTGCCATGTGGGTTTATGATCGAAAACAACTCTCCGGTTTTGTAGTGGCAGCAGGTGCTATTTTGGGTTGTTTAGCTTCTTTTTTTTGGAGCGCTCAAGGTGCCATCATGATGTCCTACCCAGAGGAAAAAGACAAGGGCAAATTTGTTGCCATCTTTTGGGCACTGTTTAATTGTGGAGGCATTTTAGGATCCTTGATTGCGCTCGTATTGAATTTACAGAACACCACAGGCGGAGTTTCAACAGGGACGTACACGGCGTTTGTTATTGTCATGGGGATTGGTGTCTTATTCTCCATGACTTTAGCCAACCCTTCTAATGTTGTTCGTGCAGACGGTACACCTATTGCAATAGCTAAATCTGCGCATTGGAAAGAAGAGTTGAAAGGTGCAATGTCGGTGTGGAAAGAATGGCGTATGCTAGCCTTAATCCCAGCCTTTTTAGCTTCGAATTGGTTTTATGCGTATCAGTTCCGAGTCAATTCAATCTATTTTGATCCTTCAACAAGAGCCTTGAATGATCTCATGTACTGGGCACTGCAAGTGATAGGAGCCATCATGATTGGGTATCTTTTAGACTGTGAAAGATTCAGTCGACGTAACCGAGGCCTGATAGCTTTGGGAATTCTGTTTGTTCTTTTGAACCTAATCTGGGCCGGTGGTTTTGCATTTCAAATGACTTTTGAGGCAGATTATCAAGACCCGATTCATTGGGATCATGAACGTTTTGGTGGACCCTTTCTCTTGTTTATTTTATATGGATTTTCTGATGCTGTGTATCAAACGTATCTGTATTGGTTGATGGGTGCCATGTCCAATGATCCAGCACTTTTAGCACGCTACGCAGGGTTTTATAAGGCAGTGCAATCAGCAGGAGCTGCTACTGCCTTTGGTATTGATGCCTCTCCTATTCGTCTCAGATATGAGTGTCTTATTTGTTGGTTGGTGGTGTGTGTGTCATTTCCCCTCATCTTTTTGGTAGCGAATAAAGTAACAGAAACCAATGTGGTGTCGACTAAATTGGATGAAATCTTGAATGAGGATGTATTATTATCAGCCGACGAAAAGCTATAGCGTAAGTTTATTGGTATCTTTATTTTGTATGGTTTCAATTATATCTTTTTTTTTTTTTCACTTAGATATTCCCCATTTATTTTCAACTTGCAAAGACGTTGCAATGTACACGCAGTTTCATATTTATATCATTAAAACAATAAGGCTCACTTACCAACCTATAAAAGTAGTAGTGAGCTATTATTAAATAATTGACTGCTGAATGTTTTTTTTTATAGCGCGCAGTAAAATCATCTTCATGGCTGTGTGTCAAATGATAATCCACGATAAGAAAGTGTCACATTTCTTTAGAAACCCTTTTTTTTTTGTTCTACAAATTTTCTTTGTGTTACATTGATATTCTCATTGGTGTAAAACGAGATGAAATTCTAATACGTGTCAGTTTAAAAGACCAATCCCCACCCTGAAATATTATACTTGTATAATTTATTATGTATATGTAAAAATAAAAAAAAAAAAAAGAAATGATGAAAATAAATCCTCATACTGTATATTGAAAGAAACTTTTTTTTAGCTTAACTTGGAATCCCATTTCCAATTGAAATACACTTTTTTGTTTTTTGGTTTAATCCTTGTGAGCGTGGTTATCAACAGTGGCAGCAGGGGTAGCAGTAGCCTCAGTAGCAGCACCACCACCAAACATGCTGGTAAGACCACTCAATGGGTTATCGGCAACAAAAGGTCTAGCAAGAGGACCTTCGGGAGCATCACCCCATAAATGAATCAAGGCTTCCTTATGAGTAATCAAGTTCTTGATAGGTAAAATAGATTGCATCAAGAGAGGTTGAGTGAACTTGAATTGGAAATGCATCACTGAGATAATAAGAACAGAGGTCATGGTAGATTGAATAAATTGCTTGAGTTGATCAATATCATAATCTTTGACAGTGGTGGTGATAGTCTCGGGAGCAGTGGCACCAGACATGGGCTTGGTAGGAGCATTGTATGTCAAGACAGTGGTGTCTATTTTACCATTAGCATTAGTATACACAAAGAAAAAAAAATATTCCATGACTTTCCAATCTCATCGGACTGAAAGGAAAGCAAAAACGCGTCCATGTCGAGATGACAGGGATGACATTGTTTGCTTACACACACACACACACACACACACACAAACTTACCATTCTTCTTCTTGATGAGGGTCATCAAACCGTATGCCAAACCGACAACAAGGACTTGAGCACTATAGTAACCGATTCTGGCCATGTTCAAGACATTGGGATCCTCCCAGTCAATCTTTTTTGCTAATTGCATGGAGACCAAAAGGAAACCCATGTTGAATAAGGGGTTGGAGAGAAAACCTGGAGAGCCCATGTTGATTTAATTTTGTTATTTTTTTGAGAAAAAAAAAAAGATGAAGAAAAACATGAAAACATATTGTCGTCCTATTTTTATAGTCAAAATCAAGTCATCATTTGATTGGCTGAGTTTTGACTCCCCGGGTAAAACACTGCCTTTTTGGCCGATTTCCCTTATACCTTTTTTTAACTTGATTGTGCCGAAGGAACAATGCTTTACAAAACCGTGTTTAAAAAAACGCGTTTAAAATATATCCTTAAATGTGGTTTTATTATAAGGAAGTTTTATTATCTTCATGTCATATCACAATCAACCCTTTTTTTTTAAATGATGTACGACATAGCAGGGTCTGACAGGCAAATGGCTTACACATACAGTGCGACCAGTAAATTTTGTCCGTTTTGAAAAATGAATGGCGATTTCAGAAAAATAATCAAAAAATGATTGGCCACTCGTTGTCATTTTTGGAAAATTATTTTGTCGTATTTAGGTCAAGGCGAATTGTCGTTTCATGAACATGTTAGCTTAATAGAGTTGGGAAGTTAAATATTGTTGATTTATCTTCAACTACGGCTATGAAAATACTGGAAACAGAAGTTGGTACTGAGATATTCAATGAGACAATCGAGGCAACTAAGACAGATTCCATCCCATTATTTGAATACGCTAGTAGTCTTAGTAATACACTGTATGACGCCCCTCTATCAATTCAAGTATTGCACCAAAAACTATATCAAACCGGATTTCGCAATGATTTCGATCCCATCACCCACAGCAATGGTGCTGTGATAATTGAGAATAAAAAGGGAGAATGTCAATTTGAAATAAAGCAAGTAAAGAAATGAGACTCTATAATCCTTTGTTATAAGTTGGCAAATTTGTCATGATAAAAATAGAGGACCTTTTTATATTCAATTATTCTTTCAAGATTTTTCCTGCGCAGATCTAATCGACTATTTACCCGCAAACTGGGACATGGTAGAGTTGGATTTAGAAATCAGTTACATATGAAACATAGTTTATTGTTATATACAAGGAGCTAGGTGACCCATATCCGGTACTTCTAGTGCATTATCGTTTATCCATTCAATCAAAAACTAGATGCTTCGGCAGCTACTCGACCAATCCAAGAAAGATTACGAAATCTGATCTCAGTTTGACATGTATGAAGGAGCTGGTACTGTGTCGAACCAATAGAAATTTATTCGCAATATGGTGATTATAATACATAGGGTATATGTATTATAATTGAGTGACAAGATAAGAGTAATTGTATTCGTGGAATTAGGCGTCAAATACGACAGGTGCCTTTATTGAGGTAACGGTCCGTTATTCTTAAGTAGTGCAACAAGGAACATTTGATTGTTATATTATATGTATTTACATACAAATAACTCACACATGTATAGCTTAGATCTGATGAGCTCTCCCCAAAACGCTTTGAACAAACTAATGCTTGAGAGGACGGCTGCTTGTTATTTAATCATTTATATCGTTAATCAATTATTTCTCTCAAGTTGACTGGCTGAAGAGGGAACTTTATCTAACTGAGAGATAGAACAAAGTTTGATGGTGCCTTGTTTAAGGCAGGAGATATGTTTGCTTCACCGGCACTTGTCGAATTCGCTGGAGGTGTCAATGACAATACATCAAGTCTTAAAAACTCAAATGATATCAAGTTGTATGTAAATATGATTAAAATTATGGAGGATACTGGTGCTGATAAAATGTTTTGCATGCGCTGTTACGGTAATAATATGCCTTGTTTAATCCCAATCAATTGAAACTGATGACCTCCTATGTGTTAGACCACCAAATATTTTTCAGAAAGCTGATAAAATATGATGGTGCAATGTACCGGATCATTGATGCAAGTATTGAAGTGCCCAATACACCACAAAAACTGTTAGCATATCTGAAGGAAATCCCATCGATTTTTGCTTGGAAGCACGGCATAATAAACCAAATCGCTGGATTACAAATGTGCTTATTTTAAAAACTACAAGCTTATCTTACTGCTCATAGACTCATATATTAAAAATGCCAGCATGAAATAAACTTAAAACTAATATACATAAACCCATAGTAAATCTATTTTTATTATCGTTTTTGAACTAGATAGTGGGGAATTTATTCTAAAAATTTAGCAAACGGACTTCAAGAGTTTGACCAATTTAACCTCACGTAAACCTCCAAAATCATTCAAAAAGAGGGTAGCATTGCTACGTCTACAGTAAACTCTGATACTACATTTGAAGGTTGAATAGAATCATACCAAGCTTACATAAAGTAAACATTTATAACACAATGTTATTCAGACTAGGATATACAATTCAACGATAGGGAATAAGTCAGTGCTGAAACACTACTAGAGGTATTTATATCTCTCCAGAATACTGAGACTACTATTCAGTCTTTCATGCAGGAGGCTGCTTATACTTATCTATTACTTTAGTTTATGACAAGCATTTCTAAAATTTTTGGTAAAGTGAGAATGGAAGCGCCATACTTGGATATTCGTCAAAGTCACTTTTCCTATTTCCAGAGGACTTTCATTCATTTTCCTCAAAAGGACATAATTTACCGGCCGCAACGTATCACTCTAAACAATGTAGTTAAACCCGAATCGCAAATCCCTAGAGATGCTGATCCTTATCTATAAAGTACAAGCTTAGGATTGACTTGTGCGAGATAAAAGAGTTGATTCACAAAATGAAAAATAGAGTAGCCAGCTGGCACTGCTATTGATAAACTTTTTGATTCGTTCTCAATCACCGCAAAGATGGAAAACTTTAAAATACGAGCAAATATGACTGCTAAATATCTGCATTGGGTATTCTATCTTTTTGGGCACCCCCTTCGTTCTTTTTTTTTTTCTTTTTGTATCTGGAAAACAAATAGAAATGTTGAAGCAAGCATGCAAGTCGTTCTTGTCAAAGAAAAGCTTTCAGCAAGGAGAAATCAACACGTTGTGTAGTCGTCTTGGCCTCTTAAAGTTTTATACAACTACAACAAAACCCCATGTGTCAGAAAGAGACAAAGATCTCAATGATGTCTACAAGCACTTGAGTCCTGCCGAATTACTTCGTCAAGAAGCTCAAAAGGTGGAAGTGGAATGTTTCTTGCGTCCACGTTGTCTTTGGTTGGAAGAAGAAGACGCCAAAATTATAAAAATGGTCAATGATCTTGGTAAACGTTGGACTTTCATTTCCAAGCATTTCGTTGATAGACCACCCAGCACTTTAATGAACCGTTATAGTCTCTTGACAGACGGTAAAGGAAGAGGTCCCTGGACAGACGAAGAAGTCAAGCAGTTAAAAGCATTGGGAAACCATAGAAGTCCAGACGAAATCGACAATTGGCAAGAGATTCAGGCTAAGTTACCCGTATATCGTCCCTTGTTTCTCATTAAACAGAAATACACCTACTCTTTAAACCCTGTCATCAAATTCGGCCATTGGTCTCAAGAGGAATCAGACAAACTGGAGCGATTAATAACCAAATACGGTGAGAATGAAATAAGCATGGTTGCCCAGTTAATGGGCACCAGAACAAAAAGACAATGTCTGGAGCGTTGGCGTTGGCAAATGGCTTCCGTCAAAAAGGGCCGTTTTTCTCCAGAGGAAGATCGCAAAATTATCCAAGCTGTTCAAAAATACGGTGAAAATTTCGCGGTTGTAGCTAAAGTCATCGACAGTGACCGTACAGCGCGTCATATCTCTCAACATTATCGTAATATCCTGGCACCTGATATTGATAGATCCCCTTGGACACCAGAAGAACAATTACGATTATATCAAGTCTGTTTAAAAAATAACAAAAACATGATTACCACAAAGAAGGAATTGGGTTCAAGAAGAGCCATAAGAGATCTCTGGAATCATTTTAACGCCCAAAAGAAATACGAGGAAGCTTTACCTTTAACCAACACAGATCATTCTGAACGAGCACAAGAATTACAAAAGGAGGATGAAAAAATAACAGTTTAATAAATATAGGGAATCACTGCTTTTCTTGATTTGGGGTAATTTTTAAATTCATTCTTGTACCATTCATGTGTACGTATTGCTCTTGGAAATAGGTTGGATACAGTCGCTGCCACAAAAATATAGGCTGGAACGCTGTATGCAGTTGCAATCGCAAACCCCATCCATTCCATGGTTTCACTAAAATAATTAGGACAGCTAACATATTCAAATAATCCACCATGTGGGATAGCATATCGTTTCTTGCCTGTCATTGTCTTTTTCCGTAACTTGAATAGCAACGTGTCGTGATATATGTTACTAACAAATCCCATTACCCATAAGCTCATACCAGCCCAGAACTTGTACTCGTAAATAGATTGGCTATGACGTGCTACCCACATACCATTTGTATACCCATTGAGCATATTAAAGGCAATGGAACATACAAATGCCAGCACATGAAGGGGTGCCATGGACGTGGCTCGTAATGGGTAAATAATGCTTCGATTGATGTAATGGATTAACCAAGCTGACGTTAATATTATTTGAAAGGGTGTCCACGTAGGTCGTGCAATCACGACTGAGGTTGCAAACATGACGGGCGATACAAACTCCATAATAAACCATCCCCATTTCCCAGATAAACTACAGTCAATTCCAAACTTTCCTGCAAATCTACCTACAGATCTTTTAATGACAAGGCAAGGGTTTATGCTATCGAAAGCATAGCTTACCATAAGGTGCATTCACAAAGAGAAGAGCGGGTGCCATGATAAATGGTAACGTGGCATAGATACCAACTGCTGTGTTATATGTGGTCGTTTTTAGCCAATATTGTGAAACTACATCCATTTTAAGTGAAAGATAACTTTGGGACCGAAAGGCGGGGAAGCTCGCTCCATTTGAAAGGAATAGCACTTATATAAAAAAAAGCAGTCTTTTCTGTATTTAATGCGACCAGATTTGGGTCGCAAACTTGTTCTTTTATTTTTTTTCCTTTCATTACCTTTTTCATCTGAACAATGCTATCCAGCAGCTTGTTAGTTGGCTGTAAGAGCTCCTTGAGCAGCCTTAAAAATCCCCGCGCGTTCAGTTCAAGTGCAACCCTTTTAAATACGAAGCGGGCGCTTACTTCAATCAACCACCGTCGACCACAGTATGCGCGAATGACGCCTTTGTTCTTGGGTGGTATCCGTCAGCATGGTGGTCATCACCACCATGATGCCGACCTTGTAAACTCTTTAAAATCCTCTAGTGTAAGAGGAACACGCATCACAATTATTGGTCTGGCTTCCAATGTGGGTTTAACCGTGACAAAAGGTGTGGCAGGTTGGTATGTAAGAAAGATACTTGTCTGATGATCCAAAACCATATTCCTCCTAAACAAATTCTTTCTCTCTTATATATATATATATATATATACATAAAAGGATGATGAATTCTGCCTCTTTGCTAGCCGAAGCTTTTCATTCTTTTAGCGGTAAGAAAACCCACATCATGATAGGAAGAATGCAATGATTGATTTCTGTGTTATAGATTTATTAAGCGATTTTGTTACCCTGTATACGTTTAAAATGTCCAGAAAACCTGCGGACAGCATTTATCCGTATGGATATGGTATGATTTTTTTTTAATTTTAAAGATTTTGCGTAATACAAAGCTAAAAAAAAACCCTTTTTTAGGAAAATTCGAAACGGTGGGTTCGGTGACAGTCTCTTCCTTATTATTAGCAGGTGCCGTGGGTATTGGATTTCATTCATTTGATCTCTTGATTCAGACACTGCAAACATCACCCTTGTTCGTGTCGGATACCACGGCCACCGTGGCCGCTGTAGCAAGCACAAGCGTGGCAGAATCTTCCCCTTCTGTTCTTGGATCACATGGTCATGGTCATGATCATGGTGGCGTTCTAGATCCCAATGCGGCTTGGTTTGCGTTAGCAAGTGTTGTTATCAAGGAATGGTTATACAGAGCAAGTAAAGTAGTGGATTTCATGTGTTTGATATTTTCCTGGACTAAAACCTTTAATTAGCTATCAAAGTCGGGGTTTCTGAAAGGAGCGAAGTATTAATTGCCAATGCATGGTAAGGATATAGATATATATATAAAAAGGGAACAGTAATTTAGAATATATATGGTATAGGCATCATCGTTCAGATGCATATTCAAGTGCTGTTGCCTTGGTAGCGATTGTAGGTAGTTATGCAGGTATGCCGGTATTGGATCCATTGGGTGGTATTGTTGTATCAATGATGCTTTGTAAAAGTAGTGTTCGAATCTTGGGCACATCGATTCGAGAATTAATGGATAAGGGAATTACACCAGAGGAACTTAATTCGATCAAATCAGCTATTAGTAAAGTGAAGGACGAGGAGTTAGCCCTTATCAACTTTCACTCGGTTCGAGGACGTAAGCAAGGACCATTTAATCAAGTTGATTTAGTATTACAACTGAGCCCTACAGTGACGATGCAAAAAGCACATCAGCTGGAGGAACAAGTACGAAACTCTGTTAGGGAAAATTGTGACAATATTCAGAACATTTTGATTTATTTGGAAGATGCTGCTGCTGTACCGAAAAAAGACAATCATCAACATCACCAACATCATCATCATCACCATGAGTAGATATATTACAACTGTTTATTTATTATTGCTTCATTTTTATTAATTTCTTGTTCGTTTTTTCTTTTCTCTTACATTTCTTCTTTTATATACCATTTACTTACATTACATATTTTCATTATATTTATATTAAAAGAAGGAAAGTAGACATTTAGAGTAGATTATATTTATATGGAGTTTATTCGTTACTACTGCTGTTTTGAGGCTGATTATATTTTTTTTTTTAAAAAAAAGAAAAATGTGAAACATTAAAGAATGTTTATCTTTCACTACTAATGACTATCTTTGGTATATTATATTGTTTATCATTGTAATCCTCTTCCACTTCATCTTCATCGTCAGAATGAACTGATAGCTCTGTTTGATCAATTGACGTGAGATCGCTGTAACCCTTATTTTGAAAGTTCAACGGACTACTGGTAAAGATAAAATAATAGTATTAGACCAAGTGATATGTGCTACAATACTACTATGCATGTCCTTACGTTTTTCTACCATGGCTGGATTTGATAATTTCAATAATCATTTGGGACACTGTTAGAGAGAACACCTAAGCATTTCGTAAATGCAATGTGAATATTTGTTATTTTGAAGTATGAGGCAGAACATACCACAGTAAGAAATAAGCCCGTATTAAAATACATGACGACAAGCATGTATAATAGTCTAAGCGTAGTGACAATACCATAGAGTAATGTACGGACTGCTACACGGCTTATCCGTTCTATTGTAGTGGTGGCAGCAACAAAAGTGGGATGAGATGCAGTCAATTTATGATCTAGATAGTAAGTAACCATTCTTTCCAGCGCACACATGCATCCGATAAAGAGATATCCGGTTAAAACTTCACTGTGTGCGTCTAATGCCAATGGTTCAAATAAGAGATGAAGACCATCAGAGTCTATATGGACTTGTTATTTAGAATTTAGGTTGAAATACCCACTAATTTCAGATATCCTTTACCACTGTGAAACCATTGTTTGCCGTTTTCCATAATTAAAAAAAGAAATGAAAAATAAAAGAAATGTTCAAAAAGAATTTGTCTTTTTGACATATTTCTTGTTGTACAAAGCATGTGTTTGAAAAGCAGCTAGTTGATGACGCACAAAAGCGTTTAAAAAAAATGAAAAAGAAAAAAATGCTGTGGCGATATATTATCCTTTCTCCAAAACCATCATCTCGACACCATGGTAAACATTTCAACATTTTTGCTCATAGAATCTCGGCGCTTGAACACTAAACCTTTATTTTTATACCTAAATGTTAATAGGGCATGAAAATTGACGTCAAGGTATGAGAACCTACTTTTGGATGAGGAGACGAAAATCTTATTGTTTCTTTTTTTTAGCGCAAGTTACTTTCTCGATCAGCAAGAGTAAAAAGTGTCGACATTCATCCTACAGAACCATGGTTATTGTCTAGTTTATACAGTGGACACGTCAATATTTACAATTACGAAACTCAGGTACACTATATTCTGTTTAAATGTTGATGCTAATGCTCATCTTTGTTAACATACACTTCTTTAGCAACTAGTAAAGACATTTGAAGTATCTGATTCACCAGGTAAAAAACTTGTTTATTTATATACATATTTTTTAAGCATAAAAAAAAAAACTAATTGCAAGTAGTTCGAGCCGCCCGATTCATTGCCCGAAAGAATTGGATCGTGACAGGTTCAGACGATGCACAAATTCGAATTTTTAATTACAATACACATGAAAAGGTTACCAGCTTTGAGGGTCACCCAGATTATATTCGTAACTTGGCTGTGCATCCTACAAAGCCCTTTGTCTTGTCATGCTCCGATGATATGACTATCCGTTTATGGGATTGGGAAAAGGCTTGGAAATGCGTTCAGGTCTTTCAGGGCCATGACCATTTTGTTATGCATATCGCCTTCAACCCAAAGGATACCAACACCTTTGCTTCGGCAAGTTTAGATGGCACAATTCGTATTTGGTCGCTAGGTTCAAGCCGATCCAACTTTATCCTCGAGGGTCATGAACGTGGTGTCAATTTTGTGGATTATTATCATGGCGGTGATAAACCTTACCTCGTCTCTTGTGCCGATGACCAGTAAGCTTTTTGTTATTTTAATTTTTCTCTAAACTATCTTAGTTAAACTCTTTTTTTTTTGCAGTACTGTTAGAGTATGGGATTATCAAAACAAAAACTGTGTACAAACACTTACCGGTCACCGTCAAAATGTTAATTTCGCAGTATTCCATCCCGAGTTACCCATCATATTATCTGGATCAGAAGATGGATCTGTGCGTTTATGGAATTCAGATACCTATCGTTTAGAAAACACCTTGGATTACGGATTAGAGCGTGCCTGGTGTATCGCTTGCCAAAAGAACGGTAATGGTATTGCGCTTGGTTACGATGAAGGCTCCGTCGTGATCAGATTGGGTCGTGAAGAACCCGTCGTTTCTATGGACGCTTCTGGTAAAATTATTTGGGCCAAGAATATGGAAATTCAAACAGCCAACGTCAAGACCGGTATTGATGATGATATCAAGGATGGTGAACGATTAGCTTTACCTATCAAGGATTTGGGAAGTTGTGAGGTATACCCTCAAACATTGAAGCATTCACCCAATGGCCGATTCGTATCCGTATGCGGTGATGGTGAGTTCATCATCTATACCGCTTTGGCTTGGAGAAACAAGACATTCGGAAGTGGGCTGGAATGTGTCTGGGCGACTGACTCAAATACATATGCTGTACGTGAATCTACAAGCCGTGTCAAGGTCTTTAAAAATTTCAAGGAAAGAGCGGCATTCTTACCCAAACTCGCTTATGCTGCTGAAGGCATCTATGGCGGAGGTTTACTTGGTGTAAGATCAGATACTTTTTTGAATTTTTATGATTGGGAAACTGGCGTACTTGTTCGACGTATTGATGTGGAATGCAAAGATGTAAATATTACTATATGTGGGGTAAAATGTATAAAAATTTAATTTAATCTGTAGGTTATTTGGTCGGATGCGGGTGATCTCATTACGATTGTGTGCGATGACTCTTTTTATGTCCTAAGATATAATCACATTGCCTATACTCAATTTTTGGAAAACGGAGGAAACACAGGAGAAGAAGGCGTAGAAGAAGCCTTTGAATTTGTCACCGAGGTGTCCGAAAGTGTTAAAACAGGTTCTTGGGCTGGCGATTGTTTTATTTACACCAACGGATCTAATCGATTGAACTATCTTGTTGGTAGTCAAGTATATACCATTAGTCATTCAGACAAGTAAGATTCTATACTTTGTATTTAGGTGTGTCATGCTCATACTTTATTTATTTTAGACAAATGTATTTATTGGGATATTCTCCAAGAGAGAGCAGAATTTATCTTGCTGATAGAGTAAGCTTCATATACATACGCATACATATGTGTGTTTGTATATATATATATATATATATTAACATTCGGGTTAATGCACGGTTAAACTAATTATGCTTCTTTTAAAGGATGTCAATGTTTCCAGTTATTCGTTATCGTTGTCAGTGATTCAATACCAAACTGCAGTCTTACGCGGTGATCTTGAAGAAGCTCACAGCCTGATTGAGAGTATCCCCGCATCCCAATTAGGTCGCATTGCGCGTTTCCTTGAATCTCAAAATTTAAAAGAACTTGCTCTCGACGTAACCACTGACGAGGACCAACGGTTCGATTTGTCTATTCAACTAGGAAAGTTAGAGCTGGCTACAGAGATTGCAGAAAAGACCAATAGCGTGGCTAAATGGAGAGTGTTGGGAGATCGTGCCACAGCCGACTTTAAATTTAAATTGGCAGAAACCTGCTTAATCAAGTCGGATGATTTAAATGGATTATTATTATTTTATATCTCTTCTGGGAATCAAAAGGGCCTTCGTTATGTTGCAGACAAATCAAGTAAGTTTTGATCGACAGATTTGCATGATAAAAAAAATTAACGTACTTGTGGTATTTTTAGTTCAAGAAGGAAAACACAATATAGCATTTTCTGCATTGATGAGTTTACAAGCAGTGAATGAAATTTTAGACTTGTTAATTAAAACCGAGAGACTTCCTGAAGCTGCCTTATTTGCTAGAACGTATTGCCCTGACAGCATTTCTGATGTGGTTCAATTATGGAAAGCAGAGCTGAATACCAAAGGCAAGACCAAGGTGGCAGAGAGTTTAGCGGATCCAGCACAATATGCAAATTTATTTCCTGAATTATCATCAGCTCAACAAGTAGCTGCTACAGGTAAAAAAAAAAAAAGAGAAAAAAGAAGAAAGAAAGCGAACCTTTATACTAACTAAAACGTTAGCGGATGATTTAGTATCACTTTAAATTTTTTCAAAATGTAAACTCTTTTTTTTAACCCTATTTTTTATAAACATGACAATTAATATTAATAAAAAAAATCTTGATGATTTAAAGAGACCACTTGATACTTTTATACGACTAACATAATCTTGATATACACTATTTTTTTAAATTATTCGTGCAGAGCAAGGAGGAAATTCGTTCAAGTTCACAAAAAAGAATAAAAGGAAAATTAGTTTGATAATAATTGAACGAAATAAACGAAAATAAAATATTTTTATAATCCATTTAAGATGTTGTATCTGGATTCAAATTACCTTAATAAACTAAACTAAGAAAAAGTCAAGTAAGTCAGAAAAAGTCAAGTAAGAAAAAGTCAAGTCAGAAAAAGTCAAGTAAGAAAAAGTCAAGTAAGAAAAAGTCAAGTAAGAAAAAGTCAAGTAAGAAAAAGTCAAGTCAGAAAAAGTCAGAAAAAGTCAAGTCAAAAAGAGTGGGGTGACCAATTGGAGTTCAAAAAGTGACCAATTGGTTTTCGGGAAAGCGACCAATTGGCATTCAGAAAAGTGACCAATTGACGCTGGAAGCACTGCACTATAAAACAAGGGTAGTTGTCATTCTTCAAAATTAGGGTGTAAAAGGCTCGATTTTTTAATTTTATCTTTTTATCTAATTTATATTGTATTTGAGTAAGACACAGTGTATCTGTTACCACCTACGAACACATGTACTCTTCAATTACTCTAACAGTGTAAGGGAACACACTACTGGTACTCGTTCTTAATGTTTTATGTATCACACCGGCCTGGACAAAAGTACCATTTACAAAGGGAAATCATTGGATTTTCAAAAAAAAAAAAAAAAAAAAAAAAGAGAGAGATATAGACGATCTTCTCCCTTTGACTAAACTTCTTTCTCTTTCAGCTTTTAATCCTCTCCGAATTTTTAGGTAATCTTTATATGCTATTTTAGAAGCAACCTTTCTTATACTGCCATTATATAGTGTATCATGGATGAGGTATCTCTCCCGACAAAAGACCAGATTATGTATCGCAGTAAAGTCGTCAATTACTGGCATCGGTTGGAAGCAGTCGTCTTTGACAACATTACACAATTTTGTTAGAGTTGTTCATACTACTACAAAGCATGCATATTATTTTTCCAAGTATATATTCCTCAATGAATTGCAAGCAGACCCTCAATGTGACCTCAAAGAATATATCAACAAAGAATTTTTTGCTGAAGTATGGCTTTCTTTGGTAGACTATACAAAGGGAAATGCTCGTGCAGACAAAGTTATAAAGTATCGCAATTATATTAGCCGCCATTTACCAAGTTATCTGAATGTCACAAACTATCAAAGTTCAGACTGAAGTATGCTCAGCATTCTTCTCTGATCGAAGGAAAAAAATATATCAGTCGTATATCAATAACATCAGCATGAGATTTGGTCAACATCTTAGACAATCAATCAATTTTTTACTGAACGTCAAGCAAAGAAAGGCAGAAATGAAGCAAGCTCTTCTAGAACAAGGTGTCGACCCCAAAATCATCGAAGGTCTTATTTTCCAAGATGTAACTCAGACCGCAAAAAATTTCAAAATGGCCATCAGCACACGTCCCACAAACATGACTTTACTGCCACAAAATTCACAGGTAGAAATAAATGCATACAACGCGTTAAGACCTGTTTTGGATTCGTATGGTAAATCGTATTCTTTTAAAAAACACAGCATCTATTATGATGCAAAAGCGCAACCTGAAAATCACTTTATGGCATTTGTTCAACTAGCTCCTCTCTTCGAAACATTAGGTTTATCTCCTTTTCGTTGCTTTCCTCTCCGTCGTTCATGGTCTCCTGGTTATGTACAAATTGATAGTAAGATTCTTTGTCAAAACATTCTAGATATCAGATGGTCCAATAATATTGATAAGCTGGAATACTGGAAGCAAGTGGTTAATCTAAATGCGAAACATTTTAAAGCTTAAGAAGAGAACAAGCTCCTTCGGTTTCGCGGTACCATTCAGACAGATGGTGTTGGTATAACAGTTCTTAAGAAAAGAATAGACAGGCAGTCATCTTATACCTCAACCATAAAAGAGGCAGATGAGAAGTTCAAGTATATCAGCGATTTAAGTACTCAAGAACATAAAGCTGTGAATGGTCGATGTGTTGCTATTGATCCCGGAAGAAGAGACCTTTTATTTTGTGTCGATGAAAAATCTACTGTAGAAACTCCTATTAAGTTTCGATATACTAAGCAGGACCAAGACAAAACCAGAAAATCCAAAAAGTATCGTAATATTCTACAAGAAATGAAGTCGAACAATCCTGCTGTTTATCAAGCCGAGAATGCTCTTGCAGAAAACCAAAGCAGCTCACTGGAAATGGAGGCTTACCGTTGTTTTCTCGAACGTCTAGGTCAGAATTACGCTGTCCTCGACGATTTATATGGGTATACAACAACGTCTTCTCAAAACCCACAATTCATGCTCCGGAAGTTGCGTTTAGCTGCGTATTTTAACAAACAACGTGTTGACATGCAACTTATAAATTCTTTAAAGCAAAAGTTCGGTAAGGATGCGATCTTTGTCCTCGGAAACTGGTCTGCTCCAAACGCACGTTATCATGAACCAATTCGAGACATCGGATTGAGACGACTTCTTTTACGAAATCATCTAAGTCTATTACTCATCGACGAATTCAACACGAGCCGATGCTGTCCGTCTTGTCATAATTTGAGTCTAGAGAAATTTAAACAAATCGACAATCCTAGGCCGTACCAACGAAGCAACTATCCTTTAACCCTTTGCCATGGTCTTTTAAGGTAAACATATCTCCTTGAAACGTTTATAATTATTTTAGACTTTTGATGTAGATGCACCAATCAAACTTGTATAACCAAGATGCAAACCCAAGGATTCCAGTATAAGCTTGTAACAGAGATTTAGCCGCCTGTTTGAACATGATTTCAATAATTCTATATTTAAGAAACACTGGTCAAATCCCAGAACGATTTGCACGTCATGTCCACTCAAAAAAAACGTCCTCGAATAGGTGAATAATAATCCATGCCAGTTATCGCTGGTGTTACCCGTAATACACTTTTTGGTAAGGCTTTTTATTATTGCTTGCTAGATAACTAACTGTACTTGTTCTTATATTTTATTTCTGTTTATATTTCTCTACCTCTCAACCCTTTCCATGTAAGTACATTGCATTGTTTAACTTTCTTAAGAGAGCTCTAACGTTTTTATACCCATTTTTATTTCCATCATTGAATGATATTATATTTTATTTTTGAACGATTTTTTATTTCATTTTTGAACGATTTTTTCGCAACAGTGAACGAATAATTTCTAAATAAAGTGTAGTCTTCAGATACCCTCATTGTTTGAAAATCATGTCACCAGTTGTCCATGAACAAAGAGACGTCATTTAACCACAATGAGAAATGAGTTGAACGGCAATATAAATATGTACGTGTGTTTAAAAAAAAGAGAGAGGGAGAAAAAAAAAAGATGATATTTTCCATTACGACACCATGGTCTTACATGACCTTAGTGTTATTTCTCACATTGATAATTACACTCAGCTACTGTCTCTATAAGTTTCCCGTCCGTCGAACTGTTGTAGGATTTTGCGCTCTTGTTACTGCGATGGCTGGAGCGATTTGTAGCGTGTTGGCTGTTGCATGTTACCGCATGCCATCCGACCTATCAGTAGTCAAAGCACTCTTATTTTTCTACGGTATCTACCTTTCCTTTACGTTTGTACCCGGGCTTTACGCTTTTTTAATAATTTCAAGACAAGCGGAATGTCCCACAGGTGAACTGCTTTCTTTTTTAGGGTTTATATGGGTTTCGGTGACTATGTCTACAGGCCTGGCCATGTCAGTGACAGCAACACAAAATGGACTTTTATTCTTTTATTTGTCCAATTGGGTTCTTGTCTTAATCAGTATTTCACACCACGTCATGAATTTCTATCGGTTGGGCGGTAAAGCCAGCAAAACGATCATGGCTTATTCTTTGCTAAACATGCTGTCGGTGGTGTTCTTTGTGGTCATTGCGTTTCCGCCCGTCATAATATCGTCGGATATCTCATTTCTGTTATCGCTTGTTTTTTGCGATGTGCCGATAGCAGTAGCTATGCTGATCGCGGTATTAAATGGCTATCTTTGGACTGATCAAACTTTGGTAGGCTCAAAATTGGATTACGTCGAGGCCATTGTTTAGACAAAAAAAAAAAAAAAAAAAAATCGGATTTTCTCACACTAAAAGTGAAATGACAATAGACTATACTAAGAAATATAGCCATTCTTATCAGTAAAGATATCCCACTGAATACATGTTTCCATATACAAATAAAATACTGGGGGAGAGAAATAGCAGTGTCTGCTTTTAATTATATTTGAATGTCTTCTTTCTTTCTATAGCCAAAATCCAATATATTTTAACAAAAAAAAAAAAAATGTCCGAGTGAAAAGGGTGAAAATATTAAGGTTATTAAAGACAATTTAATCCTCAGAGTGGTACTCAAAAGGTTCAAAAGGTGCTGCTTCTTCTTCTGCTGCTCCTCTTGCTGTAGCATCTATAAAAGAGAGTTGATATTAGATAAAAATCTATTATTGAATAAAGATTGTGTAATTTACCTCCAGATGGGACGCGAGGTTGAATTAAATCTTCCTCCTCTTCAGGCTTTCTATCTACTAACATGATGATACCACCAACATGTTCTTGCTTAACTGGAGTATAACGTGAATCATCTTTGAAGGCAATGTGTCGAAGTTGAGCAGGAACAACACGAGCCATATTTTCAAGAATTTCAAAATTTTCTTCCTTTTTCTTCTTTTGCACAGTTGTTTTGCGCTCCTCCTTCTTATCATCCTCTGTCATCTCTTCGTCTTTAATACTAGGCTTATCCTCATCAATGTCCATGTGATCTCCTTTCTCCTTTTCGATTTTCTTTGCACGAGCCTTGGCCTTAGCAGTGGTGGACAAAACAGCAGTAGCCACCTTTTCAACAACAGTAGCAGAAGGGGGTTTCAAAGCAGGAGGATAAGCAAATAAGGATGCCTTAGCATTGGATACAAACTCAAATCGGGGTGTTTCAAGGTTCTTATTGAGACCAATAACGGCAGTAGGAGTAAATGCCAAACTGAGCATATGTGTTAAGGGGTACCAGTACCAGAACTGTGTAAATACGGCCATACCAACAATAGCAGGCATATTTGCATGTCCTGTTCTTGATAAAAGAGAGATGGTCACATTTCTTCCACCAGCATCAAGGATACCTTGAGCAAGAACTGCACCAAACTTGGCCATGGGGTCTTCGTGTTTATCGCCAATAATCTTTTCGTATAACTTGCGAACACCAGCTACCTTCGGGTTTGTGTTCTCTGTTTGTTGGATCAAGATCATGGCTTGAGACATAAAGGCACCTTGACGAACAAAATCAACAGGATCCTTTGTCATGGGTTCAAGGAGTTCAAGTGCATCGATATAGCCAGTACCAGCACATGAAATACCTAAAGCAAGTGTAGCACCATATCTCACATGAGGGTTATAACTCTCAGCCAAAAGTTGAACAATACGGGGGACTTGCTTGGGGTTACGCAAAAGCACAAAACCGAGTGAGGTAACAGCAGCACGACGCACATCATCATTGACATCACTGACGGCTACGTGAAGCAAACGGCGAATAGCCTTGTTATTACCAGTACCGCTATAAGCCATAGCAATGGTGTAGATACCGCCATAACGGAGCACTGGATCCTTATCTTCTAACAACTTCTTAATCAAATCATCTGCTTGCTCTTCTTTACCGTACATGATGAAGGGCATACCGATAGCCAGACCACGGATGATCTTTTCATGCTGAGTTTCATGTGCATATTGAAGCATTTCTTCAATTGCTTCCTCATTACCAGTACCGAGCATGATCAAACCCATGGATAAACCAGCTGCTTCACCAGCAACAGCGTTATCACCAAAAAGAACATTCTTAAGATCTTCATAAATTTCTTCGTTGGCAGTGGCCATACCAGCAACACCAAGACCAAGACAGGCACCGTGTTGAATCACATCATCTGAGGTATCCTTCAAGGCAGTCTTTAAGAAGTTTAAGACTTCAGCACCATGATTGGCGTTGATAAGACCTAAAGCGTATAACGAACCACCTTCAGAGTAAGAGCTGTTTCCGCTGACGCCTTCTTGGGGTAAATAAGGAGCCAATAAATTCATGGATTGAGCCAATTGACCCTAAAAGTGATAAATTGTTAGCATAAAGTGTTCTGTTTGCTTTGTTTGATTTATTTACCTTGTGAATCACACCGAGCGCAGCAGTAGCACTAAACTTTGACCAGTTGGTAGCTCTGGACAACCAATCTAAGTTTTGACGTAAGAATTCATCACTGGTTGTACCTGCTTGCATGAAAGCATTTGCAAAAGTAACAGCTGAGTGGTAAATAGAGTTTCTTGATTCCAAAGCATTCTACAGATAAAATGGTTAGACATTTTGCTCCATCTTTTCTAACCCACTCTTTTCACCCCCTTTTTTCTTTCTTTATCAATTACCTTTGTATTCTTTAAAATCAATAAATCAGTATGGTTGTTGCGGTATAAGAACTCAAGATGAAGACGGATAGATTCTTCGCCTGATAAGATTGACTTGATCTTTTTGAAAGGTGTATCATTCTTGGGCTATTATATAAGACGTAAGATAAACCAGCAGGATCATTTTTTTTTCGGGGGAAACCTTATCAACCTACCTTTTTCTCTTCGGCGGAATCAGCATTTTCCTCAATAACAACGGGTTCAACAGGTAATACTTGAGAAACCTTTGATAAAAACTCTTGGGTTGCGTTTTCCTCTAAATCAAAAGAAATCTGATATGCCATAAGCTACACCAATAAAAAGAAAAAGAAAAAACGCGTTTCCTTAAAGTCAATCCCTGAATTTGTTCCTACTTTTTTTTTATCATTTTTTAATTTACCTCGTTCTTCTTTTCGACCAAGCTCTTCAACATATCAGCGCAGGAAGTAGGATCGTTCAAGTGAACTAAACATTGACTGATAGAAATATAATCAGGGTTCTCAAGAGTCTTGTATAATTCGACTAATAATCTCAAGACCTCGTTACGGAATTCCAAGTTTTGGACAAGTGTCATGCACACATCAAGGACGTAAGTCAAAAGCTTGCTGGCATTACCCTTTTGAATGATGGACTTGACGACATCTAAGCGTCTGGATTCAAGCGCAATACCAATGGCTTGCTCATATTCACAATCTTCAGCACAACGTTGGAACATTCTTTCTACAATGTCTTGTAATCTAGGATCGATCTTTTCGGGAATCTCCGTACTTGTTCTAAGATTAATATATTTGTCAATGCACTTGGCTACGTTTTTTAAAAAAAGGGGACAGCGCGTTAACATATATGGGATAGATTTTTAAAACTTCAACAGGTGCTTGCTTACAGATAATAGTGGTTACGTATTCGGAATCTTCAGAAAGATCAAACGATTGACCAGCACCGAGTGCAAAGGTGAGGGAATCATCCAACTCACCCAAGTTGTAGTAAACCTATATATTACGCTTTAGCCTATATTGTAAAATTATCAGGGAGGGACACGTTCAAATATACCTTGGATGCAACTAAAGCAGCCAAGTCTCTTTGACTGAAAGAGGAATCTTCGTAGAGGATTTCACTAGAGTTTTGAAAATGTGTAAGCAATGGAATGCCATAAAAGATAGTCAGACTTACATTTTAGCAATAGAGTCAGATATCTCTGCCCAGAATTCATCAACAAGAGTGTTTAATTGTTGAAGAGCATAAACCTTCAATTCAGGTTGTTGCTCGTCGAGTAGAGCGATAATACCGTCTATGATTGGGGAGAGTGGAGGTTAACGAGAGTACTAGTGAGAGAGGGTGCATATCAACTTACTAGCAGATGTAAGAGCTGTCATTTGTGTATTTTTTTTAAGAAAGGACAAGAAAGTATTTCTTTGCCGCGTCCTTCTACTCTATATCACTGCTACACGTAAGAGGTGACGTAGATTTTTTTTTTTGTAAGCGCCGGTTTAATAAAAAGTTCCAGTCAATTTCTAAAATTTTAGGTTTTCGTTTTTTTTTTTTTTTTTTTTTTTTTTCTGAGCACTTACATAACAAAAGATGGCATTATCAAACTTTGGTAATTACGGGACTAGATCAAAAACCATTGAAGTTCCACTGCAACAGGAACAAGTCTTAGAGGTAGTCTGTGACGACTTGCCCACAAACCCCACCGAATTGACAGATATCTTTCGGACCGAAAACGTTGGACTCACCTACTACAGAATGTTGGCTGTAAAGTTTTACATAATTTCGCGTTTTGACGTCTGTATTAAATTATTTTAATCTCTAGATTGAATATTACGAACAAAATGAAATTGAACAAAGTATCAGTGTTGTTCAAGCTGGCTTAACAAGTGGTGAGCAAGAAAAAGGAGAACTTTTGCTATTAAATGTCTTTACTTACTTTAACGTTTATTTAGCTAGTAATTCACCTACCACTACACCACGACAAAAATTGCCATTATTAACCTTGATTGCTACGCTTCACATGCGCCTTGCCAAGCAAGAAGTACATAACGAGTTGCAACGCCAAAAATATCTGGAAGAAGCGACCCAATTTATAAATGAAGCTGATCGAATTCACAACCAATACGAACCCACATTTGTCGTAAAGGGTAATCTCTATCTTTTACTGAAAAAAATAGACGAAGCAGCACGTTCATTCAACATGGTGCTCGAGAAAAGACCTAACTGCATTCCTGCTCTCTTAGGAAGAGCAAAAATTCAATATTACGCAAAGAATTACAAGGCTGCCTTGAAGACGTACCAAAGCGCTCTCAAGTATTCTCGTGGTAAATTCTCGGGTGTCGAAATTCGATTAGGTATTGCTCAGTGTTTTGCACAATTAAAAATGTACACAGAGGCGAAAGCTGCTTTAAAACGCTGCATTGATATGGTACAAAAAAAAAAAAAAAAAAAAAAAAAAAAAGAAGATCCTGTGTGTGGATGAAAAAAGTATTAACTTTGTCTATTTATACAGAGTCCAGTTCCTAACGCCACAGCCTTAATAATGTTGGCTATCATTGAATTAAACGAATCGAAAAAGAAAGAAGAAGGTATTATTCAACAAGAAAATGCTTTGAGAAGCGGTCTTCAGCACATGCAGCAAGCACACGTTGTCAACAAAAAACATCCTGCTGTTTTAAACATGATGGCCAATCACTTTTTTTTGACCCGTGATTTCGAAAAGGTAGATAAATTCAAATTTATTGTGATTTCCTTATGAAATTGACATATTGTTTTGTGCAGACAATGACATCCGCTTCCAGAGCCTTAAATAACGCCTCCAACAATGTTACCAAGGCAGAAGCATCCTATCAGATTGCTAGAGCCCATCATCAAATGCAAGAGTTTGACGATGCTTACAAGTTCTATTCGCAAGCACTTGAATTAAACCCTGATCATATCTTGGCTCAATTTGGCATGGGACAAATGCAACTCAAGCGAGGAGAAATTAATGCCGCCATTGAAATTTTCGAGAAATTACACAAGTCCGAACCCGAATGTGTTGAAGTGATGAAGGTATTGGGATCACTTTATGGCATTTCCGATAAGAAGGAAAAATCGTTGGGATTGTTTAGCAAACTTTTAGAAAATACAAATGATGATCCCCTATTGGCGATGGAAATTGCGGAGACGTACGAAGAAAAGGACAGCGCAAACTCATTAAAATGTAAGCAGCATCGTAAACATTTATTACTGTTTTGGTTCTTATATGCCTTATTATTTAGATTACGAACAATCACTGGCACTCTTGGACGGGATACCAAAGGACGACGTAGTTTCTATGGAACGTGTGAAAGAGCTTAAACCAGAATTGTTGAACAATATCGCGGTTACTCATCAAACACTTGGAAACTTCTCCGACGCTGAACATTTCTACGGTCTTGCCATCCAAGAAAGTGAGACCAGCAAAGGGGACGAGAAAAAACTGAAGCTCACGATGAGTTATAATTTAGCAAGATTATATGAAGAGCGCTTAGAAACAGAAAAGGCCATTGCTATTTATAGGAAAATCATTGAAGACTATCCTGCATATATCGATGGTAAACTAATCGCCTACCTATTTATTCTCCTCTAATATTATTTTTTATAGCTCATTTACGCATGGGCGCGATAGAAATGTCATTAGGCAAACCAGAGGAGGCAATTGAATGGTATAAGGAGGTTTTCGATACAGATGCTACAGATACCAAGGCATGGATAATGATTGGTCAAGCGCAGGCGACTATTTCTGAAAAGTTATCCAAGCGATCTTATGAGAAAGTCCTCAAATTGTGTAACAAAGAAGATGTCTACACTCATGTTGCGCTCGGAAATTATCATGCGGCTAATGCGAGAGAATGTAAAACCGAAAAACAAAAGGAACAACGCAAGGAATCATATAAGCTTGCTGTCAATTTCTATTCTCAGGCATTACGACGTGATCCCTTGAATGTCTATGCCGCCAATGGTTTGGCCATCATTATTCTTGAAACTGGACACCCAGAGGAGGCTAGGGACTTATTCAACCAGGTCAGAGAAGCTGCTGTAAACAATGCAAGTGTTTGGGTCAATTTAGCCCATGCCTATGTTGAATTAAAACAGTACAAACAAGCTATTGTTATGGTAAAAAAGAAAAAAAGAAAAAGAAAAAAAAAGCACTACCACAAATCTAACCTCTCTATTGACAATTGTATATAGTACGAGAACGCATCAAGAAAATTCTATAATAATAAGGATGCCAACATCTTACTTTGTTTAGCAAGAACTCAATATATCCTTTCTAAATCCGAAAAAGATCCTGAAGTTATGTACGAAGCTTTAAAGAATACCGAAAAGGCGCTCCATATTTCGCCATCAGACAAGACGACACATTACAACCTTGCTCTTGTTCAACAATCTTATGCCCAACAAATATCAGATCTCCCTCAAGATCAGCGCACTTCCAGTAATATGCGTCGCGCCTTGAGTTGCCTTGAGTGTGGTCAACGTACTTTCCGCATGTTGATTAACGTTAACGAACACACTTTATACGATCGTAGTAAAATTACAGAACAGCGTGAACGTTATGGTGAAACCTTGCGTGTGCAACTGGACAGAAAGATGACGGAACAAATCCAATTTGAAGAGGAAAAGGAAAGAAAGTTAAATATCGCGCGAAAGAAGCGTGAAAACGAGCGCGCCAAGATCCTTTACGAGGAAGAAGAAAAAATCAGGTTGCAACAGCTGGAAAATGAGCGAATGGAAGAAGCTCGTCGTAGATTGATGGAAAAAGTTCGAGAAGATAACATGATGATGGCCAGCCAACAAGTCGAAGATGATGACTTTGACGAAGAAAAGAAGGCTAAAAAGCGTTCTAGAAAGAGAAAAGAACGTGACGAGGAAGAAGCTGAGGAGAGACAGGACGGTGATGAAATCGACGAAGATTCTGAAAGGGCTTCAAAAAGAAAAGACAAAAAGGTAAGAAATAAATAAGAAAGAAGGGTCGTTGCGTATTTTAACATCAAATCTGTTTGGAAGCAATACCGAAGTAAACGTATTATCGAAGATTCGGATGACGAGGATATGTGATTTTTCTCACTTTTAATAATAAAATTATTGTCAGACAGACTTGAATTCGAATTTAGAAAGTTGGAATTGATACCATGATAGCAGACACGCCCGAAATCAATCTTTGTCTGTATAATCTAATTCCATTGCGTAATATTATTGTGGTTAGCTAAGTCATTTTTAAGCTATTCGCATGAATGCTTTGCTACAAACTCCAAGAATAATTTGACATTTGGAAGACGAGTCTTACTTTGTACCTTACAATTCATTAACTTGATTAAGTAAAAATGGTCTAACTTGGACTGTGATTCACTTTAAAGATTGAAATATCAAACAGTTCAAAATGCTTTAAATAAGACTATTTACATCAACCAATACCAAACAACCGGAGAGTCTGAAGAGCTGGTCTATCGACAACAACTTTGCTGTAGTTATAGATACGATCCATAAGTATAGACGCCTTAACTTTAATTGTAAATCAGAAATGCTTGTCTCATAAACAAAAAGGAAAAAAAAGAGGCATCCCTGTGATTGAAGGGTAAAGAAAAAAAAAATAGTTAAAAATCCTGTAATTTACGTCATCCGAAAGCGCATTTAATTCTGCATATACTTTTATCAAGCAAGTATTTTATAAAAACTGTTCAATGACCTGGTAATTTTAGTTACAGCATTGAATTAAACCACGCTTTTCTTAGGTACAGCCAATTTTTCTTTAAGGACAGCGATTTAGCTGACATTTAGACCTGGGAACAAAAATATACAATCAAAAACAATGTAACAATTATGAATTAATGTATATTGAACGATTTGTACTTATTTTTACAATTTTATCATCAATCCTTCGCCTTCAATCTCGTTATTGATCTTAATCTTACGCAGAAATATTAGGTAAAGGCCAAATGAGAAGCGGAAAGTAAGCTATGACATACATACATTGGTTTACCATATGTTAGTTGTAACAAATTGTATCTAGTTCAAGACGATAAGTTATATTGACCTCTTGGTATCTATGACATATTAATCCGATATTGCCACTACGC